TGTTGATGGATTTTTGAATGTTGATCCTTGCATCCCTGGGATGAATCCCACTTGGTCATGGTGTATGATCCTCTTGATGTATTTTTGAATTGGGTTTGCTAATATTTTGTTGAGTATTTTTGCATCTATGTGTTTATATGGTTTTTATATGTCCAGTTTTATAGAAGTAAGTGCTACAGGACAATCATTTTTGTCCTATTCTTGTTATGTTGCTACTAGTTTTCTTATGAACCTGAGGAAAACATTAATTTAGGAAATACAATATAGCTTCATAAACTGGATTGTTTGGGTCTGTTTCAAACCCATTCTGGAGACAGATCACAGTGATCACCCAGAGGTGAGTCCCCAGGCCCGCCTTCGATCAGAGATGGCAAGCTAGGAAGGACTCACGAGGTTGGGCTTCACACAGGTGCCAAGGTGTGTATGCTGGCATGGCACAGCATCCCCATCTCGGTGCCCCAGTGACCAGTGTGAATGTGAGCCAGACATGCACGCCCTCCGTGGCACACAGCTGTTAAGTCTTTGGAGAACCAGTGTTTTGACAATTAGTGGAAATGTGGCCAAAAGGGAGAAACTGCAAGCATAGCATTTACTTATGTTTCTAAGGGAATGAAAGCAGATCCCCAAAATACTTAGCAGCCTAATTATCTCATGCACTTAGAAGGAAATATTCTAGGATGCTTAAAAATCCATTTGTAGGTGCAGGAGAACCTTGAATACTAATTAGCAAAACTAGATGAATCACAGATCCTCACAATAAACTCTTATTCTGACAGTGAGAATGAGAAGGAACCTCCAAAGATGGTTTCTTCCATCCCTGAACTCTCAGTTTCACCAAGACTTCTGGGTAATTTGAAAGGGTTTGAGGCTGGGGGTGGTGAGGGGTTAGAGAGATCACTGTGCAGTTAAGGGAGTGGCCCCCGTGAAGGTCATTATGGACTTGATCTGAGCTAAACAGCATCACAATGCTGTCAGGAAATCTTGCCCTGGGTTATATCTTCCAAAAGTGTATGGAAGTGAAATACTTGTATCATGTGCCAATCAGAAAACCATCTGTTAATGTTGATCTTATTCCAGAATACCTTTTTATCCATCTTCCTACCTGTTCTCAGCATCTCAGGGAGGTCTCCCAGTAGCCAGCACCGGGCATCTCAGCTATGCCGAAGGTGGTTGCTATAGTGAACTTGTTCAAGCTGGGGAAGGTGACAGCCAGAGGCAAACTTTACTTTGTATTTGGGTACTTAATCTAGTGATAATATATTTGCATTATCACTTAGTTTTCTGGCACTAATTTTATAACCAACAGCAGAGATTGTGTGAGTTAATTATTAAAGAGGCATATCACCCATTCAATCAACTAAAAACTTCAAAGGAATTAGATTTAGGAATCCTCTGCCTGGGTAGCTAAAACACATATGTATGTTGTTTCTCTTAAGTGTCCTTGAAGAGCCGCAGCTAGAGAGCCTTGTCCTTTCTGCAAGACTCCCTGTCCTGGCAGCTGAGGTCATCTTTGGTGTAAAAAGGATACCAAAGATAGAGTCACCTGCAAATGGAATGAATCAGCAGGATGCTGTTAGAGTTCAACGGTTTTCACACCATAACTTTAGGAATCTTGTTGACCTCTCCAGCTAGAGTAATTGTTTTAAGCACCAAGCAGATATTACTTTTTAAAAGAGGAATGTCCTAAGCAGTTACGCTCTTCGTGTGTATGGGATTTTTCCTGGGTTTGGTTTGGTTTGGGTGTTTTTACTTTCCTGGGTTTGGGGGGACTTGGTTAGTGCACTGGAGTCTAAAGAGAATCAGGGAGTCAGAAGTCCCACTAAAAAGGACTTGCCTGTCTGTGCAAGTCCTGGGAATATACACAAAGGTTCTCGCTTTAGGTCCCTTCAGTTCAAAGTGAATAAATGAGTAAGACCAGTAAAAATACAGTTTGTACACACACGCATACCAATAAGTAAAAGTTAGTATATTTTAAATAAGTATTAATGCACTAAAATAAAAACTAAGAAGAAATTTTTTCTGATACCTACCCTCTGTGATGACGCAGTAAGGCAGGCAGAAGCAGCTCCCCTAATAGGCTGCTGGGCGGCTCGGGGCCACGTGATCAGCTTTTGAAAGGACGCTTATCTATAAACCTCAAGTGGAGTGCCCTGACTTGGAAAGATAAGTTTGAAATAAATGCTCACAAAACAAGGCATTCTGAAAAGGACACTTGGCCATCTGACTAAGCAAACTCTTCTGTATAAAAGCTTCACTATGTGAATAACTGTGTTGATTTCAAATACGAAAAATTAATTGCTGCAGCTTCCAATTCTGCTCTGTCCCTCCATAAACCAGTAGCCAGACAAGCATTATGGTAAATTTACATTAAGTTTAAAGGCCGTTGGTGTGAACAAAATCCCATCTCATATTTAAGTGAGAACCTAAAAGTGCCAATCACGTAGCAGGCAGACAAATGCTTAATGAATTGAATTTTTAGCCCTTTATCTTTCCTTCGCTTAATTATAATTTCCCATTTTTAAAATGAACCTTTCTTCCCAAAAAGGACTGCCTATCACACTTACAGAACTATACTTAACTGTAAGTATATCTGTGGAACAAGGTAGAATTGATTTCTTATTCCACAGAAGGAAGAGCGCCATCTACTGACTTAACTCTGTAGTGCTGCAGGTGCCAATGGTTGCGTTGGGTAGAGTCTCTCTCAGTTCCATTTCCTGTCCTTATATCTGCGTTTTGTTCATTTTTATACCAGTCTTCTGGGTGTATACCACTTAAGCACTTTGTTTTCTCCATTCTGATAGAAATGAAGAATACATATTTAAAATGGAATGGAATTAACATTCTGGTGTCATTTCATTGTTGCTGTTTTATTCCCAATGCTGTATTTGTTAACAAGGGAGATAGATTGCTGAACTCCACAGTGCAGAAATATTTTGCCAAAAGCAGTAGTATTGGATGGACCACTTTTTTGAGTGTTTTAGATGTAAGATAGAAATTTGTTCTGTCTCATTAAGCCCAACTTAATATGAAGTTATTAACAAAAAGGATACCAGATTCACTCCACCAGTAATCACTGAACAATGGAGCTTTACTTATTTTCATGGTATGCATTTAGAATTGTTTTCTATTTCCTGAAAATACTTGCTTTGCATCAGAATTATCTAGTGTGCCCCTTGGCATCTCTTCTAGAGCCTGGTGATACAGAGATGATGTATATGTTAGTTGGACACTGTAGGTGAATTCCTGCCAGAGATCAGCTTTAAATGGAAATGGTGTTTTCTTGATTTTTGAGTAAGCAATTATTCCATTTATTTCTAAGATTTTGAAACATGCTGCTTATAGAGCATTTGCCTTCTATGTAAAAATACTTTAGACATTTCTGCTGCTTTAGCAGGAATTAAGAACTCTATAAAAATTAACTGTAATTGCCATAGTCTTAGTATTTATTCTTAGCTTTGACTTAAGTAATTTCTCATATTGCCTTTCAAAAAGATGGGAGTATAAGAATGACAAATATCTGGCGAATTACTTACTTGTAGTAATTCAGTATTTTTACAGCTATTGGCCTTTAAATTATTTTATCTTCCCAAAACATCTACACTACAACTTTGGTCAGCTTTCGTCCTGATTGAGTTTTGTCCTTTAATTTATAAAACTACCTCTCCCAATATACATTGTTGTTTTCTGTGTAATTATAGGTAATATTGTAGTTAGCAATTGCTGACAATAACTGAGTAGGNTACAGAGTGAATAAATTCTTACATGGTGAACAGTACAAGGGCAGTCATCACAGAAACTTTCGGTTTTGATCATGCAATATGACCTATAAACCATCAGGTCAAATATGAATATTCATTTGATTTTTGTACTTGATTTATATGTTGATCCCAATCTTATTACATTTTATTAGAATAAAGAACATCAAGGGAACTGATTCCGTTCTATTTTTAGTCAGGAAAGCAATGTTTCATGATTGGGTCGGTAATACCCATGTTGTAACCAGATAATTTAAATTTGTGGCTAATTACATTTTATGCTTTCATTTTTTAGTTAGCATTTATAATAGTCATATTTCTCTCTCTAAAAAACTCTAGCCACCTGAAAATTACAACTGATACAAGCTGTCGGTATGACTGTCAGTTGTGTCAAGTGAGTTTAGGGGCAGAAAAAAAAAAATGACCAAAATTGAGGTTGATTTGGGAAAATGAAGGTCAGAAGTGGAAGGGCCAGGAGATCCTCACGTGCCCTGGTCCCGTGAGCTCTAGTGTGCCTGGGGATAGGAATGCCGTAGCCTTCTGGTTTCATTTCCTCATGTACCTTCACTGGGTAACAGTCCCAGATAAGAGTGCCGTGGCACCAGGAGTGGGCAGAGGAATGAAGGAAGAATTCCCCAAAAGCCTGGCAGTCAGTGTGCCTATTGGCACCACTCTTGTCCGTAATTCCTCCCGTCTGTCCCCATCTTTAAGACAAATGCCTCAGCTCCTCCTCAGCTCACCAGGTGGTACCTGAGACCTGTCTGCATTTTACTTTACCTGTACATGTTTAATCTGCCCTCTGCCCCTTTCTTTGCCAGGAGCAGAGAAAGATGGTTGGTCATAAGAAGGAATAATTTTTAGTGTAAATTTTCAGTTTATAAAGTGTTAGAACACTGTAACATTTCTTTTAGATGGTTACATATAACAAAGTTAAAAGGCTACTTTTTAAACATTAGTTTTAAGCTATTCTTTTAAACCCTGTTATGTTACAAATACTGTGAATTTAATAGTTGTCAATATTTAATGGATTTCCGATTTTAATTTGTATGGGGATCAGGACTGAGGAAATTGCAACTTTAGAAAGCTAAACAAATCAGATTAGATTTAGTATTGTCTCCTTTTCACTTTCTGCTAAAAGCCATCCTACAGATAGATTATATGGAAATTATTTGAACTTGAAATCCCCGTTTCCACTTTCTCAGTTTCACTTGTGTTATTTTCCCTCTCCCTGGGTACCCTTTTCAGTTTCCTCAGGCTGGGGAGAAATGCCTAATGTTCATGCAAAGGCTGAAAGCTCCTGGGGGGAGCCATCCTCCCCTTCTACCCTGGTAGATAACGGCACAGCAGCGTGGGGCAAACCACCCAGCAGTGGCAGCGGGTGGGGGGACCAGCCCACCGAGCCAGCCGTGACGTTTGGAAGAGCTGGCGCTCCCGCTGCCACCCCAGCCCTGTGCAAGCCAGGTAAGCCCGCCCTCGGCCTGCCTGATTTAGCGGTTTAGAAATGGGTCAAAGTATTTTATTTACGGGGATAATTTTCATTGAATTTTAAGAATTAATTTTCTAAGGATAATTACCTCATTTTATTTACACTTTAAGACCAACATTAAATGAAGACTATAAAGAAGTATTTGCTGTGTCTGATACATAACACAGAGGAGCTTTTAACAGAAGTCCGTGCCCTCTCCCTGCTTGGTACTATAGTAATATCCACACCTATGCAGCAGCATTCTTGGTACCCACCACTTCAAACTATTTAAACTGGCTGTTTCACTGAGCAGAGTAGATGAAACAAAGCATGCCGTTTTTCCTTGTTGTGAGAGTAGGTTTTAAAACAGATTACGTCACAGCACTCTGACGCTTCTTGCCTTGCCTGTCTTATACAAAAAATTCTGCTTTGGGTATCCCAGGTTTATGCTTTTTCTTTTGTTTGAAAAAGAAAAGAAAATCATGCTGTATTTTCCTCCCGTTATCCAAAAGTGTAATAAGTATACATATAAAATATGCATTCTTACAGTTGTCCAGGTCGTTTACGCAGTGGAATTCTGTGATGTCTGAGTGTTTTGCAATAGGATACTTATGACATTAGCATGAACGTTAAGTTACCGATTTAAGACTGATTTTAGAATTAATTGTTCACATGGCTGTAGAAGCTTCATATTTCCTTCGGACATCATTACACATCTTAAGTCTTAAAACACGATACTGGTTTTGTATTTTGTTACTTGGCTAACACTTGGTGGTTTGCTCCTTGCGTCTGCCATTCTGCTGGATTATTTATTCTATTCATAGACCTTCTTGTTAAAATGTAAAGGATGAGGGAGCTTCTGGGTGTTTCGATTCACATGCTTTTTGAGGCAGTACATTTGTCATAATGATTTGTCCTTGGAGGCCCAGCTAGACACCTGTCCACCTTGCAAGCACCCTATCTTCATTGCCCTCCAAACCCCAACTAACTCTGCCATCACCTGATCTTTGACCTTTTCCAGGTTCTCCCAAGAAGTGGAAATTTGGAGTGATATTTACACCAAAATCCACTTTGTATTTTAAGAAAGGAGAAAAATAATATCCCGAAATACAAGCTTGATATTTAGCTCCTAGTCCCATCTGCCTAAGGCCTCAGCTGTCTCCATCCTGTTATTCTGGGAGCACCTCCTGGGAGCCTGTCAGAAACAGACTGTCGGGCGCAAGCGCAGACGTGCGGCGCCTCACGATCCCCGGGTGGCGCAGGTGTGGTCGCCTTGGAGGAGCACGGGTTCACATGACCGACGGCTGTGGGTTTGGATCAAGCAGTGATTAAAAATCACATGTAGGACAGAGACATTTTTAGGATTCTGTACGTTATTTTATTGGCCATTTCACAGAATGCAGAGATAGCCACCTTCTACCGTAGTCCCAGGGTTTATTCTCAGAATGCCCGTGCTTCAAAGTGACATACAGTCAGCTAAGGGGGTTTGGAACAGCACGGGCTACAGATAGCTGGAGTTTGAAGAAAGAAATTGCATGCATATGTTTGTAGAAGTTCAGTCCTTAGGTCTGGGGAGTGGGGCAGTAACAGGGTAGATCGCAGTGTACACTGTGCCCTGCCCCCAGATGCGCGGCCCGTCTGCTTTAGGAGTGGTGAGGCTGAATCATGTCTGCTCTCCTCCTAGCTCCAAAATCTATGCAAGAAGGCTGGGGCAGCGGTGGGGATGACGTGGGCCTCGGCACCAGTCAGTGGGAAGATGAAGACGGGGGCGTGTGGAACAACGCTGCTTCCCAGGAAAGCACCTCTTCCTGCAGTTCCTGGGGGTAACGTTAAGTTACCGATTTAAGACTGATTTTAGAATTAATTGTTCACATGGCTGTAGAAGCTTCATATTTCCTTCGGACATCATTACACATCTTAAGTCTTAAAACACGATACTGGTTTTGTATTTTGTTACTTGGCTAACACTTGGTGGTTTGCTCCTTGCATCTGCCATTCTGCTGGATTATTTATTCTATTCATAGACCTTCTTGTTAAAATGTAAAGGATGAGGGAGCTTCTGGGTGTTTCGATTCACATGCTTTTTGAGGCAGTACATTTGTCATAATGATTTGTCCTTGGAGGCCCAGCTAGACACCTGTCCACCTTGCAAGCACCCTATCTTCATTGCCCTCCAAACCCCAACTAACTCTGCCATCACCTGATCTTTGACCTTTTCCAGGTTCTCCCAAGAAGTGGAAATTTGGAGTGATATTTACACCAAAATCCACTTTGTATTTTAAGAAAGGAGAAAAATAATATCCCGAAATACAAGCTTGATATTTAGCTCCTAGTCCCATCTGCCTAAGGCCTCAGCTGTCTCCATCCTGTTATTCTGGGAGCACCTCCTGGGAGCCTGTCAGAAACAGACTGTCGGGCGCAAGCGCAGACGTGCGGCGCCTCACGATCCCCGGGTGGCGCAGGTGTGGTCGCCTTGGAGGAGCACGGGTTCACATGACCGACGGCTGTGGGTTTGGATCAAGCAGTGATTAAAAATCACATGTAGGACAGAGACATTTTTAGGATTCTGTACGTTATTTTATTGGCCATTTCACAGAATGCAGAGATAGCCACCTTCTACCGTAGTCCCAGGGTTTATTCTCAGAATGCCCGTGCTTCAAAGTGACATACAGTCAGCTAAGGGGGTTTGGAACAGCACGGGCTACAGATAGCTGGAGTTTGAAGAAAGAAATTGCATGCATATGTTTGTAGAAGTTCAGTCCTTAGGTCTGGGGAGTGGGGCAGTAACAGGGTAGATCGCAGTGTACACTGTGCCCTGCCCCCAGATGCGCGGCCCGTCTGCTTTAGGAGTGATGAGGCTGAATCATGTCTGCTCTCCTCCTAGCTCCAAAATCTATGCAAGAAGGCTGGGGCAGCGGTGGGGATGACGTGGGCCTCGGCACCAGTCAGTGGGAAGATGAAGACGGGGGCGTGTGGAACAACGCTGCTTCCCAGGAAAGCACCTCTTCCTGCAGTTCCTGGGGGAACGCCCCCAAAAAAGGACTCCAAAAGGTGTGTGTGACCCTCAAGAAAAGATATCCGAAATCACACATTCTGTTTAAAGGTGGCCTCTCCAGTGGGTGGTGCCACAGAGAGGTTCTCTGTGCGCTGAGGTCCCTGGGCCCCTTTCAGCGGGATCTGCTGAGCACAGCGAGGCTTTCCGGAGGCTGCGCGGCATCACTGTCCTGGCAGAGCACCGGCAGAGGCTGGCATGAGACTCCGCATGCTTCTGTGGGACCAGACAGTAACAGATTGGCTCTTCTCATCAAGAAAGTTTTATTTTAGAAAATACGATTATTTGCCATTGAAAGAATGCTATTTATGTTAATATATAGTGGGTCTGTTATTGTTCTTTTAAACATTAGTAAATATTTTTTAAATTTCTCAGTTTTGATTTCTAATACAGTAAATACTGTTAACTACAATCTATATAAATAAAAGTTCTTCAGGCTCCTCAGGCTTCAAAAGAGGGAAAGTAAGGTCGGTCCTGAGACCAGGAGGCCTGAGAACTCCTGAGGTGGACCATTAAGTAGTCATGAAACAAACAAGCAGCTGTCTAGAAAGGATACGTGAGATCTCCACGTCATGAATGTACCACCATAAATTCCAAGCAGATAACAAATTTAAATGAGAAAAATAAGGATATTAAAATGTGAAAGAATTTTAAAAACAGTTCAGAGTGGGAGAGGCCTTTCTAATTATGACAGAAATCTACAAGACTTGTAACTTCAGTGGCTGAACATAAAAACTGTGCGTGGCAGAAAATAGCATAATCAGAGTCAAAAAAAATATTTGTAACTCATGTCCTAGAGAGGGCTGATCTCTAATACATAGAATGTCCTAGAAATTTCTTTATTTTTTAAACCAGTAACCCAATAGAAATATAAGCAAAGAATGTGAGTAGATGATCAATAGAAAATTAATTCAAATAGCTCTTCACCAGATGAACAGATATGCAATGTGACATAGGGAGAGCTCAACTTAAAACACCACCCAGAAGTGCCATTTTTCATCTCAGACCAGCAGAAATCCCAAAGTTGAATAAACATGCTCTGTTCGCAAAGCCGTGAGAAAGCCTGCGCACTCGCATGTGGCTGGTGGGGATGTGAATCAGCATGACCCAGCTGGAGGGCACTGGGCATCACTGGTCAAAATCACAGAGAGGTCAGCACTTGGAAGCACTACTTCTGTGTCATGGGAATAGCAAATGGCATCTGCATAGTTTTTTGTTACAGTGTTTTTTGTAGTTAAATTACATTGAGGCGGGTAACTAGCTAAATCATGCCACATGCATATTGTGGAAAGCTAAACAGATTTTTTACATATGTATACATATATATACACCCCCACACACACATATTGATGTGGAACATCATCAAACTGTATTGTTAAATGAAAAGGCAGAGTATATACAAATGTATGTACTACAGCATCACTTTGGGGGAAGAGAAGAGAAAAAACGTGAGTGTGGATGAGTGCACGCAGTCCTTTGCTTCCACAGACGTGGAAGGGCAAGGGAGGGTGGTTGCTCTTGCAGAGAACAGGAATTAGGCAGGTAGGGGTGGGGCGGGAAGAAGATGCTTTCGTGTATACCTTTTTTCTACTTTCAAATTGTGTGTATTACCTGCAGGAAAGTGTAATTTAAGAAAGCATTCAGTCACCAGTTAGCAGAACCCAGCAACTAAAATCATGGCTCTCTTCCTAAGGACTGGAAGTGATTACAAACATCAAAAAGAAGTCCTTTTCACAGTCAGGCTGGCAAATAATCAACTGATGACCAGAAATAGCAACTTGTTAAAATATAAGATGCTGCATGGTCTTGGCGCATCTGGTCCTGGCAGCAGCAGTGGTGAGAACAGCCTCTCAAAAAATTAAAAAAAGAAAATGAGTGTTTTCTAAATAAATTGTAAATTAGAATTCTACTTACCCCTACTTTTTGCTGTTCAACCATTTTTCTTGGTCTTGCTGTCTGATTCCATACATTCCAGCCTGTTCAATGGATTTGTAATAAACTGAAAATACAAAAAAAAAAAAGCTGCGTCCTCGAGGAGGAAGCCTGCTGGCTGAATACTGCCCTTGTGGCCCCACCCCGTGCACTCATGGCAGACTTGGGGATCATTTTGAAAAGCACTGGGTAGAGTATGTTTAGAGGAGGACCTTTATATATTGTATTGGTGCTCACTGTAGTGATGTAATTGTAGAAATAGCTGAGAAGTTACTGACACAGCTGAGTTCCTGCTTCCTCGGCCCTTCTGCTGTACCCACTCTGTTCCGCGGCACCTTTTTCTAGCTGACCCCTTTTTCACTTCATCCTCTCCCTCACTGACATTTTCCCATTACTTTTTGTCTATCCTAAGAGCTGTGAGTAGTTAATGAAATTAACAGGTTTTTGTTCTTTTTGTCTTACTACCTTTTCATTCTGTTGTAACAAACCCCCCGCGTTCTGTCATCTGTTAGAATAAAGCTTATAAAAGGGCAAAAGAACCATGCGATTTTTAGTAAGCTCACATACTGTTAGCAGGGGGCCGTGTTCAAGGGAGCATGGGTGATTACATGATAATGGAAGTGGTACATATTTGTGATGAACTTAATCGATTCTCTAGGGAAGAAAAATAATTATCTTTAAGTCCATAAATAATACACATATGCCAGCCTCCAAATGCACCCTAAAGCATTCCATAGTACTAGCCACAAAAACAGTCAGGACTTTCTGGAATACAGCATTTTCAGTGTTAGTGCCAAAAGATTCTGTGACACTTAAATCACTATGAATCTTAGGCATCTCCCGTTTCTAGAAGAAATGCATTAAAATGTGACTAATGGACTTTTCCCTGGCCCACACTTCATTCTAGGGCATGAAGACATCTGGCAAGCAGGATGAGGCCTGGATCATGAGCCGGCTGATCAAACAGCTCACAGACATGGGCTTCCCGGTGACTGGTGTCTGATTTTACTGCTGCCCACCGTGTGTCCTGCTGTGCATGGCCCTCATTGTGTCCTGCCTGTGTTTGTCGTGTGTAACAGGGAAGGAAGACTTTTGAGGGATGAGACTGTTGATCAAATGTAACTCATAAATTCAGCTTTGACCTGGGCACTTCTGCTTAGGGATCATTGCTTTGAACTATACCAAAGATCCACATCATTTCTATCTAGAAAGGTGTGAGAGCCTTTCCTAAAATTAAAAATGCTGTGTGATTTTATATTTTAAAATATATATACAAGTTTTCTATTTTGTTATTTATAATTAAAAGTTAGTTTTTGTTAGTTTATATAATAGACTGACAAATATTACAAGAGAAAACTTGGCATTAAGTACTAGAGATTCATGTCCAGAGAAAGAATCCTATTTATTTAGTTTCCTGAGTTTCAGATAATGTATAAGGAGAGTTTGAATTGCAAGGTGTCCCTCAGAAAATAAATCACCGTCTGTTCATTCCTAAGATCAAATGGCAGGAGTTGAGATATGAGAGAGACCACCTGTATCTACTGTGTATTCCCCTCAAACGTCTTCTTTCCAAATCTTCATTCACATGAGTACTTACCTTTTGGTCACTATAGCCGTCCCTAAAGAGTGAGTCTGGAGTGGCCCCAGTCTAGAGGAGGGACCTACATACTGCACACAGGGCACAGGCCCTCTGATGCTGAGCAGGTTATGTAGCCTTGGGAGCCCCCCTCTTCATGTATGAGGCAGTGAGAGGAACAGCGGGGGCCTGCCTCATGTCCAGATGCACACTGTGGTGGTAAGCATGAGGCCACTGGTTGGTTTTGGTCTTCCACTGAGACTAAGTCTGTTCCAATCACGGGGATAATGATCAGAATGAATCTTCTTGAAAAGTAGTTGACAGCAGAGCCTAGAGTCCGTGAGTAGTGCCAGAAGCTCTCTGCTCCCACCCTTACCATGATTTCCCTACAGCTCTCCTTGCAGAGGTTGTATCCTTGCCAGACCCTTCTGCCCAGTGTTGGACAGAGACAATTACAGGATTCCTGGCTCTGTACATTTTGTTTCTAAAGTGTTACATGAGTTCTTTACTCTAAAAACCGATTCTGTACATCTTATAACAAGTATTTTTTATTTAGAAAGCATCTCTAACCTCAACAATGAAGGAAAGTATTTCTAGTTCTAAAACCTAGTATCATTAGGTTAATGATAATAATTAGGATAATAATAATCACTTCTCTAAGTCAATAGTGATAATACTCTTTACAAGCTTTTCTTTTTGTGAACACACAATGCTGATGAAAACTGTTTTCCTGTGCAGAGAGAGCCAGCTGAAGAGGCCTTGAAGAGTAATAATATGAACCTTGATCAGGCCATGAGTAAGTAGGATGATGTACTTGCAGTTCTTAAAGGTACCCGCTTGTGGACTTGTGATTTCCAGAAGCATTTCATTGCAGTCGTGGATTAATGATTGGATTCATGCTGGGTAGGCAGGACCAGGCTGCAGCAAAGGAGTGACCGTAAGATGTGCCCTAGGCGCAGGAGGGGATTGGTGGGGTCTGGGAACAAATAGCCAAATACCACATTGGAGCATGTTTGATTTTTTTTTTTTTTTCATTTTTATCCAGTACTTCAACAAATAGGTGGACTTTTTTGTCATCTCTTTTCGGGGGAAATCATAACGACATTCTTGGAGAGAGAGAGTAGGCTCACATGCCAGCCTCGCCTCACATGGAGCACCTTCCCCATGCCCGGCCCCAGAATGGGCTTGCTCAGAGGCCAGAAGCACCGCCATCCGGCTGAGCTCCTACTCTCGTTGAGAGATGGTACTCACTGCTAGGCAACAAGCAACCATAGTCTTGGAGCTGCTTTAAAAATATTAATAATGAAAGGTGATAGTCCGAATGAGACTGTTGTAAGTACATTTTAGAGTACCTGTAGCATAAAGGTTAAAGGAAAAGCATTAAAAATAACCATCACTACACCTTGGTATCACAGTACAAAAAGATAATTTGCAACATCAAAAATACAAAAGGGGTGAAAGAAAAGGATGGAACCTTTATAGGTGAATGAACATAATTGCTATCAGTAGAAAAAGGGACTATTTTGTATACCAGATGTTTTATGTAAATCTCATGGTAACCACAAAGCAAAAATTTAGAGCAGAGACATGAAACAAATGCAAGAAGATTAAAATCATACCAACTGTCCTGTCTGAGCATAATAGCATGAAAATAGAAATCAACAACAAAAAGAAAGATCTACAAGTATGTGGAAACTAAACAACACACTTCTAAAAAAAAAAACAGTGGGTCAAAGAAAACAAATTATCTTGAAACATATAAAAATAAAGACATAACATATCAAATATTGTTGAAAATCACCATAGAAAACCACCAGCTTATAAAGGTAGACAGAAACAGAAGGAAAACGATATAATAGACAAAATAACCACAAGGCAAAAGATAAACTGGCAGCAGTAAATCCTTACATGTCAGTAATCACCCTAAATATAAACGGATTGGACTCAGCAGTCAAAAGGCGCAGAGCAGCTGGTTGGGTAAAAAGCAAGATCCGACTGTGTGCCACCTACAGGAGGCCCATTCATCTCCGAGGACACACAGGCTCGCAGTGAAAGGATGAGGAATGGGGTTCCACACAAACAGAGACAGAAATAAGTAGGCGTAGCCTTACTTCTTTCCATCACACAGAATGGACTTCAAGCCAGACAGCACGGAGACAAAGAAGGTCCTTATTGTAATGGTAAGGGGTCAATACACAAAGAACTATATGTGCTCTCAACACCTGAGTACCAACATATATTAAGTGATTACTGGTCTTAAGGGAGAAAGAGACAGTAACACAGTAACTGTGGGACACTTCAATACCCCATTATCAACAATGGATAGATTATCCAGACAGAAAGTCAACAAAGAAACACTGGAAATGAACCACATGTTAGAACAAATGGACTTAATAGACATATCCCAACCACCAGCAGCAAAATAGACATTCTTTTCAAGTGCACATGGAACATTCTCCAGGATGGATAATTTGATAGGCCATAAAAATCTCACCAAATTTGAGAAAATTAAAATCATACTATATTGTCTGACCATAATGGCAGGAAGCTAGAAATCAACTACAGAAGGAGAGTGAGATCTACAAATGTGTGGAAACCAAACAACATGCTTCAAAACAACCATTGGGTCAAAGAAGAAATCAGAAAAATAAAAAATTCAAACAAATGAAAGTGAAAGCAACATGATCAAATACTGTGGGATGCAACGAAAGCACTTCTAAGAGAGAAGTTTATAGCAATAAAGGCATTTATTAAGAAATTAGATCTCAAACAATCCAACTTTACACCTCAAGGAACTAGGAAAAGGATAAAGTAAGCCCAGTATTAGCAGAAGGAAGGAACTGATGAGGATCAGAGCAGAAATAAAGACAAGAAAAACAATAAAAAGGCTCAACAAAACTAAGAGCTGGCTCTTCGAAAAGATAAAATTAACAAACCTCTAGACTAAGAAAAATGGTTCAAATAAGTAGAATTAGAAGTGAAAGAGGTGGCATTACAACTAATCCCACAGAAATACTTAAAATATAAGAGACTATAATACTACAAACAGTTACATAACCTAGCTGAAATAGATACATTTCTAGAAACACACAACCTGCTCGTTTTCTTCCTGAATCAGGAAGAAAAAAAATCTGAACAGACTGATAACAAACAAGTAAAGAGATTGAATCAGTAGTTTAAAAACTCCCAAGATAAAACTGCAGCACCAAATGGCTTCCCTGGAAAATTCTACCAAACATTTAAAGAAGACCTTAACTCTAGTCCTCAAACTTTCAAGATACCAAGGGTGGAACACTTCCAAACTCATTCTACAAAGCCAGAATTACTTTGGTATAAAAACCAGGTAAGGCTACTGCAAGAAAACAATAGGCCAACATCCATGACAAATATAGTTGCAAAAATTCTGAACAAAATACAAGCAAACTAAATTCTAGAACCATTAAAATGATCATACACCATGGCCAAGTAGGCTAGAAATCCCTGGGATGCAAGGATGGTTTGACATGGGCAAATTAATAAATGTAATATATCCCACTGAGAGATAAAAATCCCACTCAAGACAAAATGCAACACCCTTGCATAATAAAAACCCTTAACAGATTCAGTATGGAAGGAGCATACCTCAGCATTAATAAAGGCTATATACAATAAACCCACAGTTAACATTATACTTAGTGGAGAGAAATTGAAAGTGTTTAAGATCAGGAACAAGGGAAGGATGCCCACTTTCACCACTCTTATTCAACATAGTACTGGAAGTCCTAGCTGACACAGTTAAGCAAGACAGAAATAAAAAGCATCCAAATTGGAAAGGAAGAAATAAAATTATTATTTGCTAATGACAGGATCCTATATATAGAAAAATCCCAAAGAACTGGTCAAAAAACTTGGAATTAACAATTTCAGAAAAGTGGCAGGATATAAAACATACAGTAATCAATTGCATTCTTTTACACTAATGATGAAGCATTTGAAGAAGGAAAACCATCCATTCACAATACCATCAAGAACAATAAAATAGTTAGGAATAAATTTAGCCAAGGAAGTGAAAGAAATGTATGATGAAAACTATAGAACGTTCCTGAAAGAAATTGAAGAAGACACAAACAAATGGAAAGACATCTGTGTTCCTAGATTGGAAGAATTAATACTGTGGAAATGACCATAATACCCAAAGACATCTATAGATTCAACACAATCCCCATTACAATATCAAAAGCATTCACAGAAATAGAAGAAACAATCCTAAAATTTGTGTGGAACCATAAAAGACCCTGAATAGCCAAAGCAAGCCTGAGAAAAAGCCAATCTAGAGATACCTCACATTGGGATTTCAAAGTACACTACAAAGCCATAGTAGTAAAAACAGTATGGCACTGACATAAAAATAAACACATCAACCAATGGGACAGAATAGAGAGCCCAGAATTAAACCCCACCATATCTGGTCAACTAATATTATGTAAGGTAGGTCAAGAATACCCAACGGGGAAAGGAAAGTCTCTTAGGAAACAGTGCTGGGAAAACTGGAGAACAACTAAGCGGGCCCCTCTGACACCACTCACAAAAATTAACTCAGAATGGATCAAAGAGTTAAACATAAGACCTGATACCATGAAACTGCTACACAGAAACATAGGGAAGAAGCTCATCAATATTGGTCATGGCAATAATTTGGGGGGTATGATACCGAAAGTATGAACAGCAAAAGACAAAATCAACAAATGGCACTACATCAAGCTCAGAAGCTTCAGCATTGCAAAAGAAACAATTAACAAAAGGCAACCTACAAAAGGGGAGAAAATTTTTGCAGACCATGTAAGATGTTACTGAGCTCCTTCTCAGCAGCCTTACATTCATATCGGTGGCTATTCTCTGCTTTTTCTGGATGAACCGTATTGGTGATTCATTAACATAGAACTTGCAGCCAATGGCATTGTACTTCACGCCTGAAGTACCCTTAGCCAACGTGTGTTCTCCAGGGCGCAGCAGGGCCTTCCTGCTTTGAGAACACTAGAGCACACATTAGCAGTACACCTGGGGATCATTTTAAACATCATAATCACTAAAAAGCATAAAAATGTGTAAAACATGGCACTAAATAGACCATAAAGAGGACACTCGTTCACTGTTTGAGAGCTGGAGTAAGAGCGCCATCCTGTTGTTGGCCTGTGCTGGGAATGTGCCAGGCCCAACTTGTTTACCACCCTGTGCATGTTCACAAAATGGTCACAAAAGTGCCATAAGTAGGTTTGGGGACTATAAGTAAATTTTAGCCAGTAGGTAAACGCACAAGCACAGAATCCATGAACAATGAGAATCAACTTTGTAATCACGTCCAAGGGCCAAAATGCATGGAATAAGCTGCCAGGACAGAAGGAAAAGTCCATGTGAACTGGAAGAAGTTAGTTATAACTTGTTAGAATTTTTAAATAGTACAAAGTTAAAGTGAGCTAAGCAAACACCAGGCACTAAACTGAAAGGCCACGAGAACAAACTATGTCTTTGCATTGTATTGGATCCTTAACATCTAGAAGATTCCTTGCAACTAATAGGGACAGGAAGTGGAAATCAGCAGCCGTGAGTTGGAACAGAAAGGCCATTTTATGGGATAAATTGGGGAAGATCCCCTGGAAGCCTATGTGAAAAAGATGGGTGCATCGCAGGGGAGAGGAAGGGCAGGCTGCTGAGGGGAAGAGGTGGCCAGTGTGGCTTGCGTGGGAAGGAGCAGGAGCGGGGTACCCGAGAGCAGGGCCAAGTCAGACTGTCGGGGCTTGGCCCGAGCCTGGCCAAGGCCTCCCTGTTTCCTGGGAGTTGACAGCCTTCAAGGGCGCCCGTCATGTGCTCAGGGCTCATAACTAAGCTCGTAACTCCTCAGGCATTTCCGTTAAAGTATTCTTGTTTGTTGTGCTCCAGGCGCTCTGCTGGAAAAGAAGGTGGACATGGACAAGCGTGGACTGGGAGTGACTGACTACAATGGAATGGTCACCAAACCCCTTGGCTGCCGCCCACCAATCTCCAAAGAGTCTTCCGCAGACCGCCCCACCTTTCTCGACAAGGTATGAATTTAGGTGGTTTTTTTGTTTGCTTGTTTTTAACAAGAGCTATTTTCATTTTAACTGTCCTTAGTGAAAGCTGGATTAAAAACTTACTGGACTTCAATATTTAAGTAACTTTGAACCATTTTTTTCTAATATATATGAGTATTTAACTGAAAAGAGGTAAGAGGTAGCATTGTATTTCATATGATGTGACTAGGAATAAAAAATGCTGAAACTGAAAACTGATTTTCATTTTATTGGATGAATTTGTCTGGGTTATCTGCTTCAACTTGTCCAATAGACAAGGGTCATCAGATTTCTGTTTTACAGTCTTAGTTTATATGCACAGTTCTTCCCATTGGAAATGATGTGGTATATGTTTAATTTCAGAAAAGGGTTAGAAATAGTTAGGTGTGGGCACCTGTGTCTGGCGGGCCACCTCAGAGAATGCACAGGTGTCTGTGGGAAATCTTGGGTGGTTAACATGTCTGCTCACTGGGCCAGTCCTTTCATTATTGTGGATTGATGTCCCCACTCCAGATTGGTGTGACTTCAAACAGCATCCCATTATATTCAATCTGTTGAACTTGAAAAATAAAATTGAAGCAGGAAAGGAAAGTTAAAAACAAACAACAAAAAAACCAGAAAGGCTCACCTGAGAAGAGATGTAGCTTGGTCTCTGTTCTCAGATCCGCAGGGGCCTCTGCCACCTGCTCGCTGCAGAAACCTGCAGAGGGCCAAGAGGCAGGGGCTGAGTCCCTTTACTGCCTGGCACCAGTGGGGAAGGGTTCTAATCCACAGTCCAGTGAAATGGGAATTTCAGATAAACAATGAAAAATCTGTGGAGCATACTTATGCTAAAATATTAATTTACTCTTTACCTGAAATTTCAATTTAACTAGGCATCCTGCATCTTTATTTGCTAAATGTGGAACCCTGACTTATTTCCTTATCTTTAAAATGTGGAATAAAACTATATAGGTTTGTTGTGAAATTAAATGAGATAAATTTGCAAACAGCCTGACACATAGTGTGACCTGAATAAATGTTTAAAAAAATCTTTTTTTTATAAATTACCCTATTATTAGGTTGAACCATATGAAATTGCTGTGTTTGTAGGTCAAGAACAGTTGAATTGCAGAGAATTCAACCTATGTATAGTATACCTAGATCCTTGGTAATAACTCCTCAGAAAGAACCTCTTTATTTGAAAACAGTTGTAAACTTTTCCAGATAAGACTTTCGCCCATGTTTCTGTGTCTTTCTCCTGATTCCCGCCCTGAGGCAGGGCCAATAGTGTATGAGAAAATTAGAAGCTAATATATGTATTTGGAAATAATTGTTAAAATGAAGACAGCATCTTAATTGTTTCTCTTTTTTCTTTTTCTCCTCTTCCTTTTGCCCATGTTCTCCATTCTCTTATTATCCACACTTTTTGATCTTTTAATTATTATTCATCCATATCCCTTTATCTGTCCTTGGGAAACTGCCCTGTGCTCTGTCTGGATGGACACTGCACGCAGCTCACCCTTTCTCTCTCCAATCAGGACGGCGGCCTAGTGGAAGAGCCCGCGACTTCACCATTTTTGCCTTCACCCAGCCTGAAGCTCCCCCTCTCAAACAGTGCACCCCCTAATCAGGCCCTGGGTGGGATTGCCTCAGGGCTGGGCATGCAAAACTTGAATTCTTCTAGACAGGTAAGGCTGCTGGGAAAGAGCCCATGGGGTCTCTGTTTTACCTGCCTTTAGGAAAAATAAGCGAGAGACATAAACTTGCTTATTTTTACTTAATACCTGTGTTTTAAAATAGAATCAAATGTGTAGAGGTCGCTAAGGATTTCCCTTCAAGTGATATACTGGAGTCAATAATTGAATCCATTTCCTAAAATCCTACCATATCATAGGCACTGCTCTAGAATTATATTCATTTTCATACATAACTGAACTGTCCCTGAGTCCAGCTCTCTGGGCACTGACCCTGCTAGTTTGAATGGCTTGCCTTGCAGGGCTGTCTCTGTTGCCAGGTGGCACCATCGGTCCAGTAATGCCGCCTTTCTCCTGGCAGCCAAAACCTTAGGTCCACTGTTCTGCGAGAAAACACCACCTTCTCCCCTTCTTCCCCAAAGTAGAGGTGGTGTCTCTTACAAGGTTCTCGGGTTTTCCGAGTCATGCTGGCGTTTTTCCCAGTCTCCGACACTCTCAAAGGTAAAAGTCACTCCCACTGAAGGGAGGACTTGAGCGTTCTGGTTGATGGCCGCCCCATGTCCCTTCTCTGCCCTGGATTCTCTAGAGTGGAATGATGTGCGAGTAAATCACGCTTTTCCCATCTGAGAGCTTCCGTTCTCGTTGATTGTTCTCATGGGTGAGGCTGACACACACGCACCCTTGAAACTTGTCTTAAGTAGCAGTTGTGATAGCCCGGGAGGCCAGACAGTCCCAGGTGTGCCTGTGGTCCCAGGAAACCGCCCGCGGTGCCTCCGCTCTCGGCCGCTCCCCGGCCATGTGAGCCTCCAGGCCTCCGTCTTTCCCGGTGTTCCGCCCACACCCCACAGCGGGGTTTTCTGGCGTGTCCCTGCCTTTGTGGTGCCATGCCTATCAGATGACTCGCTCCAGTAGAGTGGAAAGCAGAACTGAGAGTGAGCGCATTTAGCTCGTTAGCTATCTGAATTTGTCACTGTGACTCGGCTTCAGGCTTTGAAATTATAGTTGCATTTCCCACTTGAGAATTCTTCTGTGCTCTAAGGTGAGTTAGCCCCTCACACTGTCACTCTCCAACTCATCACAGGGCCTTGTAGCAATGTCTGTTCTCCAAGTAGCTATGCATGTTGCTAGTGTTTTTATTATTACACTATTATTTTTGCATTACAAACTATTCTGGTTTGTATTAAACTATTATTATGGTTTCTTTGAATGTGCTAGCCTTGTTTTGGGACACTAAAACTGACGCTGTTGTGTGGCTTCTGGGATGTAAAAACATAGGCAGTGTCACGGGTTGATTGTCCATCATCTGTAACCAGTTGAAAGAACACTTATTAAAAATTCACTTTGATACAAGCTGACAGTGGTAGGGAGTCAGTACAGTTTGGCATTCATCATTAGGAAAACAAGTCGTGTCACCCCACCTCCGGTGTCCTGGAGCTCCCGGCTTTGTAACAACTTCCCCTTCCCACCCCTGCAGATACCGAGTGGCAGTCTGGGTGTGTTCGGCAGTAGCGGAGCAGCACCAGCCAGGCCCATGCAGCAGCCCCCGCAGCCACCCGTGCAGCCTCTGAGCTCCTCCCAGCCCAGTCTCCGTGCTCAAGTGCCTCAGTTTCTATCCCCTCAGGTCAGACCTGTGTCCACACATTCTGAGTGAGGCCACCCACATGGGCGGCCTGGGGTGTCTTGTGCCACAGTGACCTCACTGTACTCAAGTGAGAGCAAATTAGGTGCCTAAGAGGAGGTCTTCTGTGCTGACCTCTGAAGTCATTCTCACCTACCTGCTGGTTCCCTGCTCCAGGAGATGCTTGCAGAATTGTTCTTCGGGGTGCCCTAGCCAAACCAAAGCTGGGCACCCCCCCATCAGATGCAGTATTGCTGGGTGAAAGGTGTGCCAAATTCATGACCACTGATGATTTTTTGTCCCAGTCTTGAAAAAATTATTTCTATGAACCCAATCAAGTGTCCTGGATTGGTGGGAACGGAGAGTAACAACATGAAATATTGTTTAGGATATTCAAGAACCTACCTAGAAGCAATCAAGGATTGGATAATGCTTTGGTGACAAGCTACACTCGATAATATATAGTAGTATATATATTACAGACTTTTTGGTTAAGTTTATTACTTAACATTAGATCATATTTGCACATAAAGATTCTTTTTTGAAAAGATCAAATGGAGTTCAGGAAAAGAATATCATTCTGTGCAGCTCTAAAGCATATCGGTTTTTTCATGTTAATATTGTTTAATTTAAGAAATGTCATAATTTTAGGCTTTAGGCTGAGTTTTTAATTACAGTGTTTAGTCCTTACCACTTATCCCCTTATGAGAATATCCAGTAATAACTTATAATGATAAATTACTATAGAATTAGCTGAAAGTCATTACCACCTCATAAATGCATGTGCTGAATTGAGATGGCTGAAAACTAGGTAAAATAAGTTAAATTCATTAATTAGGATATAGAATAAACTACTATAATGAAGAGACCCAGAAAAACAGAAGCTTAGACGAGACACATTTATCTCTCCCTCAGGTAGGGGCGTAGAGGCAGCTCTGTCCCAGCCATCTCCCCACAACAGGAAGGCAGGCAAGGGTCAGCGGCTCCTTCTTGCTGTGACTGGGGCTGCACAGACCACTAACACTCCAGCTGGAGGGCAGAGGGACAGGTCCTGGGGAATACCCATAAGCTTTTTGAAGGCTTTTGAAGTTCACTCATGCAATAAAATTAATTGTCATTTAATTAATTGGTTTTGAGTCTCAAAAAGCTACACAAACAAGTAAACATTTTAATAAAGATGCTGTGCCTCATGGTCTGTTTTGTGTTAAACAGGTTCAAGCACAGCTTTTGCAGTTCGCAGCAAAAAACATTGGTCTCAACCCTGCACTATTAACCTCGCCAGTTAATCCTCAGCATATGACGATGGTGAACCAGCTCTATCAGCTGCAGCTGGTGAGTGGGTGATGGACCCAGGCTACAGAACAGCGGAAGAGCCCTCTCCTGACATACAGATAGGCCAACAGCATGCACACTGACTGACGAAGTAGTTAATGGGATGCTCTTCCTCACAGCAGGGCGTGTCACTGAGACTTCTGTGACATTCGTAAACCACAGTTGACCCTGGAGCAACACACGTTTGTTTGAACTGCATGGGTCCACTTACACACAGACTTTTTTCAATAAACATTAGAAACCACTGTTTGGAGATTTGCAACAATTCGAAAAAACTCACAGACAAACCACATAGCCTAAAAATATAAGTCCACTCATACATGGATTTTTTTCAATAAACATATTAGAAACCGTTGTTTTAAGATTTGCAACAATTTGAAAAAACAGACAACCTACATAGCCTAAAAATATCAAGAAAATAAAGAAAAAGGTATGTTACGAATGCATAAAATGTGTGGATACTAGTCTATTTTAATACTACCACAAAACAATACACAAATCCATTATTAAAAAGTTATGCACATAAACACAGGCTGTACATGGTGTCATTCACAGTCAAGAAAAATGTAAAGTTGCCACACATCTCCAAAAAATACTCCAATATATTTATAGAAAAAAATCCACATGTAAGTGGACAACACAGTTCAAAGCCATGTTGTTCAACGGCCAAAAACAGGCTATTAGCAGTGAAACTTGGAGGGAGTAAAGAGTGTGCATAGGTTTTTGACCGGCACGGGGGGGCCCGCATACTGCCCGAAGTTGATTGGAGCTCAGCTGTGTGAGGATGAGGGCATGTCTCTCGCCAGGGATTTTCACTGAGCTCTGTGAACTTGCTGGCCCTTCGTGCCCACCGTCTCCCAGGTCTCAGGTGAGCACTGTCTTTAGCTTGAGATCTCAACCAGCCTTAGTCACACAGAGGCTCACCTGAACCACCGGACATAGAAAATAGCAAGTGATTGTTCTCTCAATTCGTCCGAGGATGGCATACACAAATGCCACTCTACAAGGAGCACAAGAGAGAAGTTACTGCATCATATACAGTATATGCTTAGAGATTAGGACTTAATTGTTTCTCAGAATCCCTGTTGAGAAAGGCTGAGGTCACATAATAATTCTTGAAAGTTTTATGATTTAACGTACCTTGAATTGTTCATTTTTAGTAATCTTACTTCTTTCTCATAAAATGCCATGTCATTGTATCCCTGGATGCATGCTGAATTTATATACACCAAAGAACCAAATGTGTAATTTCTTTTTTTAATATATTAACAGCCAATTTATTTAGAACTGTTGTCCAGCAACTTCATCTCCTAGAAAATGACCAGAAATCACGAAGCAACAACAAAAAAAATGCCTCCGATAGACAAAACCCTGACATCAAAACTTTCCGTACAGGAGAGTTCTGGGCACCCTCGGCCCTCATTTGTCTGTTTGTTAGACACAGAAATAACCAGTCTGAGCGGCTGGTTTCCCAGGAAGTAGTAGGGTAAGATGGGAGGTGGAAGTTGCTCTGAGACAAGTAGTGTTAAGTAGTACGCAGAGCTCTGGATGGGGGCTCCTTACGGCCTGGTGGCAAGGCTTCTGAGACCTGACAGCCCTGTGGGCAGGTGGCTCTAGTGGCAGGTATTGACAGTTTCACCAATGACAGCAACACCGACCTCAGAGGTGGACGAGCGACAGCCACAGAAGTCAGGCACATGTTTTAAAAGCCTGTCATCGAAAACTGTTATTAAAGAGGGAGAAAGCTTTCCACTCCGTGATGATGCTGAAGACATTGCTGTTTTCTGACATGTGACAGATGATTATCTTACTGATGTTCTAGAAACTACTTAGACAGTAATTTTTATTGACCCACATGATGGGAAAAACATTGAGAAAATGTTGAATTGTTTAATGAATTCTGTATTTAAAACAATGTATACTGTTTTTACTCCCCCCACATAAAGGGAGAAGGGGATTAAGTGGCATTCTGATAAGCACACATTAGGGCAGTCACGAGGAGGGCAGTGTAGCACAGAGAAGGCAGGTAGTGACTGTGGCATCTTACTACACTGATGGACAGTGACTACACTGGGGTATGGGGTGGGGACTTGATAATGTGAGTGAATGTAGTAACCACAACGATTTTTGTGTGAAACCTCCATAAGAGTGTATATCAATGATACCTTAATAAGTAAAAAATAAAAACCAAACATTAAAAAAAAAAAAACTCAGTTACAACTTTTGACTCCCCAAAAACTTAATAAAATGCCTACCATTAACTAGAAGCCTTACCCAACAGTATAAACAGTTGATTTACACATATTTTGTACATGTATTATATACTGTATTCTTAAAGCTAAAGAAAAAAGGTATTTTCAAATTGTTGCAAATCTCCAGAAAAATTTCCAATATATTTATTGAAAATATCCACATATAAGTGGACCCACCCAGGTCCGAGCTGTGTCGCTCCAGGTTCAGGTGTGTCTGTGGTCTGGGGGGCGGCCAACGCCGCTGTTCCTCCCTACCGTCCGAGCATTCCAGACCACCGCCATCTGTGTCAGTACAAGAACAAACACTTTGCATTTTTCCCCCCTCATTTCTTTTTATTTTTAGTTTGTATGCTACGAGCAGAGGAGTTTTGATCTCGTCATTAACCGAAAAATACTTGCTGACAAACCTCACTAGCAGCATTAAACAGGGGTGCTGGCTCGAGTTGCCTTTCAAAGTCTATGCAGTAGAAAGGTTTTGGGACAATTTCTCCTTTTAAAAATTCTTTGTGCCTCACAATGTGCTTAAGCCACAGGAAAGTAAGGGGACCAAGAACCTTGCCATTTTCTTTTCTTTTTGCTCGTGCTAATAAGTTGAACCATTCGGTGATGGTTTTCATATTACATTCTAATTCTATTCTTTCTGTCAACAGGCGTACCAACGTTTACAAATCCAGCAGCAGATGTTACAGGCCCAGCGCAACGTTTCCGGACCCATGAGACAACAGGAGCAGCAAGTAGGTGTCAGGCCCACGCGCTTCCCGCTGGGCTCGCTGCTGCGGCCCTGCCTGATCGAAAAGCACCGACTTTCCCCGCCGTACCATCGCCGGTTTTCTCTCGCTAAGCCTCACCTTCTGAAAGTCTCGGGGTCACCTACCTGGGTTCGGGAGGTGGTGGCCCAGGCATGACCGTAGTGGGGACGGTGCACGTGGCGTGCGGGGTGTCTCTCGGACCTGCTAAGCTGTGTCTCTGCCGCCAGGTCGCGCGCACAATCACTAACCTGCAGCAGCAGATCCAGCAGCACCAGCGCCAGCTGGCCCAGGCCCTGCTCGTGAAGCCGCCACCCCCGCCGCACCTGTCTCTGCACCCCTCTGCAGGCAAACCGGCCATGGACAGCTTCCCCCCTCACCCCCAGGCCCCCGGCCTGCCCGACCTGCAGACCAAAGAGCAGCAGTCTTCTCCCAGCACCTTCGCTCCTTACGCTCTCGGTGAGTCCCCGGCCCGCGTGGCCGCCGCGGCAAGGGGGTGCCAGTCAGGCTGATGCCGCGCTGCTCTCAGTGGTCACAGTGACTGCCCGCTGCCAAAAGAGTGTCGGAAATGCAGCTCCAGATGCCACAGAGCAGCTCTCAGCTTCCTTGGGAGCCGCACCAGCTGCTTCTGCAGAGCAAGAGTTTTGCTACAGCCATACCTACTTTCAGTGTAAAATCTTTTAAGTTAGTAGCAGCGAGAGGCCGCAACCTGTCGCACCCGCATTGTGCACCTGCAGTTGTCCCACCCCTGGGTTACTCCTTACTGCTCTTCAGCAGCCATTGTCTTCCAGCCTAAACTGCAGGGAACGGTTTGTAACAGTTTTATCAGGAAAGGTGTTCGGATTTCTGGTATCCAGACAGTCTTAAGAAACAGTTGCTGTCCACGCAAGTCCTCTGGTATAGAAGGTGATCTGTGTGATCAGCCACATCAGCGTGCATGCACTGACCCCCTGAGCCGCAGTGGGCATGCCCAGTGCTTGAAACCTGCTGGTCAGTGGAAGACGTGGTGCTACCCTCAGGGGCACACACGCTAGCCAGGAACATAGGCTACATGACTGAAGACGGTATGGAAGCCTCACACAGAGGCATGTGTCGGTCAACTGGATGTACGTGGAATAATTGTACGAATCCAGAAACTGGCGAGAGTACTTCCGGCTTGTCTGCCAGAGTCCAAAGCTCTACGGGATAAAGGGAACCAGTAACCTGGGAAATAGTTTCCCAGAAAGGCAAAGGCCAGTGGAATGACAAAGGCCAGACTGGAATCTGCTACCAGCTGATAATGGTGTTTTTTTGTAAGACAATCACACGCCTCTGAAAAGGGTGATATGTTCTAATCATCTGAGCACTTTCTACTTGACACATAATTAATGTGGTGTGTCTTTAGTGTGAAAATGATAAATGCTAAGCTGTTACTCTCTGTCCCTTTATCATCGCCCCTCCCATTACCATCCTTTATGTTTAAGAAGTAGCTTACAGTCTGGTGGGTGAGACCTGGTTTAGCAATCAGACTGCCACGTAGAGTCCCAACTCTACCACTAACTGGGTCACTGCCTACTTGTGTAACTTGCCTAACTGCTCTTTGCCTCCACTTCCCCATAAGTAAAGTGGGAATACTTACTTCATAGGGTTCTTTTAAAGATTAAATGAACTGTTGTGTAAGCTTCTTAGGACAGTGTCTAGCACATCGTAAGCACTTTGTAAAGTGTCAGCTGTTTGTGTGAGCAGCCCTTTTTCAGGAATCGTTGTTTCAGAAACAACGGCTGTTCGGTCTGTTATCCTGCAGTGCTTTAGCTTCAGCTTCCTTGTATCTGCCTGTCCTCTTAACTTTTGTTTGAAGAGTAGAGCACATGATGTTTCTCTTAAAGATCTTAGTACAGATCAAAGAATTAGTTCAGTGAATCTTCAAAATTAGATGAAAATAATTTGGGTAATATCATTTTAAAGTTATAAAATAAATGTATGTGTTGACAATAAATAGCTGATAAAGCATAAGAAACCTAGCCTGTGAAGTAACCTTCCTGGCTGGTTCTTGGCATTTTTCTTCAGCAGTGGTAGCTCCATCCACCTTCCTTCCTGCACAGCACCTCCTTATCACATTGTCTCTTGACTCCTGGAGTCTGTCTTCTGCGTGACAAGATTGGGCATATAAAAATGAGAAAATAACCTTCACAGCCAGTGTGATGTGGTTATTCCAGAGCTGAAAGAGAAGGCAGAGTTCATGGTCACCTTCAGTGGTGAAAGAAGGGTCAGAGCGGGGTCAGGTTCGGACTTCGAACAAGCAGGATTCCAGCTGATACAGAAGGAGCCTCACATAGAAGAAAGGGCGCCTCCAGGGCAGGCACGGGGACAAGGGCCTGGCTAGTCTAGCTGACTGGTAGAGGGAGGACAGGAACAAGACAGGGAGGTTGGGAGAGGTGGGTTAAGGCCCAGTTGTGGGATTTAGAGCCCATTGAAGGCTGGGCTGAAGCCCCGTCTCTTGTCCACTCACCTGGCTAGGTCTGTACGAGTGGAAGTGAAGATAGCCGTTAAAGCAAACTACGAGTTGGCAGCCCCTTGGCAGCGTCTGACTTGTACAGGTGTGTTCTGTTAGGGCTACAAAATGTGTGTGTGTGAATCGCCAACATTTTTAAATAAGTTTGAAGCAGTAGCACCTGCTTATTTAGACCTTCCTGTGCACTGCAGCTCCCGACAGGCCCCCTTGGCCCATATAGGCCTTTGAGTGTGTGGACCCTGGTTTGAAGTTAAGAGCAAGCACGTTCAGCACCTTGCTCAGGAGTAGAGATTCCCTTTTGCATGTGTGCCAGGATATAAGGTGTGAGAACTGCAGGGGCTGGGAAGGACCCATGGGTGATAATAGGCTGCACGCCCACTGGTTATTCTCCCATCAGCCGAGGAGTCTGTCCAGCCCCTAATGGAACTTGTCACTTCAGCCTTTCTGCCATCATCCTCATCTTCCCTCATTAACCTAGCACAACGATGGTACTTGTCAGATACCCCAGTCACTACTTTTAGCTGTAAGAAATAAACCCAGAATCAGTACGCCATGCAGCTGGGAACAGGTGGTGGCACTCACTGTCAAATAGTTCAAGTCCTTAAAAGTAGCTTGAGATGTAATTGATAAACTCATCGCAAGGAAACTTTTGTAAAGTAAGTTCACTGAGGGTTGAGTCAGTTACCTGACCTGCTTGTTCTGTAGGTGGTACGTTAGAGTATTACTTAGAACTCTGAAAGAGTGGTCTTTGATCTGGTGAGCTTCCCAAAAAAGGTTTTCCTAATTGTTTAGACGTGTTCTGTTCTTCTGTGGGCCCTGAATGAGAAGCCTCAGAACCATGCTTAGCACTGAAACAGGTAAAATGAAAAGTCCTCAAAGACTTGTTCCCATTTTCACCTTAATTCAGGAATAATTCCTAGAAATATATGTTGTTAAAAAACAAAAAGGTTTTTTTCTCACCAGCATTAAAAGTTTCAGTTAAAGTATTTGGCCAAGAATTACGGCTTAGATTGCTTGTCTAGGAGAGCTTTGGACTATAACAATTAAGAAGAACAGGTGATTCCTAATAGCATGTTTATTCATAGCTGGACTGAACCCAAACATGAATGTCAACAGCGTGGACATGACTGGGGGTTTGCCGGTGAAAGACCCGTCTCAGTCCCAGTCCCGCCTCCCCCAGTGGACACACCCCAACCCGATGGACAACCTACCCGGTGCTGCTTCTCCGCTCGATCAGAACCCCAGCAAGCATGGTACGTCTGAGCCGGCGGTCTCCTCGCAGACTCTCCACTGCACAGGTCATGTTATGTGCTCATTTTATTACTTACACTGCATTTCTTTTCTAAAAACACGGTGCTGAAAATTGAATAAAAAATACTCCATTCCGTTAAAAGTGTTTAGCATCTCCACTGTCAGTGATCAGACTTCTTGAAGCCTCAGCCTCCAGGTCTTAGCTACAAACCTGCAAATGATTGAAGTTACCCCAGAGCAGCAAAGGGTATAGGGTGCATACTTACTTACATGTGTATTGTTCAGCAAAAAATTTGAGTCTATGAAAAGAAATTTTGACAATGAAATGATAAAACACAATTGAAAATCAAATGCTTAGAGGAAAACAAAAGTGCTAATAACCATAGGTGATGTGATCTCACTGTGAAGCATTAAATGTAGCTCCTAATTCCCTGATAACATAAAACAGCAAAGGACATTGAACAGGATTTATAATTCTTGATATAAAAATGTCTAAAAAGGAAATTTTTCCTGATGGTTAATTCTACAAGAAAATCATTACACGCCCTCTGGGCACCTGCCTTGGCAGGAGAGAGCTCAGTCTCCCGTGGCAGGGCAGCATAGACTCTAGAGAATCCGCAGCCCGTCTTGCCCGTCCGTAGGGCAGCAGACTGGAGGGAGGGAGGACACAGACTAGCAGCGCCGATGGCTAACCACGGCGACTCCAGCATCCCTAGAAAGTATGGGCTTGCGTTTTAACAAGATTTCCAACTTGACAGTTCTTAAAGAGTGTCAGTCTTCCACAGATAAAGTGTGGGCCCGCTGAAGTAGTCCCCTGGGCATGGAGAATGCCAGGCAAGCCAAGGCTGACGGGTGGTGTGCCCTGCTCACTCGGCCCTCTTCCTCCTGTCCCTGCAGGTGCTATTCCTGGAGGTCTAAACATTGGGCCTCCAGCTAAGTCCTCCATTGATGACTCCTATGGCCGGTACGATTTAATCCAGAACAGTGAGTCACCAGCCAGCCCTCCTGTAGCTGTTCCCCATAGCTGGTCACGTGCCAAATCTGACAGCGATAAACTCTCAAATGGCTCCAGCATCAACTGGCCCCCAGGTAAGAGCTTGCAACACTTCTGTGCAGCAGCAGCCAGAGCTGCTGCAGGCCTGAGGAGAGTGAACAAGCAGGAGAATCCTGGGCCCAAGCCAGGAACCCTCGGAGCATCAGCCCCATAGCTTTTGGCTTTTTCACCGTAATCCATTTGTCAGATAAAGCTTGGGTGCGGTTGGTGTCCAGCCCCTTAGAGAAGAGGAGTGCAGGAGAACGGGGGACACTGTCTTAATGTGCAACTACATATCTAGTCGTAGTTCGTTCCAAAGGATCGAGGATTTCTGGAAGAAAGTCTACAATGTGCCTTAACTTATCAGGAAGCAGTGTCCAGGTACTCGAAAATCCATGTTTTGATTTTCATTTTGTTTGCAATTTTCCAGAATTCCATCCTGGAGTTCCATGGAAAGGACTTCAGAATATAGATCCCGAGAATGACCCCGATGTCACTCCCGGAAGTGTCCCCACCGGGCCCACCATTAATACCACCATCCAGGATGTCAACCGCTACCTCCTCAAGAGTGGAGGTAGGAGAGGGCCGCTCCGCCCGCCCCTGCCGGGGGGCGGGGGCATCCAGACGGCGGTGTAGACGGGCGGACGGGCGCTCCTCCGCCGCTGAGGTGGTGGTGGTGTGAGAAGACATTGGGTCGAGCCAATGGTGCGAGTGGAAATTGATCTGGCCTAAGTGTTGTTGATCTGCGCTAAGTGCTCGATTTGTTTGCACATCATTTTTTATAAGCATTGTGTTATGAAATCATGATAACCATTACTCTTTTTAGTGAAGAAGTTTCCATTTGAAATTTCTTTAAACTGAAAGTAAGGTGACATCTCTGTCTGTAGCTGGCAAATTCGTTGCTCTAAATTTTGGCACCCCGTCTATCAGACTTCAGGGTCCAGTAGCAGGCGATAAGCTGTGCTGAGAAGTTACAAACCGGAATGTAGATGTCACATGAGTAGAGATTTCCCTGGAGGCATGCAGGTGAAGAAGTTCTGCAGTTTATCAGCATGCTAAAAATGTGAGAGAAAGCTAGGTTACCAGCAATACTTAACACTCATAAGGCCACTTGGATAGTTCCCAAAACATCAATTTAGGCTCTTCCTTAAAATATGACCTGTGGGAGAGGTGCATCTTTTTAATGACTCTTTAAATGTTCAACTTCTCAGTGTGTCTGTGGTTTGGGTAAAAAACAGCATCAATACAGCTTATCCTTCTGTTTAATGTCATGCATTCCTCGTGTGTCAGTGCAGCCGCTGCTTAAGATGGGTCTCGGACACCCCTGCTGTCGGGACAGATGAGTGGTATGGGAGACACAAAGCCATGGGAAATGGAGCCTGTAGGAGGCAGCGGGGGTCAGAGCACAAGCCAGAAGCACACTCAGCCCTCACTGCTGACCCATCGCCCTGAGTGTGGCAGCAGGGCTGTGCCAGAGCGGGCACACCAGTCACTGTTCTGAGGATCGTGGTGAAGTGTGAGCACACTGTGCTGGCCCAGGTAGTAAACACTTGGGAGGGGTTGAGGTTGCACAGTAGAGAGCAGTTTCCTGAAGGGTGCCCAGTGGATTGTGCAGTGATCCTTGGCCTGGGGTTAGCACCTGGGGCATTACACACACCCTCCACCTTTGCACAAGTGTGCCGTGATGTGACAAGGTGGCCTGGAGAAGTACATGAATTCTGAGGAGAGAGCCAAGCAGCTATCCTTCAGTCCCACAGAGTGCCCGAGAGAGGAGGCCGTCAAGAAAACGAGATGACCAGCTCTAGGATAAAGAATTGAGCCAGACATCCAGCCACAGCATCTTGCCGCTTTACATGGCATTGTGTGACCTCTAGGGGCTTGACACTTAGGAGCATGTGATGAGGCCGTTAGGAGGCCTGGGCAGGTCACGTTTCTGTATGCAGAAGCTGTTCACAAAGCAGCACCGCCACCGTGGCACAGTGGAAACAGACTGGAAACCTGGTGGGCCAGTTGCCTTCTCCAGAGCATGCTGGGCTGCTCGCCATACGCAAGGGGCTGCTGGGCATCCCTTCAGCTGACCTCACTCAGGCACCAGGCCACAAAAGGCCATCATATTTTTGAGTGACCAACTTGATCTAAAGTACAGAGAGAAAAAAATAATGAAGAAACTGTGCCCCAGAAGGAAAACAGTGAGAAATAGCCACTAACCTCTCAATACTGGTTTATTTCACATAGTTCCATATGGAATTTCCTGTTTTCTTTTACTAAGTATACTAGGTATTGGTTTTTACATTTTTGTTTTTTATTTATTGCCATTGGCATTAAGTTCTAATTTGATATTAAAAACTTACATTAATCCAGTATTTGGATATTACTTGTAATTCTAACCCTGCTGAAGTGAGTATTAACCAGAATGGTGACATACAGTCCTGCCATTTCCTAGCATACTGATACTAACACTTCTAGAAAGGAAAGTTAACTGTAATTTCATGGGACAAATTCCACTATGTAAAAATTTCAAAACTAGAAAATGATTAAAATCTGAGTACCCTATTGTTAACTATTAAAGAAATACCATATAGGGTTAAAATAATTGTAATCTTGACATCTTGGGTTGATTGCATTTTGTTAAATGACAGAAGAGGGTCTAGGAAGTAAGCTTAGGAGGGCAGTAGAGCTGATACCTTAGAATTAAAGATGTCCAGATTACAAAGAAATTCAGATGTTTACCATCTCCGCCTCCCTCGTGCCAGGGAGGCCAGTCACGCTGACGCAGCTGCGAACAGCCATGCAGGTTGTACACCGCGGGAGTCGGAGGAGCCCCGCGCCTGGTAGTCTCTGTGAGGGATGCCCCTGTGTTTGTTCAGTTCCCTGCCCCGGGGGGCCCCTGTCAGGGGTCCCATGTCTTTTGAGATTCTGTGTGTGTTATTGAACATAAAAGCCAGAGTCTTAGGTGCCCATGTCCCCTCCCCAGCTGGAGTGATTTTCCAAGTGGAAGAGCTCTGAGTCGGTCCGGCAGCAGCCCAGACGGTCACCACTGCGTCACCCCCCTCCCCCAGCTACCTGCGTCCTCGTCCTCGGAGAGCTATGAGGGCGTGACTCGGAGCACCCCGCGGTAGCCAGCCTTCTTGGAAAGTGCAGCCACAGGCGGCAGCACACCCTCAAGCCTCCCTCCCAGGGCAGGAACCAGGCTTTTTCAGAGTGGGGAAGTGCAGGTCTGGAACACAGCCGCCCAGTTCGCAGACCCCTCTCCGTTCTTCCTGTGCTGCAGAGGAGAAACGCGCCTCGGCAGGAGAGGGTCTGACACATTTTAAATCAGAAGGAAATGCTGGCTCTGTTTATGGCAAAATTTATAACCAAAAACTTGGCATTTTGTTTTATTTTGTTTTTTAACTTTGTGGATATTGTTGAGGTGTGAAAAAGTAGAGGTTGCCCTGTTATTTTCATGTTCACCTCATCTGGAAGGGCGGAAATCCATGTGACCCTTTAAAGCTGTGCCGTGCTTTTTTAACATTCTGGCGATAAGTCTTCTCTCCCCTCTGCGAACCCCCTCCTGGAAAGTTACTGCTGTTTCCTGGCCTGCCTCTCGGCCACGGCCCCTTCCATGTGCCTCCTTCCCTTGCCAGGAGCTTGACCGTGTCACGCGTTCATGTTCAGCCGTCTCCCCGAAAGGGCAGCTTAGGGAGAGACTCCCTCTCGGTTGTTAGCACCCTCCCACTCGAGGGTGAGCGGGAACCCAGCGCGCCTGCTGCCGCCTTTCTTAGCGCCCTGTTTGGTTCTGCAGGGTCCTCCCCACCATCATCTCAGAATGCCACGCTGCCTTCCTCGGGTGCCTGGCCGCTCAGTGCCTCCAGCTACAGTCGCTCTTTCAGCAGCATTGCACCCGCACCTAGTATTGCAGGTACGCACCTGGCCTCTCGGCTCGCAGGTCGCCCACCCTTTCTCCCCGCAGGCACAGCTGACAGGCCCAGCATTCCTGCGGTCCATCCGCTCGCCGCCTGAGCTGGGAGGCCCTGCGGTGTGGAGGAGGGGGACCTGGGGCACCGTGCGTCATCTGTGCGGAGTGGGATTGGTGACACCTTCCCGTGGGCTGTGTGATGACCACAGGACTGTGTAAACTGCCCGGCGCAGGACAGGACGTGGCTGCTGCCCAGGCACCTACTTGCCTCTCTCCCCCTTCCTCCCGTGGCTACAAGACAAGGGATGTACAAGTTCTAAACCGTGGAGGCAACACCTGCTCGGAGTTGGCTGTTACTCGGGCCTGCCGTCAGGAGCGGGAGAGCGTAACAAGCCCCATAGCTGACCCAGTGTGACCGCTTCCCTTGCCCAGATAAATGTGGCTGGATTGTCCCTGTATTACCATAGACTTCACGAGTCTTCCAAGTAAGAAATTTCTTTTCAGCCTAGAGGAGAATTGAAAATTGTTTGTCATAAAACATCAGAGGAATTTGAATCCAAATTTAAGACAAAGATATAAAGAAATGTGGACACATACATGAACAGAATATATAGCAGGCTTGTAAATAGGTAGAGAACTTAAGGGGGTTTCTTGTTTACCAGTTTCTTCACATTTGCATTCCTGTACTCTATCCTCCTTTTCGTCCACTTTCCAAAGCCGTGCAGGAGTGCTGCAGGGGTTCTTCTGATACCAGTCCCGAGGGGAGAGAGTAGTCCAGCGTGGGTTAGCATCCTCGGGAGAAAGGGAGAGCATCTGCATTATTCATTCCTTCTGATATTTATTCTTTCTAATATTTCAACAGGGGCATATTTAGACCGTTAATACTTCCATAACTACTTAGCTGAAGAGAGGGGGCAAGGTAAAAATCATCTTCTCTGTAATTTAGGCAGCTTTTCATGGCATTTTTGTTTTTCTGATCAATGGCACCTTTGTCAAAATTAGCAGTTTGTTTGTTGTAAGGTTGCAGTCGGCTCTGGTGGCCAGGGTTGGAGGGGACACCACTCAGGGTTTTTGATGTCCTGGTCACTGCAGTGCTGTCTGCGGAGCATGGTGACAGCAGTCACTCTGCCACCAGCACCTCCTGTCCTTGCCGCTGGGCCAGGGACACAGGTATGCGGGCATCCTGGTATCTGCACATCCTCACCGAGCCCTGGGTGCAGGAGGGACTGGGGCTGGTGATTGCTACTGGGCGTGTCTTTTCTCTCAGAGAGCCTTAAAATAAGCTTACCCCCAACCAAGGTGCCAAGATTCTGAACTGTTCAGCGCTCAGGGTGGCGAGGCCCCCTTCCACAGAGCCGCGCAGAGGGTGCATCACACAGCTGTTAAGAGGAGATCTGGGGCAGATGTGGGTGCGAGGGCCCTGACGGGCATTGCTTTGAAGAGGGACTGATGCCTAAAGAAATAACATAGAGGATGTATATGTTTTAGGCTTTTGACCTTGATTAATTTGTTACATCGTGTGCTCCAGTAGAATATTAAGTTAGCTTTAACACTGAACTGCAGAAGTGCTACTTTCTTGGTGGCCCACTTGGGGCTGGCACATTAAGGAAATTGACAAAGTATCAAATACTGGCACAAACACAGGCAGGCCATCTTGGGCAGAAACTGATGCCCTGTGGGTCTCGTTGGGTGCTTTCCTTGGTGGTTTTTTTTTTTTTTTCATCTCAACGGACTGCTGGTGCCAGCCAGCACTTGGTATGGTTCCCTGAATACTGCAGTGACTTTTCTTCTCAGGAACACCTGTGCTCCATTTCTCTGCCTTTTTAGGTAAACTGTCAGACATTAAATCGACGTGGTCCTCTGGCCCCGCCTCCCACACCCAAGCCTCTCTGTCTCACGAACTGTGGAAGGTGCCCAGAAACACTACTGCGCCCACACGGCCGCCTCCAGGGTTAGCCAATCCCAAGCCTTCCTCCACCTGGGGAGCCAGCCCGCTCGGCTGGACCAGCTCCTACTCCTCGGGTACGCATCTGCCCCTGCGCCCAGCCGGCGGGGGTGGGGGCGGGGGCGGGCTGCGCCTGCTCTGCCCATCCTTCGGGGGGCCCTGGCTGTCATTCTGCCATGCAGCTCTTTTGTAAGGACTGCTACCCCACACCTGGACTCGGGGGCATCTTAGGGGAGGCCACAGCACCCTGGACTCTTGGGGCGTGGCTGTTGCAGCACCAGCTGTAACCGACCACAGCGTTTGAGCCCCAGCCCCAGGTGCTGAAGCACGCGATAGGTGTGCTCCGAGCCAGGAGGTCCTGGCGGCCCCAGCCCCGTGGGGAGGCCGCGCGGGACCTCACCAAAGGCCTGTCCCGCCAGCACCAGGGTCTCAAGTTCCACTCCGTGTTTGCTTCTCCACAATGTTCAACTGGGACAAAGAGCTTCCTTGGCCCAAACCAAACCGCCCCCCAGTGTGAGATGACTGCTCCAACCTAGTGCAGATGCGGAGACGAGGAAAATGGCTGCTTCAGCCTTTGCAGGGTCGCCCTGCGGGCTGCTTTGTTTTATCAACAAGGAGAACTGTAGAGAGTGGGTTCTACATGCGGGAGGAGGCCAAGGAGACCAGAACTCTGGGAGGTTCTCACCCGAGGCGGCACACCCGCCCCGCGGGCTACGGCGGTTGTGGCGTTTCGGCTCTCAAGCCGGAAGGACAGTGCGGGCTCCAGGTGGACAGAGGCCAGGGCCCGCGGCAACGGCCCGCGCCGCCCCCCGGTGGCCAGGCGGGGAGCTTCAGGGCTAGGGCTCGCGCCTGCGCACTGACAGCCGCGCTCACTGCGTCTTCCCTGGGTCCGTGCAGGTTCTGCCTGGAGCACTGACACCTCAGGAAGAACAAGCAGCTGGCTCGTTCTCCGCAACCTCACGCCCCAGGTACAGGCTCTGCGCGGTCGGGGGCCTCGGCGCATGCTGGGAGGAGGGTTACCACCCACCCCAGTTGCACACGGGTCTTGGCGCCAGTGGGCGCCATCATTCAGGACCCAGGGGCCGTGTGGGCAGCAGTGCAGACGCCAGGCGTCTGCTAAACTGTTCACTCTTCACTTTTCTGAGGCTTTGAAAGCCCAGCTCTATAAACAGGATTGTTGTCCTGGACCTGCACTGCTCAGTGACAGCCTGGGCTCACCCTTGCAGGGGCCAGAGGCCCTGTGGGATGTGCTCTCGAGAGGGGTCACAACCAAAACAGGGTTTTCTCCTCTGATCAGCCTAACTCTAAGTGCGCAGCAGTGTCCAAGGATAAGAGACGGCGTGGCGGGTCGGGTACAAGGCCTCAAAGGCGAGTATCATGAAGTCAGGCATCTTAAGCCCTTTCAAGGAAAGACGTTTCCCGGGGTCAGTGCACCTGGATTGCATAGGCATTGCTTTGCAAGATGCAGTGGAAGAAGTCACAGGAAGCTTATTCCCACCCCCTTTGCTTCCTCGACCAGATCGATGGCTCCACCCTGCGGACACTGTGCTTGCAGCACGGGCCCCTCATCACATTCCACCTGAACCTGACGCAAGGCAATGCCGTGGTCCGGTACAGCTCCAAGGAGGAAGCCGCCAAGGCGCAGAAGTCCCTGCACATGTACGTGTCTGTGGCCGCCCGCGGCTGTGGCCCTCGCCGAGCTAGGTTTGGGGTGTCAGAGTGTCCTGGGGCTCCTGCGACACAGCGTTGCAGCAGATGTTAGTTGTCGCACGGTTCTGGAGGCCAAAGGCTGACACCACGCTGTCGGCAGGGCGGGCTCCTCCTGAGGCCTTTCTCCTTGCCTTGCAGACGGTCCCGCTGTGCCCTCAGTTGGAGTCTGTGCATATCCTAACTTCTGCTTCTAGAAGGGCACAAGTCCTAATGAATTAGGGCCTCCCTAATGACCTCGTTTTACCTTGATGACCTCTTTAAAGACCCTCTTTCCAAATATAGGCACAACCGAGGTATTGGGGGTTAGGGCTTCAACCTATGAATTTGAGGGACAATTCTCCCCATGAGGGTCTTGTGACTTGTTGGTTTCTTCTGCTGCCAAGTTGCCATGCCATGTCCTCCACTGGTAAAAGGCCCCCCCACAAGAGGGCACATGGAGAGCCCAGGGGTAGGAAGCAGACACTCCAGGGAGCACCAAGCCTGACACATTTGTGCCCACTGCTGGCAGTGGTCCTTACATGTAGCCAACTCCTCTCCCCTGATTAAAGAGTGCGTAAGAGGTGTGAGGACACCATCATCTGACACATCTGTCATTCGTGTTTTTACACTAGGAGGTAAATTACCACCGATCCTAAATGATGCCCCGGTTTAAAGGCGCGCTCACCCCCTCAGAAAGCCAGCGAGGTAGATACAGGAAGGCATCGCGCTGCGCCCTTTTTTTGTTTGCTTTGAGGGGGGTTTTTTGAGAGAGAATTAACACACAATGTTGTGTCATTTTAAGGCGTGCCGCATGCTGATTTCATGCCCTTGTAAGTCAGTCTGATCACCACTACAGCATTAGCCAGCACCTCCCATCAGAGCATAATTACCATTTCTTTTTTGTGGTGGGAACATTTAAGATCTCTGAGCAACCTTGAAGCATGTGGCACAGTATTGTTAAGTATAGTCACCATGCTACACGTTAGCTCCCAGAACTTACTCATCTTCTAACTAGAAGTTTGTGCCCTATGACCAGCATCTCCCCAACTCCCCCACCCGCAGCCTCTGGCGACCACCATTCTACTCTGTTTCTACAAGTTCGGCTCTTTTAGATTCCACGTAAGTGGTAACATACAGTGCTCACCTTTCTCTGTCTTAGTCACTTAGCATAAAGCCCTCAAAATTCATCCATGTTGCTGCAAATGGCAGGATTTCCCTTCTTTCTCATGGCTGAATAATATTCCATTTCGTGTGTGTGTGTATAAATCACATCTTTCTCAATTCATCCATTGACAGTTTGTTCCGTATTTTGGCTATTGTGAATGATGCTGCAGTGTACACAAGAGTGTAGATATCTTTTCAATATTCTCCTTTCATTTACTTTGAATATAAACCTGAAAGTGGGATTGTTGATCATATGGTTGTTCCAGTTTCCATTTTTTGAGGAGCCTCCATACTATTTTCCATAGTAACTGAACTAATTTGCCTTCCTACCAACACTGCACAAAGGTTCCGTTTCCTCCACATCCTCACCACCACTTCCTCTCTTCTGGATGATGGCCGTTCTAGCATGTGTGAGGCGGTATCTCAGTGTGGCTTTGGTCTGCATTTCCCTGATGATTCGTGATGTTAAGCGATTCGTGATGTTAAGCGTCTTTTCATGTACCTGTTGGCCATGTGTATGTCTTTGGAAAAATATCTGTTCAGTTCCTCTGCCCATTTTTTAATAGGATTTTTTTTGTCACTGAGTTATGTGAGTCCTCTGTGTATTTTGGGTTAGCCCTTTATCAGATAAAAGGTTTGCGAGTGTCTTTTTCCCATTCCATAGGTTGTCTTTGCATTTTGGTGATGGTCTCCTTTGCTGTGCAGAAGCCTTTTAGTTTGATGTGGCCCCACCTGTTGATTTGTGCTTTTGTTGCTTGTGCTTTTGGTGTCACGTCCAAAAAATTGTTGCCAAGACCAATGTCAAGGAGCTTTTTCCCTATGCTTTCTTCTAAGAGTTTTATGGTTTGAGTTCTTATTTAAGTCTTTAATCCATTTTGAGTCATTTTTTTTGAATGGTGTGAAATAGCGGTCCAATTTGATTTTTCTCATGTGTTTATCCAGGTTTCCCAACCCCAGTTTACTGAAGAGACTATTCTTTCCCCGCTGAGTATTCTTAGTGCCCTTGTCAAATATTAGTTGACCATATATATATATGTATGGGGGTCTATTATGGGCTGCCTGTTCTGACCTGTTGGTCTGTGTATCTGTTTATGCCGGTACCTTACTGTTTTGATTCCTATCAATTTTATAATATAGTTTGAAATCAGGAAGTATGAGTCCCTCCAGCTTTGTTCTTTCTGGGGATTGCTTTGGCTCTTTGGGGTGTTTTGTCATTAGAAGTTTTAGGGTTCTTACTATATGAATTATTTTTACTATTTGAAGAATGCCATTTGAATTTTGATAGGGATTGCATTGAATCTATAGATGGATTCATGGACATGTCAACATTACTGATTCCACCAATCCATGAACAGAGGAGATCTTTCTGTATCTTCAGTTTCTCTTACTGCAGTCTTGTAGTTTCAAGGTACAGATTTTTCACTTGCTTGGTTAAATAATATTTTATTGTTTTTTTGCTACTGTGAGTGGAATTTTTAAATTTCTTTTTCAAATACTCCATTGTTGTAAAAATTCAACCATTCACTGTAGATTTTGTATCCTGAAATTTTACTGAATTTATTGATTACTTCCAACAGTTTTTGGTTGAATCCTTAGCATTTTCCATATGTAAATCATGTCAGCTGCAAATAATGACAATTTTACTTCTTCTTTTCCAGTTTGGATGCCTTTTATTTCTTTACCTTACCTGACCCTGACTGGTCTGGCGAAGCCTTTGAGTATTATGTTGACTAGAAGTGGGAACAGTAGGCATCCTTGTCTTGTTTCTGACCTTTGAGGAAACGCTTTCAGCATGTAACCATTGAGTACAATGTTAGCTGTGTGTTTTTCATATATGACCTTTATTGCGTTGCGGCATGTTCCTTCTATACTCTATTTGTTGAGGGTCTTTATCATGAAAAGATGTGTTTTGTCAAATGCTAGCTTGCATCTATTGAGATATATGATTTTGATCTTTCATTCTATTGATGTAACATCACATTGATTTGCATATATTGAGCCATCCTTGCATCCCAGGGATAAGTCCAATTTAATCTTTATGTATGATACCTTTAATGTGTTGTTTGACTTGGTTTGCTGGTATCTTCTTGAAAATTTTCATACCTGTATTCATCAGAGATCTTGGTCTGTAGTTTTCTTGTAATGTCCTTAACTGGCTAAGTAGTATCTGGTTAGTACTGGCCTCACAAAATGAGTTTGGGAGTATGCCCTCTTCTGCAGTTTTTGGAAGAGTTTGAGAAGAATTGGTGTTAGTTCTCCTTTAAATGTTTGGTAGAATTCACCAGTGAAACCATTAGGTCCTGGAATTTTCTGTGTTGAGAGGTCTTTGATTACTTATTTAATCCCCTTATTATTGGTCTATACAGATTTTTCCATTTCTTCGTGATTCAGTCTTGTTAAGTCACATGTTTCTAGGAATTTGACCATTTCTTCTAGGGCATTTAATTTCTTGGCATATAATTGTTTATAGCAATCTCTTACGATGCTGTGTATTTCTGTAGTATCAGCTGTAGTGTCTCCTCTTATTTAGTATCTTGAGTCTTCTCTCTTAGTCCAGCTAAAGGTTTGTCCATTTTGTTTATCATTTTTAAAAAAACAGCTCTTAGTTTCATTGTTTTCCTGCTCTTTTAGGTGTGTTCTGGGAAACACTACCATCTTGGCCGAGTTTGCCGGTGAAGAGGAAGTGAGCCGTTTCTTGGCCCAAGGCCAGGCGCTGCCCCCCACCTCCAGCTGGCAGTCCAGCACTGGGGCCAGCCAGGCACGGCTGGGTGCCTCCGGCAGTTCCCATGGCCTCGTGCGGAGCGACACCGGCCACTGGAATGCCCCGTGCCTGGCAGGCAAAGGGAGCAGCGACCTGCTGTGGGGTGGGGTCCCCCAGTACTCGAGCAGCCTGTGGGGCCCACCCAGCAGCGATGACGGCAGGGTGATCGGGAGCCCCACCCCGCTGAACACTCTGCTTCCCGGTGACCTTCTCAGTGGGGAGTCCATCTAGGACCTCGAGGACCCCATGGGCGCCACAGTCATCAGCACCAGGAAGAGAGAGCTGACCCTTTCCCGTCCGGGCAGCCGCTGAGGACCCCGCCGGACCCGAGCAGCCTGGCAGCCCTTTCGAGTACCTCTGTCCAGTACTGAAGACGAACCTTCGCGGCAGCCCTTGTGAACTGTTCACGAGACAGTGCGGGCTGCACTCGGTCAGTGTCACATGCTAATGACAGGATGTTTCTCATAGCTTTTTATTTTGTGTTGTCTTATGTTCGTATGGTGTGTTGTTCTGATTTTTTAAGTATAAAAGCTGCTTAGAATAGTTCTATCATGAAGGGCACTTTTCAGATTGTGGGCTGGAAAGGGTTATTTTATCAAGGGGGAGGGAGGGAGGGAGACGAGAAAGCCTATTTAAAACGAGCCTGTGACGATTATGCACATCACCAGAGGCGGACCCCGTAATCAGGGGGCGCTGGTGTTCATCACTGGGCGCAGAGCACAGGCCCCGCGTGGCGGTCCTGGCGGCCCAGACCAGTGACTGAGTGGAAGGAACGGTCTGCAATCTGTTCTCTGTTCCCACGGATCCGCCTATGCACATTACCCTTATTTCATTACTTTTTCATGTCATTTTTTTTATCCCAAAAAAATATTTTTTAAAAGTTAAAAAAAAAAAAAAAAAGACATATCAAACACGCAAATACTTGAATCCAGCAGGCCAATAATGAAATGTGAACACTTTCTAAGTCTAATTCTACACTTCCAGGTTGACATCAGTACGCAGAAACAGGCTCTAGGAAAAATTTCTAAGTTCACAGCCTATGTATGTGTGTGTTGAAACAGCGTGTGTGTGTGTGTCTGTGTGTATGTGTGTGTGTGCACTTTCTGTGTTCACGTGTTCAGTGTGTGAGAGATTTAACTGTGGGTTTTCCCTTTTATTCAGTATATGCTTTTTTTGGCGCATTGGTCAAGCATTTGTCATATTATTAGCTTCTAACTTTGCACTGAGTGTCCTCACCCTGCCTTTAGCTGATCCTATACGTTAAAGAGAATTCATAGGACAGGGCTGGCGACAATTCATGTGTAAATGTTTACTCAAGGACTCTGTTATTGCGTTTAAGAATTACAGTGTATATCTCTGGAGAAATAATATGTATACCTACCTTTAGCAGCTTTTTATTGTGGACTAATGCAAGAAAATTATTACCAGAGTATTGCACCATTTTTCCATTTGGAATATAAAGTTAAAGAGAAAAAACTGTTGTTGAACTGTGGCCATAGATACTTGTAGGGAATGGATGGTTCCGCGGAGGAACGGAAACAAGCACTTGGACGTGGGTTGTGACTGCTTTTGGGGGAGCCCGTGGTTGGGGCTCCCACCTGTTTACAGACCTTTTTTTCTCCTTCAGACTTTAAAATAAAAAAATTTTTAAAAGGAATTAAAAAAAAAAAGAAAAAATAGACTTCCATCGTAAAGAAACCTATTTTCAGAATGCAGATACGCTACTTCAGAGCTCTGGGATCGAACAGTGTTGTTGTTTTCCCCCGGCCATCGCCGTGGACTCTGCCGACTGTCCCCCTCCGTCGGGGTGGCGAGGCGTTGTGGTCACTGTCTTGCACATGTGGGCGCGCTCAGGAAAGCCAGGGTTCCCGAGGGGCGGCTCCACACCAGTTCATGTATTTTGTAACCCAACTCCTAGCACTGAAGATGTTATTAAAAAATAAAAAATAAAATAAAATAGATAAAAAAAAGAAAAAAGAGGGAAAAAAAACACAAAGAAGAAAAATACCTAATCTCTAATGTGTAGCAGTTACATATTTACCAAATAATGGACTCAAAAGAAATAGATGTTTGAAGAGTGCTTTATATATTAAAAATTGCTTTATGTTTTAAAAATGATCAATGTTTTGATTGTTTTGCAAGGAAGAAAGACAATGGAGTAACATACCCTCAAGTATGTTCAAGAAGTATATGAACATTGTGCTCCCTGCCTGCTTGATCAGGAAACTTGTGCATTACATTTTTTTTAATTAGCTTTTTAATGGTTTTATCGAAACAAAAACAAAAAAAAGAGAAAAAAAAACAAAGGTCCTGCAAAATTGCAGATCGACAAACGCTGGTTTTATAGAGGATCATGAACTATGCACAAACTGGGTTCAAGACTTTTTTTCTCAAGTTTAGTAGTATATTTAGCTAAACAAACCCTCCTCAGAATAATTGCATCTCATTGCCATTACATGCATTCTGTATATTTGATGTATATATACCTCTATATGTATATCAAATATATGTGCGTGCGTGCGTGCACCAGAAATACAGCTTCCCACGCTGCCATTTAGCATTGAGTTGTAGGAAAACTCCTGAGATTTTAAAATTGGGGAGGGAAGTAAAGACTCTGTTTCTGTTTTTTGTTGGGGTTTGTTTTGTTTTTGACTTTTTATTTTGATAAAGATGTCTGTAACTCTTGAGATTAAAAAAACAAGTTTGTGGCTTTTAATGTTTTTCCTCATAGAATGTGATGATCGTTGAAGAACATGCACCGAAAAGTTGCTTTCAAAAGTACAACGCTTTGTTGAATCTTAATAAATGGCAATTTTTTTCTTGGCTGTTCAAATAAATTTGTTTTTTATTTTTCAAAGACAGGTATCACCAATTTTCACTTTCTGTGTATCAGGAGAGTTGTCCTGCTGTATGTCTCAAATTCCGTGTCTCTTTTTATGATATCCTTAAGAGTTTACCTATGTAATTAGATAAATTCCAAATTTCAGTTGCTTGGCATATAAGTTATCAGTTGCGGTTTTGCAGTTCACATTGAAATCTTATCACCGATCACCAAGAGGTGCAGCAGAGCACATTAGCTCCTGGACAGCAGGATGTGGCCCGGGGCCGTCTGCCTAGAGCCCCTGCTCACTCAACCTGGGACCCAGTTTAGGCATCAGAAGTATTTGGAGAGAAGAAAGTTATAAAGGTCATTTGTGTTTCCTACCTAGATATTTTTAGTCACTTATTTGTTTGTAAAACAGCCGTCACTAACAAAGTTTACACCACATTTTGTACAAGCATAGTAGAATTTACGGTGCCGGGCAAAGCGGGGGTGTTCTCCCAGTATGTCCCGTGGCGGTTAGAAATCAGACACTTAGGTTTGTCATCAGGCCACCCAGAGCGCCCACCGTGGCGTGGCATTCAGTGATTCTGTGTCACTGCTTCCACTTCCTCAGCAGCGTGGCCTCCTGAAGACCAGTCGGAATGTCGTCTGTGGCTGCGGCTGAGAGGCTGGCAGGAGTGTGTCCATCTCGGCCCCGAGTCAATCCACGGTGAAGACAAGACCCGAGTCGGCCACCAGGGTGAGGTGGTGAGCTGGCTCCCACCTACCTCTGCAAGTTGAGGGAGAAAACACCGAACGGGTCGTGATCGGGGGAGGAAACAGCGAGAGGACTAGCACTCAGGTCAGGATGCGCCAGACGTCCTGTGCCCGGCCCGGGCCTGGAGGCGGCATCGCCACCAGCTGGACCTCGGCCACATGTCCACCCGGTGCCTGTGGGTTCCTAGTCACCACGGAGCCGGCTGCCAGCACCCATCGCCTGGGAGGACAGGCTCAACCTCCAGAGCGTCTAGGGTGCGGCTGGCTTCACGGAGGCAGCGTTGCCCTGGGCCAGGGAGGCCAAGTGGGATTTTGCCGGCGGGGCACGGTGTAAGCTGAGATCCAGGAGACCAGTGTCGGGGGTGGTCCTGGCAAGCCTGGTACCTTCTGGTAAAAAGAAGGCTGGGTGTCTGCAATAAAGAGCATATAAGTTCAGAGCTGCATCTAAATTGTTCTGGCAACGCCATGGGAGGATGGCGGAGAATGGAGGCAGGGCACTCGGCAGGGCAAGCGCCACGTGCAGAGAAAGGGCTGTTTGACCAAAGAGGGTGCTGAAAGAAGTTGCTGTGGCAAACACCGATTCCAGCAAGGTGAAGACAAGACAGGAGCTGAACACATGGCCACTGAGGAGAGGGGAGGCAGAGACAAGCCATTTCGAGAAGATTCTTTGCAGGAATAGCACATTCGGAGTGGATGAAGGAAGACCTAAATAGGAATCAGGATGGAAGCATGCTAGTTTACCAGCTTTGCACAGAGGTTTCTCAGTGGAAACTGTTGACAAGCTCTGTTTGTGTGGGGCTGTCCCCGGAGAGCCTGTGCAGCAGGCCTTGGCCCGCGGTCTGGCCCCCAGTTGTGGTCAGAACCGGAAGCATACTTCCAAATGCCCCCAAAGCAGGCAGTACCGCTCTGGGCATGATGCTGGACGCTGGATGAAGCACAGAGCGGCACTTCTGCACCCTGGCCACATACGAGAATTATCTGGAAACTTAAAAATCCCAGTGCCAGAACACATCCCAAACGAATCAGCCAGAAGCTCTGCCATGGGGCCGCAGGCACCAGAGATTTAAAAGTTGCTTCCGGGGAGCAGCCACGGTCAAGGAGCGTTGGAACAGGTGAATCCGGCCATCAGGCCGAAGTCGCACTACCAGCTCCCCCATCCACTGGGACGGATGTTTCTGAGAGGCTGGTTGGTCTCGCCTCACCATCATAGCGAGCGATTTTATTTTATAGGTGCCAGGCATGGCGCTAAGCACCATGTCGGAGCTGTGTCGTTTGCTCCAACAGCCCCACCAGGTAAGGAACCGGGCTGGGCACAGTTGCAGAATGTGCCCAAGGCCATCAGCTATTAGGGTCAGAATCCAGGCCCATCTGACGCCCTGACCATCGCTCAGCCCCACGTGGCCTCATCATGGAAGGAGTGTGACCAAGCATTCCCACTGGAGGACACGGGGCCAGAAAGGGCACCAGCAGGAAACGGATGCACACGGCAAGGAGTGGCTCGCACAGCCACAGGCTGTCACGTCAAATCTGGGGCCATGCTGGCAACTGCGGCCTCAGGCAGGAGTTGATGCTACCGTCTTGAGTCAGTTTCTCTGGAAAAACCTCGGTTTTGTGATGAAGGTCCTTCAGCTGAGTGGGTGAGGCCCCCCACACTATTGGGGATTATCTCAAAAGTCCACTAATTGTAAGTGTTCGACACGTAGTAGCCTGGGTGGGCCTTTCACTTGTTAGTCTCAAGTAGCCTGTCCTGACCTCATGGTTGCTGTGAGGCAGGGGACGCAGGTGCTGTAAATCGTGGTGGTTTGCCAGGCCAAACTGGAAGGGGTCTGTTTGTGTCCATTCAGAGGGCACCCAGGGCTACGGAGGCTTCTGTGGGGGTCTGGCCCACGAGCCCAGGTCAGTCTTGTGCTTTCTGAACTGTCCCCCCAGCCACACTCTGCCCAGAAGAGGTGCCACCTGGGATCCGTGCCTGCTACCGGCAGAGGTCCCTGGGCAGCACCTGGCTGGAATCGGCCACCACCAGCCTAAGAATCCTGGCCTGTGATGCACTGAGGGCGCCACCTCCACCCAAGTCAGATGAACACTGGAGAGCCTCCAGGACCACACCAGTGGTGGCATCTGCCCTTGGACGCCCGCCAAGCACAGGATCCCCCACAGCTTGGGTGAGTATGGGGTGCTGGGGATTGCACTGCTACTGGCATCTGCCCTGTGGGTCTGAACTGGCGCCTCCCAACTGCCTCACCAAACCTGAGCTTTGCTCTTTCATGTTCGCCTTTGCAATGAGGCCCAGTGCGCCCATCTCTACTCTCTGGTCCTGTTCCCTCCCATCCCCCGCCCATTCCTGCACTCCTGTGGACATCAGACAGGACACTGGGACTCTGATGACAGTCCCAGCTTAGTCCCCTCCTCTCCACACCCACGGGCTCCTCAGACTAAGCCCGGTGGTCCAGGGTCTCCCCCGACCAGACACAGGCAGCAGACACCCCTTGCCCTAGGCCTTGGTGCTTGCTGCCCCTTCACCTGGCAGGCTCCTCACGGTTCCTTGCCAACTTCTTCCCCCAGGGACCTCAGAGCAGCACCACTGGTGGCTCTGTTGTCCTGGACACATACATGCCACTGGCTCTTGGGAGCCTGGCCCCCCACACAGGGGCAAGCCCATCTCCACCCCAGGCACTGGCAGGTTGGGGCAGCATCTCAGGCCATGGCATGGGCCACCCGTCACATGGGGCTCAGCCGGCAGACAGAGCCCTGTGCTCAATGTCAAAGGAGGATACAGCCCTGGTGTGGCAGGAAGCCAGAGGCAGGAGGAAGGGGCAGCATGTGCAGGGGGGAGGCCCCCCCGATCTCGCCTGGAGGCCATCCATGGGCAGGAGGCAGGCTGTGGGCCTGCACCCACCAGACAGGACTGGGTGTGAGCACAGACTCCCTAGAGGCAAGCCCATTCTGTAAAACATGTTTAATCAGAATAAGAGTCCCAGGAAGGTGGCACCCCAGTCCACCAGGGGTGCCCCAGCCCCACTTGCCCAACCTCCAGCTCCAGCCTCAGACAGGTGCTGTGCCCCAGTGGGGTCACCTAAAGTGGGTGCGTGGTCTTGGGCCACCGCCTGTGCCTGCAGGGCTGCCAGACCAGGGTGAGGAGGTGCAGAGCATGCTGGTGAGCAGACACAGGGCTGCTAGCCCTTCGCCATCCTAGAAGGCCTCACGATCGTCCACGAGCTTCATGGCCTCCTGGGTTCTCCCAGCCCTGCGGGGAAGGGAAGTCAGCGAGGGGCTGCTGTGGCCTGGGGTGGTGCATGGCCCCGAGGGAGGTGAGGAGCCCAACAGCTGGCCCTGTAGCCCTGCACCCAGGCCCCCAGAGAGGCGAGGGGCTGGTGAGGCGCACCTTCACCACGAGGGGTCTTGTCAGAGGAGCCCCAGGGCCTTGGGACCTGCCCACCTGGCTGGGTCAGAGGCCAGGCGTGTGTGTGTCTGCCGTGGCAGCAGAGAAATGCTGGAATCCCCTGGGTTTAACCGTAGGTAACTGCCATGAAGGGTGAGAAGAGGCCACAGGAAGCAGCCCCAGCCTCACCAGGGGCAACTAAGGGAGGTGGCAGCATCCTGAGGGCGTTTCCCAGGGAAGCCAGCCAGGCTGGCACCTGCTACAAAGGGGAGAGGGAGGGAGGGGAGGGGTGTGACGGACCCCAGCTCCACCCCGCCCCTGCACACAGTTCTGTTTTTCCCTTTCTCACCAAACTTAACTTTGCCCATCCCTCAAATGCCCCATCCATCTAAGGAGAAAAGGTGGGGAAAGCGGGCAGGGGGGTTCCCAGAGCTTCCCTCCCTCCCACCCCCAGCTCCACGCGATGTCTCAAGAGGCCGCCCTGTCCAGCTCCTGGCCCCCCTCCACACCACACTCTGCAGAGCGCCCCGCCAAGGCCCCTCACCGGCTCCTCTCCTTCCTCTCGTAGACAGAGTGAAGTTTGTTGATTAAGAAGATTTTGTCTTCCCCCTCCTAGAAAGGCCAGAACGCAAAGGGTGAGAGAAGTGGCCCATCCGTCCAGAACTGTCCTGTCAGGCTGCTTTTGGGGGAGCTCACAAGGAATATCTGACATCATAAGCAAGAGGGGGAAAGAGGCACCAAAAAAGGATAAGGGAGCCAGGGAGTGGCATATAGATAAAAAGATGACAAGAGAGAGGGGTAGGTAGGTGATTGGATAGACTTGAGCTTCCTAGTGGCCAAAGTAAAAAGAGAAATGTAATAAGCCACACAGGGAGGGCCACAGAGCCAGCCTGACTCAATTTAAAACCTGCCCTGCCGCTTATTAACTCTGCCTTAGACAAGTTACCTTCTATCTAACCTGAGTCACCATCTGTAAAAGGGGGTTAAAAACGTCTGCATCACAGGCTTATATTGGTTTGTTTTGTGGCTCTAACCAATTATCACAAACTTAGTGGCTTTAAAACAACACAAATTCATCTTTCAGTTCTGGTGGTCAGAAGTCCAAAATAGGTCTCACTGGGCTAAAACCAAGGTATCCACAGGCTGGTTCCTTCTGGGGCGCTAGGGGAGCATCTTTCCTTGCCTGTCCCACCGTCTGGAGGCCACCTGTGTCCGTTGGCTCGCAGCCCCTCCCATCCTCAGAGCCGATGGTGGCCTCGAGTCTTTCTCCCAGCATGACCCTTGGACCCTGACTCTCCCGCCTCCCTCCTCCACTTGGAAGGACTCCTGGTGACACCGTGCCACCCAGACAGTCCAGGATACCTCCCCATCTCTAGGTCAGCTGGCTGCCAACTTTAATTCCACCTGCAACCCTAATCCCCCTTTGCCACCTAACATGGCATATTCACAGCTGCTAAGATTAGGATGAGGATGCTTCTGAGGGTGGTACTGGCCGACCCAGGGCTCCTTCAACAACTGAGTGAAAAGCACACAAAGCAGTGAGCCTAGTAACCAGTGCACATAACCACCAGGTGGATTTGGGCGACTGTCAATCCCGGGGCCAGACTGGATTCCCTGCAGTGAGTCAGCACAGAGAGAACAGAGCGACTGTCAGGATGTGTCCTGCGCACCTGGGACCACGGCTTGCCCAGGAGGGTGTCTCAGACTGTCTGCAGGGAAGGACCTCCTTAAGTGACCTCCCTGGGCTGTGGGTGGGTACAGAGGGCTGTGCCCCTGAGTGCCTCCCTGCCCAGCTAGCGAAAGCCACCCAGGAGCCGGCTGAGCTGAGACCTGCAGCCCCAAGCGCTCGGATCTGGGGCAGGGCTCGGCCGTGGGTGGGCACCGTCTGCAGCAAGAGCCCACCTGGAAAACAGCCTGTCGGCTCCCAGAGAAATGGCGCAGGAAGCTGGAATTCTCCCGATGCTTGTATACACCCGCCACCCTACCCACACCCCTGAAGCACCACACAGCAGGGCGAGAGCCAGTTGACAAAAACCTGCTTCCAGGGCACCCTCCTCAGCCAAAATGCCCGGCTTGAGCTCTGCTCCCTGGGTTCTTGGCAAGGCGCATTTCACCATTGTGAAAGGGAGACAGGATAACTTGTACTGCATTACTCATAACCCCGTAAAAGGGGGAGCTGTCCTAAGGGATCTTCCTGCCTGGGGAGAGCTGACCGTGCCCCAATCAGCCAGCAGCAGGTCCCACGCTTGCTGCACCCCAGCCCCGTCCTGCCCGGGCTGACACCCTGCACCCAGCCGCAAGGCCTCTCTAAGGCAGCGGTCCACCGGGAGGTACAGCCGGGGGAGAGCTGCGGCCAGGTCCCTGTGGGGGTGCCCGGGGGCCCTCGGGCACAGCCGGCCCCCAAGACGGCTCAGCATTCAGCACACAGTGCAAACTGCAGGAGCAAGAGGAAAAAGAGAAAACGAGGTCAAAATGATGGAGCCCTGGGGGTGAGGAGGTCCGAGCCCCAGCCAGCCAGCCGGGACCGGGCAGGACAGGGCTGGGGTGAGGCCAGGGTCCTGCTCCAGGCAGCACTTGCCCTGCCCAGGAATGCACCAGCCCCAGGGACCCGGACCCGGCACGACAGTAACTCGTTCTCAGCATGATGGGAGGCTTAATAAAACATCCTGAATCCCGAGCCGATTTTGACTTCATTCTGTACACTGCGGGCACTGAACAGGGTCCCTGCGGGAGTCCAGACACCAGGTTCCAGTATGTCAGAGCTCCCTAGGGGGGCTGCACTGCAGGGCCACACACCCCAAGATGCCGTGCTTCGGCTTGGCGGCCGGCATGCGCTCCACTGGGGCCTTGCCCCGGCAGGGGCTTCGCCGCCCGGGAGCCCGGTGGCCACACATCCGCATCCCCACCGGGTACAAACTTCACCTATTGATGGGTGCAGCCTGTTTGGCAAACGCTTTCACCAGCCCAGGCCACGGCTAGGGGGTGCCCCGAGGGTGGAAGCGGGAGGTGGCACTCACATTGCTGATTTGCTCCTTGAGGAGGCAGATGACCTTCCGCTGGCCCTTCACCACCTGGATGTTGAGGTAGATGACAGCACTGGGGAGGCGGGCGGTCGGGCCGGGCCCTGCACGGGAGCCGGCGGGGAGGACCCCTGCCCCCTGTACTCACAGCAGCAGGGCTGACGCCAGGTAGGTGAGGAAGGTATTCTCCACCAGGTGCTGGTGGACCCACGGCAGCCAGGAGACCCTGGGGCCCGCCTTCTCCAGGCGGCGCACCCACAACTTGCCCGCCTCGTACATGGTGTCCAGGCCCCGGAAGGGGCCGCAGGTGCTTGAGGGCTTCACCCTGAGTGAAGAGGGCAGCTTGAACCCCCAGCCTGGGCAGAGGCAACCTCCACCCCACCCAAACTCCAGCCACCAGCCACAGCCCCGCCTGGCGGTGCCCCTCGCCCCGCACCGCGCCAGCGCCCACTCACTGCCAGATGGCATAGCAGAGGAAGATGGCGGCACCCAGGAAGGAGGGGAAGCAGAGCAGCGAGACGAAGACGGTGCTCATGCGGGAAGCCAGCCAGGGCCTGCGGGGCGCCCGGCAGTTGGCCAGCAGGCTGGTCTGGGGACAAAGGCTGCGCTCTGCCACGGCCCTGCAGCACCCCCCCGCCCCACCCCCCACCCAGGGCAGGACAGGTCCCCAACCCACCCCCGCGTGGGACTCGGGCGGCCCTGGCAGAAGGTGGCAGACACACTCAGAACCTGCGTACGTGGGCTAGAAAGACCCAGCTGGGCCCTGCTCCTGGGGCACAGAGGGGACACTGAGGCGCGTGGGGCTACCTGACCAGGGCTCCTCGTATGCGGAAGAGTGGATGCTGACAGCCACTGCCACTGACTGGGCCAGGCTCTGTGCCCGACACTTCACAAGCGTCCCCTCCCACAGCCCCACTAGTCTGTCCGCGTGACACAGACAGGAAGTAGAGGACCAGAGAGAACAACCTGGCTCCCAGCCACCGAGCACACCCCCTCCTGAGGACAGGGGACCAGGACCGCTCCCCACGGCCCAGGAAAGCCTGAGGCTCAGAACATCTCCCAGCTCCCTGGCCCTAAGCACTGGCCCCACACATGGGCCCCCAGGAGCGCCCAGCCTGCTGAGGGCAACGGTGTCAGGGGAGGGGCAGCTGGTCCCCAGGACCGACCCTAGAGAGTGGCCCTGGCCCCCCGTCCCACCTCATCCGGTGAGGGTCTAAAGCCCCAGGGCCCCGTATCTGCCGGCCCAGCGCCCCCCCTGCCTCACCGCCCTCCTGGGGGCCGAGCACGGGTACCTTCTTGACATAGAAGAGCAACAGCAGCTTGACTGACTGCACAGCAGGGAGGAGGGGTGAGAACAGGACCCCCAGCCTGGGGAGACAGGGGGGGGGCTGCAGCGCACGGGCAGAGCCCATGGCCCCTATGCTGCTCCCCAGGGCTGGGATGGCCCGGCTCGGTCACAACAAGCCACCCGGTGCCCCCCACCAAGGCCAGGCTGGGTTGGGGCCCCCGGGGGGGGGGGGGAATGAGTGGCCACAGACTGCATCCCTAGGAGGCTAGAGGTCAGGACCCACATCACCCCCAAAACCTCCATCCAGGATGGGCCCTGCTGAGGTCCTGAGGGGGCAAGGGGCTCAGCCCTCCCCCAGGGCCGGGCAGTGGGAAGCGAGTGGAAGCCACGCACCAGGTCAGGGTCTGCCCATAAATCAGATCCAGAACATTCCGGGCAATGTCAAACTCAGGCTTGCCCCTCCTCTTAAACTTCTTCTCGGAGATGAGCCTGGCAGAGGACCCCCTGAGGGTTACTTGGGGGGCTGGTCCAAAGACCAACCCTAGCCCCCAACCCGAAGGCCAGCACCCCAGCCAGGTGACATCCCTGCGCTCCCCACCTTGGGTATGTCAAGGAAGCCAGCAGCCTGGGGTCCCCACCCGAGGGGCTCCCACCGCAGCCGGCTCCATCCGGCCTTTGCCACCAGAACAGACTTGGCCCGCGTAAACAGGTGCCATCGGCATCAAACGCTTCACCGCTTTTTAAAGATCTTATTTTTTAACTATGACTAAATTCATATGTTCTTAAAGAAAGCTCAAAAAAGGTAAATCAACAACACCTGCGATGCGAACAGCCACAGCGGGCGCCTGTGGCCTTTGGGGAGCGCCCCTCCGCTCTCCCGACCTCTCATCTGTGTGAGGCTGGGGCCGCACTACACGCATCATTTCAGAACCCTTCTCCCTCTCAGCTCTAGAAAAGGTCACATCCTGTCTTGTGGGTGTTCTTCTCAGCTTAACGATCTTTCACAAAACAGCCGTGGTGGGTGGGGATTTGTGGCCCAGATCGTGGAGGGCAGGTCCTGCTTCTGAGAAGCCTGAGGCCTTCCCTGCCACACAGGTGAGGATGCTCTGAGCCCGGCTCAGGTGGGGAAGCCCAGGGGCCCGGCGCGCACGAGGTCTCACCTCCACAGCAGCTCCCCAAACAGCGTGTCCAGCAGCGTGAGAAGGAAGTCCACCACCGTGAGCCGGTACAGCTCCTGGCCCACGAAATTCTCCCAGCACTGCAACAGGACACCCGGCCAGGGACAGGCACGACCAGGTGAGGGCTGGCGTGTGGGACTGAGGGCCGGCCACCCCCTCCGCCCCCACCTGGCCCAGGCCGCCCTCACCTGGTCCTTCAGGGCGCCCACCCTGCGGCCCAGCCAGTGATAGCAGAGGATCCCCAGGATGACCATCTTGAGGATGAGGTTCCTGTGGAGGTGGGGGGCTGAGGCTGAGGGAGGGGTGCCTGGGAGGCAGAAAGAGGGATCCCGGGAAGCCCCTCCCACCCCACCGGCCACACACCTGCAGATGGCCACGTACACCTCCAGCCCCGGGGAGTCATGCCGCTCCAGGGCGGCCAGGCCACGGAACAGGTAGGGAGCCCCCAGGTTGAGAAGGCAGACCACCAAGGGCAGGGCCAGCAGGGCCCCCTCCCGCTCAGCCGACACGGGGCTCTGCTGGGGTGGAGGGGCAGCTGTCACGCAGGCGCCCCGTCAACAGAGCTGGTCAAAGGGTGGGGGTGGGGGTGCCTGGAACTGGCAGGCTGTGACCCCCAGAATACCCCCACAGGCCTCTGGTTCAAACCACACAGGAAGGGGCAGGAGCACAAGTGTAAGAAAAAGAAAACAGAAACCAAAAAGACAAGAAAACAAAAGGAGAGAAAATAGGGGAGAGCGTGAAACAGACCGAGGTGGGGTAAGGACAGGGTCTGAGGGAGTGGGGCTCAGAGGGGTGCAGGGGACTGGGCCCCAGACCCAGGTGGGGGGTGTGGGAGCCCCAGCTGACTTCCCAGCAGGCACCTGGCCATCACCGAGGATGCACTCCAGTGAGGCAGGAGTCGGCCCCGCGGCCGGCACTCCGGGCAACCCACTCCCTCTCGCACTCACACCTGGGTCAGGAGCTCAGAGAAGGCGTAGACAGCCACAGCACAGCCCAGCGTGGTTCCCAGACACAGCAGCCACACGAGCACCAGCACGGCCACCTGCCGCAGCCGCCCACACGTGCTCCGGGGGCCCTGCCGCAGCTGCCACTCAGCCAGCAGCTCCTGCGGGTGCCAGTGAGCCTGTCACTCAACAGCACAGACGATGCAGGTCACACAGTGGGCACATGGGGAGGCTGGGAGGGACCCAGGGGTTGCCACTCCTGGGGGCCCGTCACCAGGCAGAGATAGGGCTTGGCCTCCAGGCTGAACCCCCAGGTGCCATCTGAGCCCTGCACCCACATCCCCCACAGGCCTCCTGCCTCCCCAGCCCTGCCACCAGAGCGTCCCCCTGCCGTGTGGGGGATGGACCAGGAACCCCGAGGTGAGAAGGGCACCAGGCCCCCATGGGAGCCCCCTGAGGGCGATGAAGGTCCATTAGCCAAGAACTCCCAACACAAATCCTGTAGCACGAAACCCAGGAGGGTGGGGCAGAGAACTTTCCACGAGAGCCAACTTGGCCACCTGCTAGCCCTGTGGCTTTGGACAAGGGACTGAACATCTGTAATTCAAGGAGAAAACAGCTCTGACCCTGCGCTGCTATGGCTCGCCGGGAGCTGGAGCCCACAGACCTCTTCCTCCCGGGAACCTGGGGACATGGGGACTCGCGGGAGAGGGCACCCAGAGCAGACCCGCCCCACCGCCACCAGGCTGCTGCGCGGCTCACCTTCAGCTGGGTCCGGATGTTGTCATGCTGGAGGCGGGAGGCCCACTTCTGAGTCACCTTGTAGTCCCAGGAGCAGAAAACAGTGATGGCGTGGACCCCCAGGGTGCTGCCCACCCGGTAGCTCTCCCCAAAAGAGCGCGACATGCTGGGAGGAGCAGAGCCAGGTGGCAGGTGGTGAGGGGCACAGAGGCCAGAGGAGGGCAGCCGAAACCCACCACTCAGAGGAGCCCCCAGCATGGGATCGGCCTCCTGCTATGGGCTGCCAGCCACTCCAGGTCAGCCCTGTCCAGTACGGTGCCCACTAGCTACCTCTGGCTAGGAGGGTCAGGTTCCACTCCCCACAGATGTGGCCAGCCGGCTGCCTCCCACCCAAATATGACTGCAGAAGACGCTGGCTCACCTCAGGACCTTTGCACTGTCTGTCCGGGTTCTAAGGCCCTTAGTCTGCTTCTGCCTGCCCAGGATTATTTCACCTCAGGGAAGCCAGCCTGGCTCCTCCAACGCTCCCTAACACCTGGGCAAACAACCCTAGACTCCCGGATGTTCCCAGCCTCCTCACTGCCCTGCCTGCTTCCCTAGATGGCAACTTCCACCGGGCCAGGCACCACACTCATATACCTTCCCACACTGAGGTGAGCACAGCCACTATTTGTGGGGGTACAACTGGGTGCGTATTAGGAAAAGGAAGGCCCTCTGGGTGCATGAGTAGGTGGGTCAAAGTGCTCAGACCCAGGGTCCTATGGTGGAGGGACATTACCTGTACACCAGGGTGATGCAGGTGATAAAGAAGACCATGCCCACAGTGAAGAGGTAGGCCAGGGGCATGTTGTAAGGCAGGCCGTGCGCCTCAGGGGTGCACTGGCTGCCGTCCAGCGGTGGGGCACAGGGCTGGTTCAGCGTGGCATTCCTGTAGTAGCCGTAGTACATGACAGTGTGGGAGAAGGAGCCCTGTGGGGACGCCCAGCGTAGTCAGGGGCCCTGACCCACCTGTGGGGGCAGGGGAGGGGCAGCGAGGAGACCACAGAGGCGGACAACAGGGCTACAGCCGTCCTGGGGCTGCCCAGGCCCCACTGAAATCAGAACAAGACGGACATGAAGGAGAGCCGGCTGTGGCCCACCTGGGGTCCCGGTACAGTGCAGGGTGGGGTCCGACGGGGAAGCTGCGACCGGAGGGGCAGGGCAGAAGACAGGAGCCCCCGCCAGCCCGACCAAGCCCTCACCCCGCCGGTGAGGAGCTCGAGCCCCGTGAAGGCAGGCCCAGGGCCCGGGGGGGCGGGCGGGAAGGCAGCCTGCACACCCACGATGAAGGCCAGCAACGGCAGCAGCAGGAGGGCGTTGAAGGCCAGCAGGGTCTTGAGGAAGAGGAAATAGGAGAGCACGCTGGAGCCGAACTGGCCCCCAATCCGCTTCAGGGCGTAGCGCCATGGCCTCAGGGCGTGCAGCCCCCAGAGCAGCCGGAGCCCCAGGTTGTGCAAGGCCTGCGGAGACGGTGGAAAGGAAGAACCTGTGGCAAGGGGGCCTCCGTGGGAGCCGCAGGATGGGGCAGGGCCAGCCCAGCGGGAGCCCCGTGCCCAGGCCTGGAGGAGCAGGGGGCAGAGGGGCGCTGCAGAAGGGAGGCCAGGGAATGCAGGGCACCAGAGCGAGGCTGAAGGCTAAGAGACCCCACGAACAAAGGAAAGGGAGGCGGCCCTGCCCGGCCCTGCCCTGGGGCCCCTACCAGGACACAGGTGTCCCAGAGCCAGCTCCAGCAGCGGAGCCCTCGATGGCCCCGCCAGCCCCTCCGCTTCCCCCTTGGGGTCTGGCTCTTCTCTCTGGGGACAGAGGCAGAGTCAGGGCCTGGGCCCCCAACAAGCCCAGCACCCCCCCGGGGGCACACACTGTAGCCTCCGCCAAGGGGAAGTGGGTCTCGGGGCTCCCCGAGGCAGGTGGGCACTGACCGCAGGCAGCGTTTCTCAGCCAGGCTCAAGGGCATCCCCTGGAGCATGTGGTCTCGCTGGGTCACTGTCAGGCTTTGAAGCTCCCTCACCAGGAGCATCTGCCTCTCTGCGGAAGCAGCAGGAGGGGGTCCTGTCAGTTCCCCAGTCCCTGCTCCAGCCTGTGTGGCCAGGACTTCCCTGCTGGCCTCCCGGAGTCCCTCCGGGCTACCCAGTTTGTGACGCTCTCCTGCAGTGCCTTCCCTCAGTTGCCCTTATTTGAGCTTTAATCATCTGCTTATCCATTTATTTGGTTCCCGTCTGGTTCACTGCACAAGCAGTAGTAAGCTGCTTACCACCACCACACCCCAAAGCCCAGGCCAGCGTCTGTGAGTGCCCAACAGATGCCACGGAGTGGAGGGCACGGGCCAGATGTTTCTGAGCTCCTGCCTGCCCTGGGCCCTTTGCCGCCAAAAGGACCCTGCTTCTCTGCTCCAGTGACTGGGACACCAAGACAGTCCCCAGCCCCTGGCAAAGGGACCTCACAGCTGCACCCAGGCCCCCGCCCCAGCCAGTCTAACTCCTCCCCAGTGGAGCTCCGGCCCTCACTCACTCACCCTCCTCCTGGAGGGTTGCCGAGTCCAGCTCCAGGTCGTACAGGCGGAGGCTGGGCCGGGCTGAGCGCCCGGAGCCCCCGAGCTGGGGCCGGCCCGTCCTGCGCCGCAGCCTCACCGTGCGGCTGTAGTACTGGGAGATGATGGCCCCCCGGCTGCGGCCTGCAAGGGCAACTGGTCAGGGCGGGCACGGCCGGCTCTCGTTCCCCCACTCCTCATGTGAACACCATTCCCCCTTCCCAGGACCCAGGAAGTCCCTTCGTAAGAGACCTCGGGCACCACTGGGTTCCCAAGAGCCTATTTTTATCCCCGTGACGACTCAGGAGTCGTTTTTAGAACCTACCAAGGCTGTGTGGGGCTGTGCTTGGCCTCGGGCAGCAGACAGGTAGAGCAGGAGCCAAAGGGGCCTGGCTCTGAGGTAGAGACCTCCGCCCCAAATCCCCCACCCAGTGCAGGAACAGGGTCAATGCTGGGGTCAAGGGTCCCACTCACCAATGGTACGACTGGGCATGCTGGCCAAGATGCGGAGTGTGGCCGAACTATGGACAGGGGCACCCTTGGCACTGCCTAGGAAGCAGAAAGGCTTGTCCAGAGGTCCACTAGCCAGTAATCTACCCCCGCCCCCATCCTAGGCCAGCAGACTGCATGGAGGGATGTCCTGGGAAGTTGAGAAGGCTCAGCACCCAGCCCGCACCACCCCAGCACCTGGGCCTGGGCCGGGCAGGCTCACCTGAGGCCGCCTGGGTTCCGGCGCCCGGCTCCCTCGGCTGCAGCTCCAGCGCCTGCGCGGCCGCCCACTGGGTCTGCTCCTGGATGATCCGGTGGAAGGAGTCGTGCACGTCGCTCTCATCATAGGGGCTGGGCTCCTGGCTGCTGGGATGAGAGGGAGAAAGGGGTCCAGGCTTCACCTCCACAGCTGGTCTGTCCTGCCACCAGCCTCACCCCCAGGGAACTCACCAGCCCCCAGCCCCAGAGCACTTACCCCTGATCCTCCAGCGTCTCGGGGACATTGAGGTCAAAAGCCAGCAGCTGGGCCATGTCTATGACCCACACCCAGCCAGTCCGCAGTCCTAGGGCAGTTCAGAGCCGCCCATCTGAGGAGAGAGGGCCAAAGTTGGCCTTCAAGGCCTGGTGCCCTGGGGACCGTGGGAAGTGCCACTCGCAGCCCTGCCTCAGCCCCCGCCCTGCTCCCAGCCTCAACCAAACACGTGGTCAGGTGAGGGACCCAAATAAACCTCAAGCCAGAATGCCCTAAGGGGGAACCCCAGCGGGAGAAGAAGGAGGGAGACAGCCGAAGGAAGGGAGTGAGGGGGTGAGGTCTGGGCAGTCCCCATCGGTTTCCTCAACGGTGCCAGTCCCCAGGAAGCGTGGGGTGGGGGCTGCCCATGGACGCAGCCCTCCTTTCTGAGCCCCCAGGGACACTGCAGCCAAGGAGAAAGCTTGCACTCAGGGCAGCTCTGAGCCCTCCGGTGCCTGCCTGGCAACCCCACAGCACATCCTCTGCTGGGAAGTGCAGCTGCCCCTCACCCACCACCAGCCTCCAGCCCCAGGCAAAGGCGGTATCCTCCGCTGCACCCTCACCCAGCAGTAACAGTACAGGCTGGGCCCTGCAGGGTAGGCAGCCCTCTAGAGACCAACTCCCCCACATTCTGCCACCCAGGCAGGGCAGCTGGCTGGGGGAGGGGGCCTGGGGTTACACAAGCTTCCTTTGTCCAAGCAGAGGGTGGCCATCACCCAGGACAATGAGCCAGGACAGCCTCGTCCCAGCCCACCAGTGTGGGAGAGGGGCAGGGCAACGAGCTCCAACCAGAAGCCGACTCTGCCAGGACTCAACGACAGCGCCACAGGCCCAGCCCCGGTCTGTCCTGCCACCAGCCTCACCCCCAGGGAGCTCAGCTCAGCAGGCTGCCTCGGGTGGGGCTGCCCCGGGGGAGGGTGGTGCCCTCATCTGGCAGAACTGGGGATGTCCAGTCTCTCAGCCCAAGCCCCACAAAATCCAAGCCCCTTGCCCTTTCCTCCAGTGGGAGCACAGCACAGGGAGAGCCGCAAAGAGGTGGGCCGGAGGTGGACTCCCGCTCAGCCTCACGCCAGGACATAGCTGGAGGGGGAGGTTGGCAGTGCACCCACGTCTAGTCCTAGGGCTGGAATCCCTCCCTGGACACAGAGCCTCCCAGGCTCAGACCCACAGGCCTCTCCCTGGGGAGGCGCTCCCTCTACCACAATTAAGGGGGGGGCAGGGGCAGGAGTAGCAGGGAGGTGAGAGGTGCATGGAAGCCCCAGCCAGAAACAGGGCACGGCTCACCTAGGCACTGCCCAGGACTTCTGCCTAGCTGAGAGCCGGCGCCTGGAACTCCACCCCAGGCCCAGGCAGGTCGACCCAGTTTCCGGGGTGCGCCACTCCTGAGCCATGAGCCAGATGGGGAGGGTCAGAGCCGGGCCTGTTTCCAAGAATACCCCACCCCACCCCCGGCAAGGAGCCCTCGGGGGAGCAGGTGCTCCCCAGGAAAAGCCGCAGCCCAACCTGGCCAAGCCCAGGGGCGGCAGCAGTACCTGGGGCTCCTCCACCCCCACCCCGCCAGTCTCCCCTCCCCAGCTCGCAGCCGGGCCTCCAGTCCCCGGAACAGCCCGCCACCGGCCTGCCAGTGCTGCCGGTGGGAGGGATGGGTGCTGGGGGCTGCAGGCTCCCCTCCCAGGTCCCTCCCGGGAGATCCAGGGGAACCCGGGGAGGAAGCTCACTGCTCAGAAGCCCCAAGTAATTCGAGGGGGCCGAGCGCCCCTCTGCAGGGGAACCCTGGAGCCTGGGAGGCGGAGGGCGCCAACCGCGAGCCCGGGACTGCGGCCCCTCGCGGACCAGCACCCGGATCCGGGACGCTTACCTGGGAGACGCCGAAGAGGAGGGGCCCTGCGCAACCGCGAGCCCTCACCTGTCCCCGGGAAGGGCCGCGGGAACTGCAGTCGGGGCCCCCCCACCGGGGGTGGGGCCGCGGGGCCAGAGGGAGCTGCACCGCCCAGTCCGGCCCACGTGGTGGCGGGCCTTGGGTGTCACGTGGCCGGCTCGCCCGCGGGCGCGACCTGCTCCCCCTTAATGGCGCCCTCGGGCAATGGTGCCCTTACCCTGCTAACTTCTGACTTCTCATAGCACCCCCACCCCGAGATCTGAGCAGGGTGAAGGCGCCGATCGAGATCTATTCCAATCTCCGGTTGAAGACCCCACTGTCTGCGGGACTCAGTTTCCCCAAGTTTCAAATGGGGACAGTATTTCCAGATCTGCCCATTTTGGAGGGCGAGTATCAAAATGCACACGGTGCTTGCAAAGCCCCACCGACAGGGCGCCTGCGACGGCAGGTCGAGTGACCCTTCCTCCAGCGCAATCTCCCGGCAAATGGCTTTCCCACACTGACCTGGAACCCAGATTATCCCCCTCCGCCCCCCAGCCTGGGCGTGGATTTCTGGCGTTTATCAGGCAAGAGTTCTGGCAGACTTCCGGTTGTCCCGCTGGGGAGGAAGGGAGACTTGAGGAGGCCAGCACTGCGTGCACGTTTCCAGCGCTGTGTTCTGTTACTCCCCACAAGCCGGAGAAGGGGGCACCACAGCCCGGTTCACAGAGGAGGCCGCTGAGGCCGAGGGCCCACCAGCCCCCAGGATGTCTTCTGCCAGGGAGAATCTCGTCCACCGGGCCGCTCTGCAGAGGAAGCCTGGCAGAATGCCAGAGGAGAGGCCCCCACGAATTTGAGAAAAGTGACGGGGGACACTCCTGGTTGGGAGAAGCCTCGAAAGACAGGCAGGGTGCAAGTGAATTGGAAGCAGAAAGGCAGGAGAGGGCCCCCCCCCCCCGGGGGGAGAACAGGTGGGCATGCCAGGATGCCCACATGAAGGCAGGTAATGCGGCTCTACGGGACGCGAGGGTGGACAAAGGGGCCAGGGTTGGGTTTTCCTGCAGCGGTCAGTTACCTCAGGTGCGTTACCTCAAGCTGGATCTTGGCACAAGGCACCCCCTCATGGAGACCCAGGCCTGCCCAACCCCTGCCTCCCTGCACACCGATGCTCCGTCAGTGTGGCACGTGCATGACCCCAGGCCCAACTTGAAAATCAGCTCCTCCGGGGAGGCTTGATGGGTTGAACACTATCTGTCCACACTCCCTGCACCCTCTGAGCCCGCTCTGTGCCCGGCACCAGCGCCCAGCTTGAGGCCTGGCCTAGAGGAGGGCCTTAGAAAACCAGGAGGGGCCAGGCAGGGAGGCAGAAAGGCCCCTGGAGCTCAGATACGGGATGACCCGGCCCTAAGAAGGTGGAGAGGAAGCAACGCAGAAGGGCAGCACCGCGGGGCCCCCCGGGGGATCGCAGGCGGAGGGACCGGCCGGGGACTTTAACACATCTGGTCTGGGCGGGGCGTGCGCGCAGCAGGTTCCTATTGGTCAGGCGGCCTTGGCGTCCGCGCTGGGGACAGCGGCGGGAAGTTGAGAAATAGTGTCGAGGGCTTCTGGACGCCGAGCCCCCGAAGTGATGGGGCCCACTTTCTAGGTCACTGTCGCGCTCTCCCGGCAGGGCCGGGCCGCTTGCGACCGGCTGATAAGGCTCCAAGGGCGGCCTCCCAGGCCGGAAGGGAGCGGGCCGGGGCGGGCGGCAGCGGCAGCCGCCGCGCAGAGGAAACCGCCGGGGGTGGGGGAGGGGGAGGAGACGGCGCGGAGCCGGGGTTCCTGTCATGTGACCCCTCCCCGCCCGCCTGGCGTGGCGGGAGCCTGCCTGAGGAGGGGTCTCCCCCGGGTGCTTGGTCCCTGCTCCCCAGGTGAGCTGGGTGCGGAGCGTCGGTTGCAGGCAGAGCGTGCGGGGGTGGAGGAGACTGAGGCCAAAGGGGCTGCTGGGGCTGGACCACAGAAGACAGAAGGGGTCCCAGCAGGTCCGGGTGCTGCGGGACACCGGGTCCTCTGGCTGGCGGGGGGCAGCGACGTCTTCCCAGTGGGCGAACCAGCACGTGCACGAGAGCGGGAATTGTCCCTCGCCAAAACGTGACCCCCACCCCCAAGGCCGCAGGTAGCAGGTGGGGGTGGGGCGGAGCAGGCCTTGGGTCGCCGCGCTTATCTGCGGCCACACCTGGCCTAAGCTTTGTCTGTAAAAGTCCCGTTTTTCCATGCCGTTTGGACCTGTCTCCCCATTGGACAGACACGTAAACTGAGGCCCCTGGCCATGTGTTGCTTTGAGGTGTGGATGGGAGCTGAGCCCACATCTCCACCAAGGATTGTTTCTCTTCATTTCTGGGCACGCCAGGGCCAACACCTTGAGGCTCACCCGACAGGCGCCCCACATCCCTCCTGGGGCCAGCACCGCACCCCCAACATCAACCCCACCTCAGAGATGCTGCGGCAGTGGCCGGGGCAGCCGGGGCAGGCCCCCGGGGAGGCAGACCCCGAGCCAGGAGTCGAGGTGCTGTGGGAGCAGGAGATGGAGCGGCTGTGCGCCTCCCGGGTGCCGGTGCGCGCACTGCCCTACGCCATGGTGGACAAGCGCTGCATCCGGTGGGTGCCCGAGGGCCGCGAGCCCCGGGCGGTGGGGGTGGGGAGGCGCCGGAAAGATGCACCTGTCGGATGGGGTGGGAAGATTCCTCCGAGCCGCGGGGCTGCTCTGCCTGGCTGGTGAGCACCGTGTGACTCAAAGGCGCCCCCATCACCACCCCGTCCCAGGCGGCTTAGGGAGCCCGAGGGGATGGAGACTTCTTGCTGGCGGCGGTGGCAACGCAGGCGACAGACCGCGGGACGGCGCCTGGGGGAGGCAGCACAGAGGCTGGCCCGGGGCTTTGGGCTCTGGGAGGCGCCTCTCTACGAGATCGGGGGTAGGACCCGCACCCCAGCCCCTCCTCCCCTCTCTGGAGTCCAACGACCAGTTTATAGACTGAGACGAGCATCGTCCTGCTTGCCGCAGCCCCCTCTGCCCCTCCGACCAGCCCCCTCCCTCACACCCGCCACCCCACCCACACGCCCCACCTCCGTCCGGAGAGCGCACCTTGGTGGATGACAGCACCCCCTGGTGGCTCTCGGAAGTACTGCTAGGGAGGCCTCCTGGACCGAGGTCCCGCCAGAGGCTGGTCCCCCACACCCCTCGGGTTGGTCCACCCTCACATCCCACAGCGCTCGGATTCTCAGCCAGGCCCACTTGTGTCCTCCCCACAGGCCTCTTTGGCACTGGAATCCAGTCCTATTTCACCTTCCTCCGCTTCCTGCTGCTGCTCAACCTGCTGGCACTGCTTCTGACTACCAGCTTCGTCCTGCTGCCCCTGGTCTGGCTCCGCCCCCCTGACCCAGACCCCGCCCTTAACTTAAGTGAGTGAATTCTCACCGAGGGACTGACGCCCCCCAGCCCACCCGCAGCCCTGGGCTCAGTGCTGGAACAGCCCTGACCCTCTGCGTCCCGACCCTGGGCGTCCTCCTGCTTAGACCCAGCCCTGGGAGTCTCCCTGACCATGCCTTTTGCATGGCATGCCTCCTGACTCATCCCCAGTGTCCTGCTCGGGGGGCGGGGGGGGTTGTGGCCCGGGCGCCTGCAGGGGAACAGCCTCACCTGTGTGGCGGGAGCCCTTCCCCATTGGCCCCTCTCCCTGCTTGACACAGCCTTTCAGTGCTCTGGCGGCCACCAGCCCCACAGTGGTGATCCCCAGTTGCACACTCGACTCTGGAATGTTTTGACTGGCAGGGTAAGTGGGCTCTGTCTTGGCTATGGATCGGGGGGCTGGGAGTCCTGGGGAACTGACTGGCCTCATGAGACCCCAGTCTAAGACTCCGACCCCTAGAACATTGTGGCTTGTAGGTGGTCAGTCTTACAGACAGGCTGGTCGGGTCAGTGATGGGTGAGAGAGACACTGAGGCCACTGTACATGCCCTCAGAGCCCAGCTGGGCAAGGGTGCAAGGGCCACAGAACTCTCCAGGCCTCCAGGATAAACGCCAGCCCTCCCCCATTCCCGGAAGCCACTGAGCGGTTGCTGTGTGGGGCTCTGTGTCCTGGTCCTGTGCCTTCCTCAGAGCTGTGTGGCCTTGGGGAAGTTACCTAACACCCTCTGAGACTCTGAAGTGGGGGTTCACTGACTCCCTACCGGATGGCATTTTGTGAATGAATGAGTCCCCATGTGAGAAGTACTTGGCACGAGGCCTGGCACGGACTGAAGCTCAGGTGTCGCCTCTGATGCCCACAGGCCTTCAACAACACCTATCTCTTCTATGGCACGTACCGGGCGGGGCCCGAGAGCAGCGATGCGTACAGCATCCGCCTGGCCTACCTCCTGAGCCCGCTGGCCTGCCTGCTCCTCTGCTTCTGTGGGACCCTGTGGCGGTAAAAGGGCACCCCTACCTCCACCTCTTTTCAAGAGATCTTCCCTGATTACCCCTCTCTTGGCATGGTACCCCCCAAGTTGGCAAGAAGGTCCTGGCCCCTGTTTAACAAGGCTCATTGGTGTTCCAGGGTCTGAACTCTGTGTCCGCAGCTGCAGGCCTCAGGAGCAGGAGCCATCACCCCATATCCACCCCCACCCCCAGGTGGAGGCCAAAGCCTGCACCTGGAGCTTCCAGGGGCTTCCCACCCCAGACCTAGAGCCCAGCCGGGGCTGAGGCTGGCAGCGGGCAGGAGGTACCCCTCCTCCACTGGTCCTGGCCTCCCCTCTCCCCTCCAGGATGGTGAAGGGGCTGCCGCAGAAGCTGTTCCTGGGCCAGGACTATAGGTCACCTCTCAGTGCCAAGGTCTTCTCTTCCTGGGATTTCTGCATCCGGGGGCAGGAAGCAGCCACCATTAAGAAGCATGAGATCAGCAATGAATTCAAGGTGTGTTCGAGACCATGCTTGGGTGTGAGATGCGTGAATGTGCCAGTATGAATGAGTGTGAGCACATGTGTGACTGAGTGCATGTGTGTGCTGAGTGCACACGCATACACATTGGGTGTTACAGCAGGAGGTGGGACTGGGCTGCTGTTTGACTGTGGGCACTCACCCTCATGGTGAGGGAAGGGGTTGTCTAGACAAAACCAGCCACTGTTCCTCCACCTGTCCCTGCGCCAGTGTCACTCCAGCCCTGCCCAGATCCTGGAGGCTGGTCTCCCCACACACCCTGACCCTGGCCCAGGCACCTCCCCTTCCACCCACCCCCACCCCCACCCCGCTGACCCCATCTGCCTCTGCCCTGCCCCCTGGCAGGTGGAGCTAGAGGAGGGGCATCGCCTCCTGCTGGCGCAGCAGCAGACCCGGGCCCAGAGAGCCTGCCACCTGCTCACCTACCTTCGTGTCAACATCCTCATCGGGATTCTGGTAGCTGGGGCCATCAGCACCATCTTCTGGGCCACCAAGTACTCACAGGATAACAAGGAGGTACCAGGAGAATGACAGGCATTCATTTAATCCTGGCCAGTACTGTGCGGGGAGTCGGTATGGTCCCATTTTGCATCTGAGGAAACTGAGGCCCTGAGAGGTTAAAGCAATTTGCCCAAGGGTACGTCCAGGTCAGACTGGCTCCACCTGTGGATATCCCCCCATCCCTCCTCCGTGTTGCTCCTGGGAATAGTCCGTGGGCTTCCAGGTGCCTGGCCTGCACCAGAGTTATGCTCTAGGGGGTCATGGGGATGGGGGGGTATTGGGGGCCCTCCAGCCCATGGGCACCCCCTTACCTGCTTTTCCCCACAGGAGTCCCTGTTTGTGCTACTCCAGTACCTGCCCCCTGGGGTCATCTCTCTGGTCAACTTTCTGGGTCCCCTGTTGTTTGTCTTCCTTGTCCAGCTGGAGAACTACCCTCCCAACACTGAGATCAACCTCACCCTTATGTGGTGAGTGCCTGCGGAGCAGGCCTTGGGTCGCCGCGCTTATCTGCGGCCACACCTGGCCTAAGCTTTGTCTGTAAAAGTCCCGTTTTTCCATGCCGTTTGGACCTGTCTCCCCATTGGACAGACACGTAAACTGAGGCCCCTGGCCATGTGTTGCTTTGAGGTGTGGATGGGAGCTGAGCCCACATCTCCACCAAGGATTGTTTCTCTTCATTTCTGGGCACGCCAGGGCCAACACCTTGAGGCTCACCCGACAGGCGCCCCACATCCCTCCTGGGGCCAGCACCGCACCCCCAACATCAACCCCACCTCAGAGATGCTGCGGCAGTGGCCGGGGCAGCCGGGGCAGGCCCCCGGGGAGGCAGACCCCGAGCCAGGAGTCGAGGTGCTGTGGGAGCAGGAGATGGAGCGGCTGTGCGCCTCCCGGGTGCCGGTGCGCGCACTGCCCTACGCCATGGTGGACAAGCGCTGCATCCGGTGGGTGCCCGAGGGCCGCGAGCCCCGGGCGGTGGGGGTGGGGAGGCGCCGGAAAGATGCACCTGTCGGATGGGGTGGGAAGATTCCTCCGAGCCGCGGGGCTGCTCTGCCTGGCTGGTGAGCACCGTGTGACTCAAAGGCGCCCCCATCACCACCCCGTCCCAGGCGGCTTAGGGAGCCCGAGGGGATGGAGACTTCTTGCTGGCGGCGGTGGCAACGCAGGCGACAGACCGCGGGACGGCGCCTGGGGGAGGCAGCACAGAGGCTGGCCCGGGGCTTTGGGCTCTGGGAGGCGCCTCTCTACGAGATCGGGGGTAGGACCCGCACCCCAGCCCCTCCTCCCCTCTCTGGAGTCCAACGACCAGTTTATAGACTGAGACGAGCATCGTCCTGCTTGCCGCAGCCCCCTCTGCCCCTCCGACCAGCCCCCTCCCTCACACCCGCCACCCCACCCACACGCCCCACCTCCGTCCGGAGAGCGCACCTTGGTGGATGACAGCACCCCCTGGTGGCTCTCGGAAGTACTGCTAGGGAGGCCTCCTGGACCGAGGTCCCGCCAGAGGCTGGTCCCCCACACCCCTCGGGTTGGTCCACCCTCACATCCCACAGCGCTCGGATTCTCAGCCAGGCCCACTTGTGTCCTCCCCACAGGCCTCTTTGGCACTGGAATCCAGTCCTATTTCACCTTCCTCCGCTTCCTGCTGCTGCTCAACCTGCTGGCACTGCTTCTGACTACCAGCTTCGTCCTGCTGCCCCTGGTCTGGCTCCGCCCCCCTGACCCAGACCCCGCCCTTAACTTAAGTGAGTGAATTCTCACCGAGGGACTGACGCCCCCCAGCCCACCCGCAGCCCTGGGCTCAGTGCTGGAACAGCCCTGACCCTCTGTGTCCCGACCCTGGGCGTCCTCCTGCTTAGACCCAGCCCTGGGAGTCTCCCTGACCATGCCTTTTGCATGGCATGCCTCCTGACTCATCCCCAGTGTCCTGCTCGGGGGGCGGGGGGGGTTGTGGCCCGGGCGCCTGCAGGGGAACAGCCTCACCTGTGTGGCGGGAGCCCTTCCCCATTGGCCCCTCTCCCTGCTTGACACAGCCTTTCAGTGCTCTGGCGGCCACCAGCCCCACAGTGGTGATCCCCAGTTGCACACTCGACTCTGGAATGTTTTGACTGGCAGGGTAAGTGGGCTCTGTCTTGGCTATGGATCGGGGGGCTGGGAGTCCTGGGGAACTGACTGGCCTCATGAGACCCCAGTCTAAGACTCCGACCCCTAGAACATTGTGGCTTGTAGGTGGTCAGTCTTACAGACAGGCTGGTCGGGTCAGTGATGGGTGAGAGAGACACTGAGGCCACTGTACATGCCCTCAGAGCCCAGCTGGGCAAGGGTGCAAGGGCCACAGAACTCTCCAGGCCTCCAGGATAAACGCCAGCCCTCCCCCATTCCCGGAAGCCACTGAGCGGTTGCTGTGTGGGGCTCTGTGTCCTGGTCCTGTGCCTTCCTCAGAGCTGTGTGGCCTTGGGGAAGTTACCTAACACCCTCTGAGACTCTGAAGTGGGGGTTCACTGACTCCCTACCGGATGGCATTTTGTGAATGAATGAGTCCCCATGTGAGAAGTACTTGGCACGAGGCCTGGCACGGACTGAAGCTCAGGTGTCGCCTCTGATGCCCACAGGCCTTCAACAACACCTATCTCTTCTATGGCACGTACCGGGCGGGGCCCGAGAGCAGCGATGCGTACAGCATCCGCCTGGCCTACCTCCTGAGCCCGCTGGCCTGCCTGCTCCTCTGCTTCTGTGGGACCCTGTGGCGGTAAAAGGGCACCCCTACCTCCACCTCTTTTCAAGAGATCTTCCCTGATTACCCCTCTCTTGGCATGGTACCCCCCAAGTTGGCAAGAAGGTCCTGGCCCCTGTTTAACAAGGCTCATTGGTGTTCCAGGGTCTGAACTCTGTGTCCGCAGCTGCAGGCCTCAGGAGCAGGAGCCATCACCCCATATCCACCCCCACCCCCAGGTGGAGGCCAAAGCCTGCACCTGGAGCTTCCAGGGGCTTCCCACCCCAGACCTAGAGCCCAGCCGGGGCTGAGGCTGGCAGCGGGCAGGAGGTACCCCTCCTCCACTGGTCCTGGCCTCCCCTCTCCCCTCCAGGATGGTGAAGGGGCTGCCGCAGAAGCTGTTCCTGGGCCAGGACTATAGGTCACCTCTCAGTGCCAAGGTCTTCTCTTCCTGGGATTTCTGCATCCGGGGGCAGGAAGCAGCCACCATTAAGAAGCATGAGATCAGCAATGAATTCAAGGTGTGTTCGAGACCATGCTTGGGTGTGAGATGCGTGAATGTGCCAGTATGAATGAGTGTGAGCACATGTGTGACTGAGTGCATGTGTGTGCTGAGTGCACACGCATACACATTGGGTGTTACAGCAGGAGGTGGGACTGGGCTGCTGTTTGACTGTGGGCACTCACCCTCATGGTGAGGGAAGGGGTTGTCTAGACAAAACCAGCCACTGTTCCTCCACCTGTCCCTGCGCCAGTGTCACTCCAGCCCTGCCCAGATCCTGGAGGCTGGTCTCCCCACACACCCTGACCCGGGCCCAGGCACCTCCCCTTCCACCCACCCCCACCCCCACCCCGCTGACCCCATCTGCCTCTGCCCTGCCCCCTGGCAGGTGGAGCTAGAGGAGGGGCATCGCCTCCTGCTGGCGCAGCAGCAGACCCGGGCCCAGAGAGCCTGCCACCTGCTCACCTACCTTCGTGTCAACATCCTCATCGGGATTCTGGTAGCTGGGGCCATCAGCACCATCTTCTGGGCCACCAAGTACTCACAGGATAACAAGGAGGTACCAGGAGAATGACAGGCATTCATTTAATCCTGGCCAGTACTGTGGGGGGAGTCGGTATGGTCCCATTTTGCATCTGAGGAAACTGAGGCCCTGAGAGGTTAAAGCAATTTGCCCAAGGGTACGTCCAGGTCAGACTGGCTCCACCTGTGGATATCCCCCCATCCCTCCTCCGTGTTGCTCCTGGGAATAGTCCGTGGGCTTCCAGGTGCCTGGCCTGCACCAGAGTTATGCTCTAGGGGGTCATGGGGATGGGGGGGTATTGGGGGCCCTCCAGCCCATGGGCACCCCCTTACCTGCTTTTCCCCACAGGAGTCCCTGTTTGTGCTACTCCAGTACCTGCCCCCTGGGGTCATCTCTCTGGTCAACTTTCTGGGTTCCCTGTTGTTTGTCTTCCTTGTCCAGCTGGAGAACTACCCTCCCAACACTGAGATCAACCTCACCCTTATGTGGTGAGTGCCACCCCTGGGGTGGCAGGTGGGACAGCATGCAGTGGGGAAGGCAAGGAGGCCCCGGGCACAATAGGAGGCTGGGTCCTGCTGCTCACCTTGGTGAACTCCTGGCACCATGGGTCCCAAGCAAGCGAGGGCAGGTGGGCACTCTCAGAGCACATGGCCTCCTGGACCCCAGTCTCAGGGTCTCCAGTCCAGTGTTCCAAAAACAGCCAGCAGTCTGGACCATGCGCCAGCCATTCCTGGGGGCCCATGACTGTTTTGCCAGAGGGTGTTGGAAATCATCTTCACACACTTAGGAAAGCCGGGAGCACAGGATGCACGTGGCCTCCATGTGTGCCCCGAGGGTTTACACCCCTTACCTTGACAACCCTCACATGACCTCTGAAGTTGGGACCATCCTCATCCCCATTTGACAGCTGAGGAAGTTGAGGTTCTCAGGGGCTAAGGGCCTCTGCCAAGGACAAGCCCACCCTGCCTACTGGGTGCAGGTTCAGACACAGGCTCCTGCCCCCACGCTCCGCTCTGTCTTCCTTCTCAGGGCCCGGGTCCTACCTTGGACCCAAAGCCCCTGTTCCAACCCCACCTGAGCTCCCAGCTTTTGTCTCCATCTGCCACCCTGCCCCGCTTTCCCTAACAGCTTTTCCTTCTGTTTCCCTGGCACAGAAGCTGTCTGGAGCCCAGTCAGCTCTCCTCCAAGGTGGACTATGTTTGGTTTTGAAACTTTATTTTTGGAATAGGCAATAGCACACACACACAGTAAAAAAAACTTAAAATGCTCAAGAGGATGAAAGACAAAAATAAGCCCCTGCCCTTCCCTGCTTCCCAGCTTCCCTCAACAGAAGAACCACTGTACGTGTCAGCCTTGGACGTGCACGCTTGGACACCGGACACATGCAGTGGCTTGGGGTTAGGGCAGCTCACCTATATGGTCCCATATGCTCGTTGTTCAGGAGCATGCCTGCACGTGTCTGTGATAAATGAGACAGCGTAAGTGGGCTGGGGTATTAACTGTCTGTGGAAGAAAGGGAGATCTCACCTGCAGTAGGATATTAAAGGCCCACAGACGCCTGTGAGTCTCCAAGCTAGGTGTGAGGAGAGGACGGTGGACTGCACAGTGTTACCCAAACTAATGCAAAAACAATCCTTCTGGGAATCATCTGGAGACTGAGATTCTGGGTAAACTTTGCCACAGACAGCAGGCTGGGCTCTGAATTTAGAGGGGGCTGGGCCCAGGAGAGACATGATGTCACGCTGCCATCAGTTACACCAGTAACCTGGGTCAAATGTGCCCGTATAACTGGGCCCCTCCTCTGACACAGTCCCGCCCCCTCAGGTGCGTGGTGCTGAAGCTGGCCAGCCTGGGCATGTTCTCCTTCTCACTGGGCCAGACTGTGCTGTGCATCGGCAGAAACAGGACCAGCTGTGAGTCCTACAGCTACGCCTGTGACTACCAGGTGGCTGGCAGCTCCATCAGGGCCTGTCCCTCCTGTCCTTCTCCACAAAGCCCCACCTCTCTGATCTCCTTGTCCCTCTGTGGATCTCCCCTTTGTGAGAGACTGTGAGCAGAGCTGCCCAGACAGTAGCACACTTCCGGGGTGGGGAGGTGGGGAGGCGGGAGGGTGGCGAGCATTCACGGAGCGCTATGCTCCGGGCTGGCCGTGGGGTTTCCCTGGCCGAATCTTATCCTCAAGGCCTGGGTTTTACCATAGCAACCATACCAGACTCCAGGCAAGGCTCCTATACCACAGAGATCCCCCAGCGAGCGGGTGAGGGGCAGCTGGGGACCCTGGGCGGTGACAGACCCTCCCTCTGCACCAGTGCTGGGAGAACTCGGTCGGGGAGGAGCTGTACAAGCTCAGCCTCTTCAGCTTCCTCCTCACGGTGGCCGCCGCCTTCCTCATCAGCCTCCCTAGGAGGTGAGCCTGTGTGGGGACACCCCTGGGAGAATGGGGGTGACCTGGGCGTGTGTGGGGATGGCCAGTGGCCACGGCCAGGGGTGAGCAGTTCTGCACAAGTGTATCCACATGAATGAGCGATGGTCCAGGGCCACGACCACTGGGGTCCACATGCTTTTCGTGGGTGGTGGTGCCTGGACACACCCCTCCCGCAGGCTGCTGGTGGAGCGGTTCTCCGGCCGGTTCTGGGCCTGGCTGGACCGGGAGGAGTTCCTCGTACCCAAGAACGTGCTGGACATTGTGGCAGGGCAGACGGTCACCTGGATGGGCCTCTTCTACTGCCCCCTGCTGCCCCTGCTCAACAGCATCTTCATCTTCCTCACCTTCTACATCAAGAAGGTGGGGGCTCACGGGCTGGGAGGGAGCAGGGAGTGTGCTGGGTGGGCTCCTCTCACCCCTGTCAGCAGAGCGGGGCTCACACCCTGCGTCTGCCACCCCAGGGTCGCTTCCGGGGGCGTTAGACTCCTGGGGGTCCGCAAGCTGGGCTAACCGCGCCCTGCCGTCCCTGCCCCCCAGTACACCCTCCTGAGGAACTCGAAGGCGTCACCTCGGCGATTCCGGGCCTCCAGCTCCACCTTCTTCTTCCAGCTGGTGCTTGTCCTGGGCCTGCTCCTGGCCACCGTGCCCCTGGGCTATGTGGTCAGCAGGTGAGGGGAGCAGAGGGGCAGAGCCTGGCGGGCAGGCAGCTGCTCACCCAGGACCTGACACCAGCCCCTCTCTGGTCATCCCTCCCCAGCATCCACTCTTCCTGGAACTGCGGCCTCTTTGCTAACTACTCAGCCCCCTGGCAGGTGGTCCCAGAGCTGATGGCCCTCTGGCTCCCACCCCCTGGCCAACGTGCCCTCCACTACCTGGGCTCCCACGCCTTCAGCTTCCCCCTCCTCATCCTGCTCAGGTGCCTCTCAGGGCAGCAGGGGCCCGGGGAGGGTGCACCTGGAAGTGGGGAGTCCTTCCATGAACGCCTCAGCCAGGCTCACGGGGTCTGGGTGCTAGACAAGGATAGCTGAGAGGGGCAAGGTCCCAGGGGATGGAGCATGGGCCCGAGGCAGGTGGCCTGGGGGCTCCTCCTGTGCCCCTGGGCACCTCAGCCTCTGGGCCTCACCTGTAAAGCAAGCACCTCACATGACTGACCCCTGGGAAACAGTTGCTGGGGCAAGCACACCGGAAACCTGAAGGAGTCGATTATCTTGTTGCCATTTAGAGAGAATCTGAACGACCTGGGGGTGGGGGGAGAAAAAGGGGAGTCTGCCAACCAACTCAGGCAGAGGGAACACCCCAGGAGGCAGTATTTATAGACAGTGGAGAGGGAGGAAGCAGGGGGAGGCACGTGCCGTCCGAGGGGTGACTGACCGTGGTTCCCCATCTGCCCAAAGCCTTGTCCTGACCGTGTGCGTCTCCCAGTCCCGGGCCAACGCAAGGGCCATCCAGGGCCTCCGGAAGCAGCTGGTGTGGGTGAGTGTCGGTGGGGCTGGAATGGGGCGCAGGCTGCAGGCCAGACCCTGCCGGGGACTGTGGGCCCAGGCAGGGGGGAAACCGGGGAGGCTGGGGGAGGGCACGGCCCCGAGCCCGGCTGAAGGAACACGGCCTCAGGCTTGACCGGAGGGTGGGCTTGGGTTGCGGACGCGTCCGGACCTTCATGGGGGGGAGCCTCCGCGGGGCCGGCGGCTGGGAGGAGGCGCTGCTCAGGATGCGCCGTCCGCTCCCGCGCAGCAGGTCCAGGAGAAGTGGCATCTGGTGGAGGACCTGTCACGGCTGCTGCCGGAGCCGGGCCCCGGCTGCTCCCCGGGGCCCGCGTCCCCTCGCTGCCGCGCTTCTCGCCCGCGGTCCTTCTGCCCCGGATTCCCCTGCCCAGGCTCCCCCAGGCCCGGACCCTACCCCTCGGATCCCGCCGGGCCGCGTGGGGCCGGAGTCCCCGCCGGTAGATTCCGCTTCCCCAGCGGCTCGGAGCTGTAGTCCAGGAAAATACTGGAAAGCCTGGTCCGGATCACCGACGGCGGAACCAAGCGGCACTCGGAGGTCTTGGAGCGCTGAGATTTTATTTCACACCGGCGGGCTTGGAGCGGAGTCATCGCCCAGGGTCTGAGCCCCGAGCACAAGCAAGAGGAGCAATTTATGTTATTTTGATATGCGGCATTTCTGCATGCGCAGGGCGACAGAGGGGCCCGGGGGAGGGGAGGGGGGAGCTGGGAGGGCTTTGCCAACCAGAGGGAAAAAAGCGGTTTGCTGACCTTGACAGCTGTGTTGGATATTTTCCTTGCCAGTACCGACCTGCCTCCACCCGGGGCACCCCCAGGGCCTGACCTGTGGCCCCCCACCTCCTGTTGCCTCAAGCTCTGGCCCCCTGATGGCCACCACCCCTCTCTCCTGGGCCTACCAGCAGGGCTTCCCAGGGCAGGTGCACACACCAGGTGTAGCAAGAAGAAAAGGGCACTTGTATTTATATTTTCATCTCAGTCCTTTAAAGTTTCTATTTTTGTTGAATGATTTGTAGTGCACACATCTATCCGTGTAGTCGCCCATGATCGCAATTTATAAATACACACCCACTGGGAGTGCTCAAAAATCGTTTCCTGTGGGGAGCAGCCTTATAAAAGCTTCAAGACCTCCTGCCAGAAGAGCAGGCCTGGCCAGTCACAGGAACCTGCACCCCTGCTGGCTGTGTTCCAACAGCACATGGCCCAACATAACCTCCTGGTGATCCTTTGTCCCATGTGAGACCCATTAGGACCCACAGAGGTTAAGTGACTTGAGTCAGGGGCGCAGCTGAGGGTTGAAGGCTGGCTGCAGAGCCACACTGCCCCAGCCTGGGGCTCAGAGGCCCATTTCAACCCTGACCCTGACCCTGACCCTGACTCGGACCCCGGCGGCCTACAGGCTTAGAGAGTCTTAATAACAGAGGGTCTGTGGTCAGCCTCTCCCTAGCAGGATGCCTCAGAGTCCCATATTCTAACTCAAAAGTCCATGCCAACAATGGGGGAGGGGGGCATCCTTAGGAAACCAGAACAGAGGCCCCCCAGCCAGGCCTTCTGCAGAATCTGTTCTCCCCCCGCAGCTCGTGTCAGCCCCCAGCCCCCACCCCCGTTGAGCTAACCTTTGGGGACAGTGGGATGAAGGAGCCACCGGGTGGCTAGGAGTGTACAGACCCGTAGTGTGAGACGCATGAAGTGCAGGGCTGCCAGGCCACGAAGGGGGGCCGGGGTTGAGATTCCCTAGCCCCCACCCCGAGTTGCAGTGGCTGGGAAGCCCATCAGCAGCTGGCCCTTGCCAGCACTTCCGACGTGATGGGCCAGGTGCAGCCGGCAGCCAGGCGTGGGGGCTTGCCAGAGAAAGCTCCCAGGTGACTCAGCGGCAGCCAGGATTGAGGACTGAGGGCCTGAAGAACTGAGAGGAGGAGAGGTCGGGAGAAACCAGGACGGGACATGCTGGGGGAGCCTTAGCTTCTCCTAGGCCCAGCCCAGCACTTGGCTGCATTCCCTGCCTGAACGCAGCGTCAGGCAGCTTTGGCCGAGTGCACAGTGACTGGGGCTCCACGTGGTCATTAAAGGCTGGCCATTCGCTCCTCCGGTCCCTGTCCTGTCACTCACCTAGCATCACATGACCCATTCGTCTGTCAACAAGTGCCGGCCCTGCTCTGGGGAGCACACAGAGCTTGTGCTCAGTCGTGGGGGTGACAGCCTGAACCAGATGAAAAAGGCACCGGTTAACAGCGTGGGGCCGAGTGCTTGGACCTCCAGCACCTGAGAACTTATTAGAAATGCAACTTCTCAGTCCCCTACCACCTCCTCCTCCTCAGAGAAACTCTGAGGGTGGGGCCCAATGATTTTTGAGAGTTGGATGAGCCCCAGGACTGATGCTGAAGTGACAGGCTGCTGCCCTGAATCCTCAAGGCCTTTTCCTTGTACCCTCACATGCCTTCTGGCCCCCGAGCTGAGACCAGCCAGGGCTCAGCAGGGTCCACGGTGTCTGCTGAGGGAGAAGATGAGCTCTTGAGACCTCAGGGGACTCCACCTCTGGGCCACACTGGGGTGACACCACCCTCTGAGGGGCTGTGAGCTTCGAAAGTGCCCTTCCTAGGAGAGTAGTTGAGGTCCTATTACAATGTGGTCGTTGGCCTGAGCAGCAAAGTGGGAGAGATGGAAGTGGCCCTGAGACCCCCGTGATCCTGGCTGGCCAGCAGATAACCCCGGCTCATCACTGCGGTAGGAGGCGCTCATGGAGCCGTGACTAGTGGGGCCTTGCAGGAAGGGAGGGTCCAGACTGGACAGGAAGGCAGCAGGGATGGCCTGAGCAGAGGTGTGAAGGCGGGGCCACCCAGGGCTAGGCCGAGGACCCTGGGAACCTGGGCCGTGTGGCAAGGACAGTTGGAGGGCAGAGGGAGCCAGCGCCCCCACGTGGGAGCCACAGGCGCGGGTGGTTTGTATGAACACACGGGGCAAGGGGAGACCTGTGCAGCTACTGCAGTCAGGGAAGCAAGGGTCTCACCAGGTGCGACAGCCCACTACAGGGAGGAGGGCAGTAGTCTCAGCTCTACCCTGGGGGTTCCTGGCTTCGCCCTGCCCAGCCCTGGGGGACTCCCGGCTATGTAACCCTCCAGCTACGCCAGCTGAGGCAGCCCAGTGCAGACACTGGCAGGACCCTCCCAGGAACATAACATGTGACATGAGGGGAACAAGCTGATGCTGGGATGGCCACGTATCAGAGACTGGCCCTCTGTGGGTAGAGTGCACAGAACTGTCTGTAGTGGGTACACCCCAACTCCGCTCCAAACAGGCGACCTGGGGTAACCTGGTGTGTCCTCATCCGGCCTGTCCTGCCTGCAGCCTGTGGAGAAGGGGCGGAAGAGCCCAGAGAACCAGCCCCTCCAGAAACAATGGCACTCCAGTCCCACGGGCAGAGGGCTGCTGGCTGCAGAGGGGTACCTGCGGTGGGGCAGGAAAATGACCCTGTCCCAGCAGGACATTTCTGGGGGAAATGTCCCGCAAGTCTGCCCACCATGCCCTCTGCCTATGGATCTGTAAATGCACTGGTCTCATCCCTCGCACAGCAGAGGGGACAGCACTGGCTTCTGGCCTTCAGGCGGCAGACTGCCAGCTGCCAAGACCACCCCTCCATCCCCTCGGTCCTCAGTTCCCTCCCCACCCACTTCTGCGGGGAGAGACCAGACTTTTTGGAAGGGGATGTTGCTAGGAAACTAAGAGGAAATGTTCTTGCCCCCCAAATGCAGAGAGGTATGTGGGTCCACAGGGCACTTCCCCAGGGGTACAAGTCAGGACTGCAGGTGGCAGGTGACGATGCTGATTCCTACCCCCTGAGGAGAAAGGGAACCACTGAGGTGGTCCACAAAGCTGGTCCCCGAGTACCACCTGCATTCGGCCTGGACCTCCCCCACCATCCTGCTCCCAGGCAGGCAGAGTCATCCTGCCAGACCAGGTGCCCCATGTGCCTACACCTCACAGGCTGCAGTGGGTCCCACTGAGAAGGGTGAGGAAACCCGAGGGCGGGCTAGAATTGGCCTCCCATGGGTCAGGTGCACATCCCAGGCTGTGTGGGGCAGAGGTACGGCTGACCTCTGACCTGCGGGGCTCTGTCTGAGTGGGCAGTAAATGGTTCCACAGCAGGGGCAGGACGTTCTCCCTGAGGAAGGTGGCCAAAATGGACGTTTCCTGCACAAACTACGTGAACCTACCCGGGAAGGGACTGGCTAGGGAGGAACTGGGCTGCCTGGGGACTCGGCAGAGGCCTCCCACAGAGCCACCGTCTGTCCCCACCTCACCTGTCCCTCCATTGTCTGCTCCTGGCCGCCCTGAGGGTTCAGCCCTGGTCTGGCCTTAGTGCTTGTGGAGGTTTCTGGCTTTGGGAGGCCCTGCTCACCCCCACCCTTCTCTCTGGATCCTGAGCTCAGCTGCAGACAGCCCACAAGGTCATGCCCACGTCTGTGATGAGACTTAGCCTCTTTTTGGTCTAGCTGGCATTGGGTCCAGGTCCCTGGGGAATGACCCACCATCCCTGGGCAGGACAGCCCTTCCTGCTCTGAGCTCAAGGGCAGTGCTGGAGCATAGAGCCTGTCACACACGCATCCCACCCCTGCTGTGGCCAAGGGCCTCACCCATTAAACCTCTGAGGCTTAGCATGGGGGCTGAGCCCAGCATCAGCCACCTGGATGGTGCCCACTTGCTGGTCACTAACGAACCAGTGTGAGATGGCAAACGTTGCCTTTCCTGTCTGCATCTTTAACAGGCCGAGCCCACCAGTTCTCCTGCCTTTACATCGGACCCTCACTGGGAGCTCTGGAAGGACCTTCGTGATTACAGGCCCATCCTGACGACCCAGAATGACCCTACCCACCCATCTCAAAAGAGCAGATTAGCAACCTTGGGTCCCCCTCGCCTGGTAACATACATATTTCAGGGGTCAGGTCATGGACATCTACCTACTAAAGAGGCCCAGGGCCTCAGCTCGGCAGTGACAGCCGAGTAAGAAAGCCCAGGTTTGGCTGCAGATGGGCACCTCCTCATTCCGTGGGGCTGTCTGAGGGAGTGTGTGGTTCTGGGCCTAGCCCTAGTTGCTGGGGCCCCATCGCGCTATCCAGGTTATCTTCCCACTGCAGACACACACCCACAGCAGCCCAGGGGCCCCAGGGTGGAGATGGCCCAACCGAGGCAGCTTGTGCAAGCCTGGGAAGAAGGCCCCACGCCAGCAGAGGCATGAGCCTCCTTCTGCTGCTCTGCTCAGCCACCCTGGGTGAGCCAACTGGGGATGTTGTGGGAGGGGGCCACTGAGGGAGGGGCCATTGCCGGGGCCTTGAGGAGGCAGGCTAAAGGGAGCACAGGACAGGTGGGGCCTGAAGGTGGGGCACAGGACAGAGGCAAAGATCCAGGCTTGAGCCTCAGACTGTATTGCTTTACCCACTCATTGCTTCACCATTCTGGACACACTATTTATTCATCTGCAGAATGGGCTACTGATACTAAATGGCCTTGAAAAAGCTTCTATGAGTGCAGATACTTGCTGAGTTCTGGGCCTCCCTTCTGACCTCAGCCAGCGGTCTCCGGCCTCCCCACGGCTCTGGGCTCCCTACTGACCACCTTGCCACCTTCCCCATGTCTTACAGCCACCAGCAGCTTCCCCGCGGGGCAGGAGGTAGGTGAGTAGCCCAGCACATTCATTGGAGGGAGAAGGCTCCGGCCGGGGACCTGGAGTCAGAGCCCCCACCCATGGCGGGTGCCTTGGCCGGGGGAGGTTGCTGATGGTGAGGGCGTGTCTGCTGGTGGACAGCTTGGACAGTTCTGGAACCTGGCCTCAGCCCCTGCAGGACCCTGGGGGCAGTGGAGAGGAGAAGGCGGACAGGCCAGTGTGGGACCCCTCGGGGACACGGGGAAAGGGAAGTGCTTGGCTCTTGTTGGGTAAGGGAGGAGGGTAAAGGGGGCAGAGGACGTGCTCTGGGCAGGTGTATCCCTGCTGTGCCACCCCAGGTTCTGATCTGGAGCAGAAGCCCGTCGGGGAGCCCCAAGTTTCTGCCGGGTGGGTGTGACCCCAGAGCAGGCTGAGGGCATTCCGGTGGGGCGCTTTGGACCGGGAGAGGGGAGGGGGGTTAGCGTGGCCGTCCAGGTGGCCGCCCTCCCACGGCCAGCAAACCAGCAAACGGAAGGCTGCCTCACTCCCAAAGGCAGCGGGAGGATGTCAGGGCTGCTGCCACCAGTCACCCAGGGGGTGGTACAGACCTGGGGAGGGGCACTCCGCTCCCTTCCCCCCCGTTTCTAACCCTGCCACCTCTAAGCTCAAGGTGGAGAGTCCCCCCCTCTTCTCCACGCGGGGGGAGCTATTCCTCCCGGTCCTGTCCCGGCCAGTACCGTCCCTGGGTCACAGGGGCGCAGAGCCGGCATCTGCTTCGATTCCACTGAAGGGCGGGTCTCACTTGACCGCAGCACAGGCTGAACTATCATTTCCTCATTTGCTCTAAAAACAAACGTGGTGGTGTTTCCGCTGAAAAGAGAGCAGGGCTGACTGCAGACTTCTGGGTCTCTGGGAAGTACCTGGACAGGGCCAGTCTGCTGCCCCTCCTGCCCCTGACTTCTGCTCAACCTCCTGTGGACCAAGGCCCGCTAGCTAAGCTCCTAAGAAACCAAGTGCTGAAGCATTCGTTCATTCAGCAAACACTGGGTGAGCCCCGGTCTAGTGCCAAGCACTGTTCTGGGCCCCAGGATACAGAAACAAAGCAAAGGTCCCAGCCCTTCGGTAGCTTACATTCCAGGGGGCGGGGGCACAGTGATGACAAAACTGATCTTGCTAGGATGTCATAGGCCCTCGAGAAATGCAGGCAGGGAAGAGGGGAAGGGGACATGGGGAGGGGCTGGGCGGGAGGTCATCGCTGAGAAGGGGTCACCCAAACAAGGACATGAAGGAGGTGGAAGAGCAGGACATCCCTGGACTTGGCCTGCGTGGCCAGAGCACAAGAAGCAAGGGGGAGGGGAAGCGGGATGGGGTGAGGCATGGGGGGCTGAGCATGGGGGGCCCTGTGGGCCTAGCTGGCTATGGGAGGGTTTGCACGAAAGAGTCTGATTTGCATGTCCTGGCGGCTGCCTTGACAGGAACTGGATGGGGACCTAGCGCGGAATCCCAGGGAGCCAGTAGCTGTTCCTGGAACCCAGGGGAGAGATGGGATGGCAGCAGGAATGGAAGGGAGAAGTGGTCAAGATATATTCTGAAGGTCAGGCCAACAGCACTTGCTGTGAAAGACAGTGGAAACCCTGGGGTTTTTAGCCTGAGCTGCCACACGGATCAGCTGAATAAATGCAGCCTTACAAGGAATATCCCACAGCTGACACAATTTCAGTGGGGGCGGGAAGGCAGGCAGAAGGTAGGCTAAGGGGTTGAAAAGCCAGGGTATGGGAAAGATTACAGGTGTGTTTTGAAATCCCCACCAAGTGTGGCATTGGGAGTGGGAACCAGGGCGGGAACCTCCAGCGGGTGACAGGATTTCTGGGCATTGTAGCCCGCAGTGCAGGGTGGGACATGTCTGCAGAGGTGAGGTTCAAGGCTGGTGTTCAGGAAGGAAGGAGGGGCAGTGGTCCAGAGATACCAGGAGAATGTCCACCCTTGTTGTCCCAGGTCAGGGCCAGGAGGGCTGTGGGGACCGCCTGAGATGGCAGGGCAGTGGGTCGTGCCCTGTGGAAGGCTGCTTTCCATCAGGTGGAGAAGACGAGATGCCGAGCAAGGCTGAGAACTTGGTTCCAGAGGGCTCAGCACGAGGATTTGGGAGCTGGGGAGGCTGGGGGTGGGCGTAAAGGGAGCTGGCAGAGCCCTGGGAGGGGCAGGGCAGGAGGGGTGGGTGGCCCAGCAGGCCGGGTCAGGGGATATCTGGCTGAAGGACAGATTCAAGCTGGCGCACACCCCGAGAGAGAGCGCAAGGGCCTGACAGGCCGCCTCCCTTCACTCCCAAGCCCATCTGGGACTCCTGAGCAAGGCTGGAGAGCCTCTCACAGGACATGTCTGGTGGTGCCGTATGGTGTTGTGGGGCTGCCATAACGAAGGACCACACACTGGGATGTTTAAACAACAGAAATGAATTCTCTCCAGGTTCTGGGGGCCACAAGTCCAAAATCAAGGATGGCCTGGGGAGAACCGGCCCCACACCCGTCTCATGGCTGCTGGCATCCTAGGTGTCCAGGGCTAGTGACGGCAGCACTCCAGTGCCGGCCTCAGTTCTCACATGGCCTCCTGCCCTGTCTGTGTCTGTCTCTCCTCCACTTATGAGTAATGGACCCACCCTTTACATCTGTAAAGGCTCTATTTCCAAATGAGGTCCCATTCCCATTGAACATATCTTCATGGAGGATATAATTCATCCCTCAAAAGGCGGGCTGCATGTTCAAAACCAGATCCCTGGACCCCACCTCGGGTCTAATAAACTGGGTCACTAGTGTGGGACTGCAAACTCCAAGCCTTCGGTTATCACAGAGACAGGTCTAGAGAGAGGCTGGGGCCACCCCAAGGCCTCTGAGCTGTGGCGGGCAGCAGCCCAACGGGGCTTCCTTCTGTAGCAACAGGACGAAGCTCCACATGGCCACCCATGCCCCCAGCCTTGGCTGGGCTCTGCTTTAGTCCCAGGGTGGCCTCATCGCTTCATCAAATTTTGAATGTGCCATTCCATCATTCAAGTGTTCTGATACAGTTGATGGATTTTTAATTAAATGATAGACCACTTGTTATCGGTGGATTAGATGCATAAACTAAATAATCCAAAGGAAAAAAAAGATACAAGTCTTATTAGAGTATAGAGTGAATGCTGCACTGCACAGAGTACTAAAAAAATGACCGTGTCTGAATTTATGTAAATCATGCTTCTATTCATGGCTGTTGAAATGGAAATGAAGGCAGACCAGCTTTTTCCACTTTTGTTAAGTCAAGGTCATTTCTCTCTGTGATGGGGCAAAAAGAAGTGTCATAACACTTCAGCCCTGGACTCCCATGTCCCCCAAAAAGGAAGATTCTGGCCCCAAGACTGTCTTGGGACAATGAGAAGTTGGTCCTTTGGCCCAGGGTCACAGTGATGGAATTACTGGGAGGAGTTTGCAAAATAGGTGCCCCAGAGAGGAGATTGTGCTCTAGAAACAGTTTTTTTCACCTCAAATATAAGATTTTGCATGAAAGGCTGTTTGGGAGGAAAACAATTTTTTTTTAATGGGGTTCTCATGACGTTCAGAAAGAGGCCAAGATGAGAAAATACTGGCTTGTGTCTTTGCTCTGGGCAAGGGAAGACTGCCTGTCCCCACCTAGACGCCAGGAGCAGCCCCCCCAGCCCATTCCCTGACAACTAAAAATGTCTCCAGACGCAAAGGTCCCCCAGAGGCAAAATCACCCCTGCTTGAGAACCCTGTCAGAAAGAAATATGCCTAGTAATCAGAAACTAAGATTCCGAGGAAAAGTCTCTGATGAGCAGCCCTTTCTCATTCGTTCCAATTCTCTGCTCAGCGAACAGTTTCCCAATCACACTGTGGTTTCCAGAGCCAACGTGCGCAGCAGCACAAGGGGGGTGTATGAAGTATACGACATTTAGGTGTCCCGAAGCCTTCTCTCCACCCCTCTGCCCGAGCACTGCCCCTACCCACTATTCTTGAGAAGGCACCATTCATAATACAACCCTGTCTCCCCATCCCCCCTCAGCAGGCACCTTTGTTGAGTCCCTGTGGTGGTCTTGGCTCAGTAGGAATATCTTAGAGATGTTTTCTGCACCAGACTCACCTGCACAGCAGAAAAGTTTGTTTCATGCGGAGAGGCAGTCTAGCTGGGTGAACACCTGCTCGGAGCGGGCTGGACGGTGGGGTTTGGTTTCAGGAGTCTAGGAGAGTCCTCTGGGGGCCATGGGTGTCTCCTTCAAGGGTCCCCCATTCTCCTGAGGTCCTCCTTTCGCTAAGTGGCCTCTCTCTCTGGTCAGCCTGTTACCCTCCAAGTCCTTTGTGACACCTCCTTCTTGGGGCTCAGGGCCGTGTCTTCTGCCCCTGCCTTCTGACTGCCCCTTCAAAGCAGATGCTGACCTCTCTGGGTGCAGGGTCCCGGAGTGTGCACCTTTATCACACAAGAGCCGACTGCACACCGCACTTCATTGTGCAGCTGGAGAGTAACTGCCTCCTCATGTGAACCACTCAGCCAACAAACAGGGCACCTCTGGGCTCCTGCCAGGGGTCCGGGATATGGGGATAGGCAAGAAGGGCAGAGCATCTGTCCCCTACAGCTTACAGTCCACAAAACTGTTGTATCTGAAGTTAAACCCAGTGTCAGCCCTCCTAACCTATGTTCCAAATTTTTCCATGCTTCCTGCCCTTGCCCTGACTTCATTTTATTTTTCTAGTAAAATATTCTGGGAAGAAAGAGTCTAAACCCAGGAGGTAGACTCTCTTTTCCAGCAATTTCTTTTTTTTTTTAATTGAGGTGAAATTCACATAACACAAAATTAACCATTTCTTAGTGAACAATTCAGCGGCATTTAGTGCCTTCACAATGCGGTGCAACCACCAACCCTATCCAGTTCCAGAACATTCCCATCACCCCGAAGGGAGACCTCAGACCCATTAAGTGGTCACTCCCCTCTCCTGTTCCCCAAGTCCCTACTAACCACCAATCTGCTTTCTATCTCTAGGGATTTCCCTGTTCTGGGTATTTCACATGAATGGGTCATACAATATGTTGCCTTCTGCGTCTGACTTATTGCACTTAGCAGAGTATCCTTAAGGTTCATCTGTGCCATAGGAGGCATCGGTACTTCACTCCTTTTTATGGCTGAGTACTATTCCGTTGCAAGGATGGACCATATCATGTTTATCCATTCATCCACTGGGGGACATGAGGGCTGTGTGTACCTTTTGGCTATTATGAATAGTGCTTCTATGCACACGTGTGCACATGTATCTGAGTCCCTGTTTTCAAGTATTTTGGTAGATACCTAGGAGTGGAACTGCTGGGTCATATGGTAATTATTAAACTTTTTGGGGAACTGCCTAGCCAGCATTTTCTTCCAGTGCTTGATAAACCTTGGTCTCCTTCTTCCTCCCTGAACTGTTTCACCCCCCAGAAATCACCCTTGAGACCTTCATTGCCTACAGAGTCCTGGAGGTTTTCCCCAGAGGCCGTCGGGTTCTCATAACATGCCACTCACCCCAGGCGTCCCCGCCTGTCACCTACACCCTCTGGGGGAGCCAGGACACTGAGGTCGCCAAGAAGGTGGTGAAGACCAGAGACCCGGCCTCCTTTAGCATCAACATCACACTCAAGTCCAGGCCAGAACTGCTCACCTACTCCTGCCAGGCGGCCTCCAACTGGGGAGTGCACAGGACCAGTGCCAAGCTGCAGATGTACTGGGAGCTGTGGGCCAGTGAGCACATGGGGTGCTGGGGTGGGGGGCATGCAGGCTGTAGGTCTGGCAGACAAATAGAAGCTCCTGGGGTGGGAATTGTGGGAACAGTGGTCTGGGGCTGAGAGAGAGTGTGGGGACAGGACAGGTTGCCACCCCTGAGGGCACCCTCAGTCCCTAAAGGCAGAGTAGTTCCTACCTGGGCTGCCAGGGCACAGTCTCCTGGCAGGGGCCTGTGGGGGCTGCAGGGGAGTACCGAGGAGCCCAAGGGCAACAGTCCTGGGGAAGTACTGCAGGGCGGGCTCCCTCTGTTGAGTGCTGACCTCAGGCTGATAAAGTAGGCACCTTTTTTGCTTTATGTAGTTTAATCTTCACAGCAGCTCAAGGGTGGGATGCATGGTTGCTCCAGATAGAGGTGGAAGCTAAAGCTCTTGCTGGTGAAGAGCGTTGCCCCAGGCCACCCAGCATTCAAGTGGCAAAGGCAGCCTTCAGATCTGTGTCCTTCCCATTTCTATCCTGATCTTAACTCAGGCATCCTTCTGGTGGGGGGTATGGGACATTTGAACCAGGTAGGACATGACCCCCTGGACCCACCCCTGAGAAAAGACAGCCTAGGGGAGGAGAGCCCAGGGTCTGGAGGCTGTGTGGTCTTGGGCAAGTCACTCAACCTCTCTGGGTCTTGGTTGCTTCTCTGCAAAAAGAAGATAAATAGTAACTACTCCAGGAGGGCAGAAAAGAATCCATGGACTTTTTTAGTAGGTGGTAAGTATACAACAAAGGGTAGTGGTTATTACTCATCATTAAGGCTGTTTTGAACATGAGGCTGAAGGCCCTAGATGATTCTAGAATCTAGAGTCTGCTAAGTGACAGTTCTTGTCATGAAGGACTATATAATGCAGTAAAAGACTGAAAGAATATAAACAGGTTTCCCAGGTAAGTTTTACATAGACCTACTTATACTAAAAAATTACTCCTTGTTTATCTGTAATTCAAACTTAACTGGGCACCCCGTATTTTTATTTGCTAAGTCTGGCAACCCACAACATACCAAACAAGAATACAACCAGATGTGAACTCTTGTGGTGGGTAGGGCAGAAGCCCAGACACAAGGTAGAGAGAATAATCCAGAAGGTTACCTGGAGGAAGTGGCAATCACAGGCCTCCAGGCCCATTTGTCATTTTGTAACAAGGGGAACTTGCTGGGGAGAGGGTCTCCCAGCCATGCGTGTGTTCCCTTCTCGCACCCTGTCAGACCCTGTGTCCCAGCTGCAGGCTGACTTCACTCTCCTGGACAGAGGAGCAGGCCCCAGGGTAGAGATTTCCTGCCAGGCATCCTTGGGCAGCCCACCCATCACCTACAGCCTGGTTAGAAAGGATGGGCACGTGCACATGCAGCAGAGACCGAACCACGGGCAGCCTGCCAACTTCTCGTTCCCACTGACCCAGACGTCGGACTGGTTCCAGTGCCAGGCTGAAAATAACGTTAGTGTCCAGTGCAGCCCCCTCACGCTGGTGCCCCCAGGTGAGAAGGCCCCTTGGCTTCCAGAGGGGAGCTGGCTGGCACTTCTGGGTAGGTCGGTGGGAGAAGGGAGAGCACCACTTGGCTGAGCAGCCGTACCTGCCCTGGCCCTGCCTAAAGGGAGCCCAACCCAGCTGCCTGCCTCCCTCACAGGACAGCTGCCCCAGGCACCCACCTTCATGTTGGCTGGCAGCCTTACCTCCATTGCAGCTATCACCTCTGGGATGCTGGGCTGGACTGTCCGGACCAGGTAGGAAATGGTGCTGGGTGTGGGGTCACAGTGAACTGCTGCTGGCCTGTGTGAACCCAAGGGGCCCTGGCTGGAGAGCAGCAGGCAGTGCGTTCGTAGGGCAGGGCTGCCACCAGGGCGAAGAGAGGACCATATCACTGATGCATGACTTCCAAGTTTTTAAGCCCTACTGTGTACTGAGTGCCTGCTGAGGGCTTGCACATTTGTGGCTTTATCTGACCCTGCCCATTGCTCCCAGCTGCCCTACAATGGAGTCAGCTGGCCTCTAGGTGGGGCTGAGGAGGGAGGCCAGATGGGGAACAATGCCATTGGGACTAGGGTGGAGGAGGGGCTTCTGCCCTTCATGGGACCCACATAGTTCAGTGCTTCCTAGCTGGTGAAAAGGGCAAGACATCCTGGGGACCACTCTCCAAGGCCATCACTTCGCTGACTTGTGAAGTGACCAGGGAGGGCCTTTGTCCAATCCCAGGCCCTGCAGGCCTCTGTGCTCCCTCTGCCTGGCCTTTGGTGGTGGTCACCTCTTTCTGGTGAACTTCTCAACTCCCTTGGTTTCTAAGGTACTGCTGTCTCCAGGTCCTCAGCCTCCCTCCCTGGCCAGCCTCTCAGCAGACCCTGCCCGGGACCCTATCCTTGGCACTCACCTCCGGGTCCCTCTTCCTAAATCTCTGTCCTTTCCAGAAGCTAGACTCGCGGGATGGGTGAGCCCCGTCGCCTCCCTGAACCTGTTTTCCCTCATGGGGAAATAAACAAATGAGGTTCAGAGTCCTGGCTCCCACTCACCATGTGACCAGGGGCTAGTGCTTGCCCTCTTGGTGATTAAGTGCCCCCTTCATTTTATGGGGTGACTAAGCCTTACACCTGCCCAGGGCACTGATGCGCTTGACACTGTAAAATTCCTGGAGGCCTTAGGAGGGGGTGGCTGAGAGGCATCCCTGCCTAACCGGGAATCTTAACGCCTTTGTCCTCAGGTGACCAGAAGATGCGGGCTGGGCAGAGCGGCCCTCCTCACTGCCTCCAGAGCGACCCGCCGTCTGAAGAAGGGTTCTTGGAGCCTTTGTGTCCTCCAGTGAACACACGTGGTGTTATTTTGAGGATTTAAGCATGGGATGGGGCTGTAATGGAAGGGGAGGTCCACTGGAAATGGGGCAACCCAAGGGGGGCCACCTCCAACACCCCCACGCCCGCCCCACCCTTTTTTGGAGTGGCACCGCATCTCCAGGGGGCCCGACTCTCGGGCTCCACCCACCAATGTCTCACTGACCAGCTCACCCGGGAAGCTCTGGGCTGGGTGCCACCTGAACAGCACCCCCCTCATTAACCCTTACCTGCACCCCGCAAAGCGTGCCTGGAATTTCTCCTTGTGAGCCAGCCGGTGGCCCCTGAGCACACACACACAGCCTTCCCCAGCCTTCCTTGTCCACATCAAAGAACTGGATTAAACTTTGCCCGCTGCCTGTCACCCTGGGAGCTTGTTTCTGTCTGCACACCACCTCGGCTCCTGCAAGTCTGAAGTCACACAGAACGGGAAGAATTGGAGGCGGGCGGGGGGGCTCGATCCCACCCCAGGCTTAGCTCCAGAGAGGAAGGAAGAGTGACAGGCCAGACGGTGGCTTGGGGTTTTGAGTGGACCGACGGGAAGAGAAGGAGTGTTTTTGAGCCTGGCTCCTGGGCAAATGAGGTCCAGACGGGCGTCTGGAGGGGCTTCCCGGAGGAGGCGGCGGGAGGGCAGGGGCAAACGGTGGCTGGGGCAGAGGGACGGGCCCTTTGTGCGTCTCTTCCTAGGGACTCTAGCCCCTTGCTGGTGGCGCCACGGGCCAGCGTAGCAGCGGGACGAGGGCCCGGCCAGAAGCAAGGCCGGACGGCGCGCCCCGGGGGGCTGGACGCTGTTCGCGGGACGCAGTCCCTGCGGTCAGGGCGCCCCACCGTCGCCGCCGCCAAGGGCCGCACTTTGCCTCCGGTCCCTGGAGCCGCGCTGGCCACGCCCCGGGGCGGGGCGGGCGGCCGGGCGTTCGGTTGGTTCCCCCGCGTCCGCGGCGGCAGCGACGGCGACATGGAGAGCGGGGCTTACGGCGCGGCCAAGGCGGGCGGCTCGTTCGACCTGCGGCGCTTCCTGACGCAGCCGCAGGTGGTGGTGCGCGCCGTGAGCCTGGTGAGCCGCCGCGGGCGCCGGGGGGCCCCCCACCTCGGGCCCGGGGCGGGAGGCGCGAGCCCGCGAGCGCGACAGGTGGCGGCGGCCGAGGGCCGGGGTGGGGGCGGCGCGCGTGGGGTGGGCGAGCGGGCCGCGCCGCGCAGCCCACCTCCCGGGCCCCGGGCCCGCCGCTCCCCACCCCCGTCGTCCGGGCCCCGGCTAGGGGGCCGGAGGCGCCGGCCGTCGCCCCGCTGGCAGTGGGAGGAGCTTGGGGTGGCTCCAGGACAGGTGGCCGGGAGCCGCGAGTGCCGACTCCGGCTGGGGGAATTCACCGGGAAGGGGCTTTCCTAAGCCACGTGAGGTCGGGGGTGGGGGAGGCGTGTGCCCAGAAACAGGGCCTCTGTTCCCCTCAGGAGCAGGCCAGCTTCTGCTTCCCCGCCCAAGACACCGGGCGTACCTCTGCCCGTGGGCCGGGGGAGCCTCCAGCACAGATTTCTGTGGTGGGCGGGCTGGGGTCTTGTGCTCTCTCTCGGACAGGGGTTGCCAGAGCTGGACCAGGTGTTAGAGAGAGAGGGCTGGGATGCGGGAACCACGCCACACCTGCTGGGGACTGGAGCCCTCCGAGGAGTCTTGGTGGCTGCCACGCTCCCTCCCTGTTATCTGTGGGGTCTGATCCCAAGGAGCAGATGTCCCATGTGCCCGGATGGCAGTGCCAGGAGTCGGGCCTGGCACACGGTTCCCAGCATCCCAGAGTTCCGGCCTCATCTCCAGCTGGGGGTGGGGCTTGTGACTGCCAGCCCCAGAGCCTACTGAGAGGGCTTTGTGCAGCCAGGGCAGGGCAGGGGAGAGGCCCGGGCCTGCCCCAGAGGGAGGCGGGTGTCCAGACTGTCCTGTATCTGCTGACATGCGGCGGGGATGGGCCCTGGCCTTGAAGTTTGGGGAGATGAGGAGACACGAGGCTTTCCCCAGGGCCTGGGGCTCCTTCCGGAGTTCTGGCAGGTGCACCCCCTTCTACCCTCACCCTAGAACCTCCAGGGATCTGAGAGCAGGCTGTGTCCACAGATCAGCCTGGATGCCCTGTGCAGGAAGGACCCACTGTGGGCAGCTGCAGGGCCTTGCAGGGGAAGGGCCAGGATGCCAAAGAGGCCAGAAGTTCTTGTAGGAAGAAAACTGGCCAAAGTGGGGAGGCCAGCCTGGAGCAGGGAAGAGTCGGGGGGGGCCGTGGGAGATGGGAGTCTGGGAGCATGGGTTTCAGCTCAAAGCACACTGGCCAGGCTTTCCTGAGAGTTGTGGGGGAGCCCTCCATTCCTGGGGTATTCAAGCAGAGGCTGAGAGCTGTAGGGGTGACTTAGGCATAAGGTGATCAGGAGGTGAGATTCCATGTTTGGGTTTCTATGACTTTGTGGCCCATTGTGTTTAAAACTCCTTGAAAGTGGGGGTGGGCAAGCGTGGTGGATTGCCCTGAATCCCCATCACTTACAGGATGAAGCCTCCAGTCTGCTGGATTGCAGCAGTCCCCTCCCAGGAGATCCCCAGCCACTGCCTTTGCGTCCCAGTCTAGGAATCCCCAGCCATGCCCCTTTGATGGCGAATCTGATTTGGTCTCTGGCCTGGGAGAACAGACACGGGGGCACTGCCCTAGGAAGAAACTTGCTTGTCATCCTACTCCCCAGGTCCAGAAGGGGCTGCAATGCCAACCCCTGAAGGGGAACAGCAGCAGCGGGAGAGGCTAGTGTTCAGACCCCCTGCCAATATCCCCCACTATATGTGCTCCCCCCGTGGAGTTCTGTGTGACCACTCGGCCCTTACCCCTGTCTGCTCAGGTCTTTGCCTTGATCGTGTTCTCGTGCATCTTCGGTGAGGGCTACAGCAATACCCATGAGTCCAAACAGAAGTACTGCGTGTTCAACCACAACGAGGACGCCTGCCGCTATGCCAGTGCCATCGGGGTGCTGGCTTTCCTGGCATCCGCCTGCTTCTTGGTAGTTGACGTCTATTTCCCCCAAATCAGCAATGTCACTGACCGCAAGTACCTGGTCATCGGCGACCTGCTCTTTTCAGGTAACTGCCAGCAGTGCTTCCATTTGATCTTGGAAGGTGAAAGGAGCAGTGTTCCCCCAACTCCAGGGTTCCATGATTACGGGAACTCAGCACCCTCGGGAGGGTCAGGGAGCAGCCTAGGGTCCCAGTCCCACTCAAGCAGATTTGCACACAGTGATTTCTGACCATCTGCTGAAACCCACTGGTGCTGAGTCGTAAGTGTGGGGCTTCGGGACTGGACTTCCTGAGAGGACATCGCATCTCCACCCTGGCCTCTGCATGTGCCCTGCGTACCTCCTAGAGTCTTCTGGGAGATCCCTGCCACAGGGCCTCCCTCCCCACCCACGGGGCCCCTCCTGGGTCCCTGGAAAGCCCCTGTCTCCTCCGTGGAACTGATCCTGACCCCCTGCCCTCTCCTTAGCTCTCTGGACCTTCCTGTGGTTCGTGGGTTTCTGCTTCCTTACCAACCAGTGGGCAGCCACCAATATAGAAGACGTGCTGGTGGGAGCTGACTCGGCACGAGCGGCCATCACCTTCAGCTTCTTTTCCATCTTCTCCTGGGTAGGTGGGCAGGGTGAGCAAGGTTGTGGTGACTTTGTGAAGGGTGGTGGGCGGCTGAGAAACCCAAACCTTGTGGCTCCCTGCAGGGTGTGCTGGCCTCCCTGGCCTACCAGCGCTACAAGGCTGGAGTGGATGATTTTATCCAGAACTATGTGGACCCCACTCCAGACCCCAGCACGGCCTACGCCTCCTACCCAGGTGCGTCTGTGGACAACTACCAACAGCCACCGTTTGCCCAGAATGCTGAGACCACTGAGGGCTACCAGCCGCCCCCAGTGTACTGAGCTGCAGCTGGGCATGGCAAGGGGCACGGGGGCACCTAGGGGCCCTCCGCTCTGCCCTGGACTCCCCCCACAAGGCTTGCAGAGCCTTGGGCCCCTCATCCCACCTGGCGCCTGCTGGAGCCACAGTCTGGAGAGGCCCTGCCTTCCCCAGTCCCGCTGCTGGTGGAGCCTCCACCTAAGTGCCTACGCCCCAGGGGCCTTACCCACCACTCCTCAAGGGCATTTTTTAGAAAAGGGTTTTAGCTAAATGTGTTCTGTGGTTGCTTTTAATGACCCCCAGCCCTGCCTGGAGTAGAAGTGCCTGATACGCTGTTTTTGATACGCCTTAGCTTTTCCCCGGCTGGAGGCAGGCCCAGGCCGTGGTGGCCGCTTACTTGGGGTTCTCTGCCAAAGACAAGGCTGCGGGGCCTCCCACCTGCTGTCGGTGCTGGGCAGGCTTCCCCCTCACTCAGGTGTACTCCCACCCCCAGAGCGGCTGCACCCAACCCCTTCATATTCTGGGTGCGGGCAGCCCCGTGCTCACTGCTGTAGTGTCTGCTGGCTCTTGGATTTGGGGTCACTACCCAGGGCCTTGGGCTGCCATTCTGACAGCACCAGCGAGGCACATGCCCACCCAGGGCAGCAGAAGCGCTTCATTTTCCTTGCTCCCACCCCTTGGCAATAGGGGGGGGCTTTGCCTGACCTACAACACCCAGCTTTATGTAAATACCCTGCCACTGTTAGGAAGTGTGGGGTGCACTCACAGCCCCTAGACTGTCTGAATGTATTAAAAAGCCTTGGGGGAAGACGCACAGCACCTTCTGTTCGTTAGACTGATTTGGAGATGAATAAATATTTTTCTTGTTCATAATCTCCATTATCATTGGTTGGGCTTCAGCCTAGTGGTAGTAGGAAGAGAAATTCCTCACTGGGGTACACCCTGGGGGGTGGTTTTATGGAACTTGCATTATGAACAACACCCTGGCAGTCTGCCCCTACAGCATGCGTAGTGACACCCCTTCCCCACCCCCATCTGGGGTCCCATTCCTCACACTGCCAGCCATCAACTTCTTAAAATAGCAACTGTACTCATCTTGTAAACAAGCTGGTTTTTCTGGACTGCCCTGCCAGGGTCCTGCTGTGCCCTTGGGAGTTGGGTTGGGGGTTCCTGAGAGTTGTCCCACTTAAGGCCCTGTCCCCAGTAACCCTTTCCTTCCTGCCCCCATCCTAGCAGAGGGAGGGACACCCTGGAGGAGCCAGGGTCCTTCATTTTCTGCAGATGAGTCAGCACCTCTGGACCCTGTCCCAGAAAGCAGCAGGAAACAGACCCAGCCCACCCCACAGAGCGAGCCTGTCTCTGGCAGGAGAGGCCGAGGCCCCTGAAACAACTCCCAGCTTGCCCTTCTGAGCAATGACAGAGGGAGCTGTCAAAAGGGGGCCTGACAGTTTCAAAATCCAAAATAGGTTCTGTGAACTACAGCCTCAGCACTGTACTACACGTCTGCGCAGTCTGGGACCAATCGCTAGCGGACTGGAGTAGAGCAAAGGGGAGGCCGTCCAGGAACCTGACCCCTTCTGTGTAGGGGCACACCTAGAGCCCAGGCCCTGGTGGGATTCTTGCCTCCATGCAAGCCAAGGCCTCTGAGCGAGTTTTCCAAGGCACAGCTGAGCGAGTCTTGGCTCTTGAATAACCAAGTGTCCATTTCACAAACAAAACCTGACCTCACGGCCCCGGCTGCTGCTTTCCAACCTGGGCTCCCCTGTTAACCTGTTTTGTCCTGAAACCCGTCTGGACAGAAGAGTGAGCAACTGCTCTTAGGGTTTCTGTTGACAAGGGCTGTGGCTGAGAGAGAGGCAGTAGCAGGGAAAGATCTGGAGAGAAATCCCTGTCCAAATCACTTCGAAGCTGTTTATAGTAAGACTCAGAGATCCCAGGTGACTAGGAGACGTATGCTTTCCTCAACCAATAAATTTTAATATTAGTTATTAATTTCACACAAGAGAAGAATCCTGGACTCGGCATCTGCCTGCGCTCCTACCCATCCCATACACGTGAAAAAACAAGCCCCTGGGACCCAGGCCCCCAGCCAGGTGCCGCCCGCGTGAAAGAATCTGTGATTCTGGAGAAAACGACCCCCAGAGCGCAGGAAGGGCTGTCAGCCCAAAGGGAAGCGAGGGGGCACAAGTGCAGCCCTCCTCAGGGGCTGGAGCCTGCGCCAGGCAGAGGGCAGGAACCCTCTGTGGGAGCCCAAGCCGGGTGCTGAGCTCGAGGTGCTGCTGCGCGGACTTGTCAGTGAGAACAGAAACTCAACAGTGAAAGCCACACGGGGGGAAGAGGCCCGCAGCTCCAGTGTCACAACAGCATGTGGTTCTTCCCCTCGCCCCGGAGGAGGAGGGGGACGTCTGCAGTGGCCAGACCCCGAGCCACAGCGCACGGCCTGCTCCGGAAGGGGGCAGAGCATGAGCAGTCCGGTAGCTGGGAAGGGAACTGAGAAGGAGCTGGTGGGCAGGGAAGGAGAGAGGTGACACGCGGCCCACCAGCCGGGCAAGGACACAAAGCAGAAAGCCCTGGTGCTGGTGAAAGTTCTCCCGCACAACTTCCTCCTCTGAAAGGCCTCACAGCGCGCAGGGGGCAGGAGGCATCCACCAGGGGGCGTGGCAGGAAAGGGACGTGGCCAGTCAGTGTCCCGGGCAGGGGCTCTTCCCAGGCTGGGGGCCCCAGCCCCTCATATGGCAGGGCTGTACTGAAGGATGTGATGAGGGGCGAACAGCCTCCGGGCTCCTGTGGCCTCCCCTGGCTTTCCCGGCACCGGGCAGTTCTCTTTATTCTCTTTGCTGTCCAGCCCAGCAGGCTGACCTGAGGCCTTCTTGAAGTAGCAGAGACGGCACACGGAGTGGTACTTGTCTGCTCCTCCGATCACCTCGACCTGGCCATGGGGACACAAAGGGCCTGGACTGAGATGGAGCACAGCGCCTCCGGGCTGCAGCCCGCCCGCGCAGGGGGGGGGGTAGTTGGGAGCTACCTCCTTCTCTGTGCCCAGTCTCTTGGTGTAAGCGGCTTCTCGGAAGCACTCCATGCACACCGCCGTCAGCTTCACCACGCTCTCGGCCAGGGGCACCAGGTTCAGGATGGTCCCGAAAGCCTACAGTGCCAGGGATAGACGGCAGGTGAGCACATCCACTTGGCCAGGTGGCTCTTTCCTTGAAACCCTCTGACTCACAAGCACTGAAGCGGGGAAGCCTCGCCTTGACCTTGCTTTCCCCCAGACCACCATCCCCTGCAGCAGACTGCATTCCGTCTGGGATGGACTCACTCTTGGGCAAACCAGGGAGCTGGGTCTGGCTGGACTGCCTGAGCCCAGGCAAGGCCTGGTCTGAGCAGCTCTCAGTGCCCCAGGTGCCAAACCCTGGGCATCCAGGTAGCACTGCTTTGCAATGAAGAAGACCCCGCTGGGCTGCCATCTCTGTGCAGGGTCCTGTGCCTGCCCAGGCCCCTTCTCAAGACAGGCATCAGACACCTTACCTTCCTCTGGAAGGTCCCATCCAGTGCAGCCACGATCACAGTCTTGCCGGCGTTGGCCATGGTCTCGCTGAACTCCACAATGTCGGGAAACTGGAAAGGGTGGGAGGAGGGGAGAGTCACCTTCCACTCTGAGCAGCAGCTTCCGGGAGCCACGCGCAGAAGACCCTGCTGTATCTATCTGATGGTCCCACCGCCCAGATCGGCACTGAGCCGAGAACAGGGTGGCCCCGACTGGGAGACGAGTGTCTGCGCACTTGTCCCGACTGCCTGCGTCACTTCACGCCGCCAGCTTTCCACACGGAACCGTTGCGCTCTGGCACCGCGGCCCGTCCCTAGGGCGGTGCAGCCCGGCTGGGGATGCTCTAACACGGCAGCACTCACAAGTGGGGGCAAAGGGCTGCCTGGTGCTTGGTTGGATCCGTTAGCCGGGTGACCCGACTCCATGTTTCTGAGCCTAGGAAATGGCAAGGAATGCCCTCGGTATTGTTTCAGAATCAAAGGCACTCAAATAATAAACAGAGAATGAGCCATGCGATGCCTTGATGGGGGTCGGGGTCCCACAGGCCATTTACACAGCAGGATGACACAGCACAGCCGGCTACATTTAGGGCCTACACAAGGCGCCTCTACTTGATAAATCAAACATCATTTTAAGTGGCCTAGGGCAAATCCTTTGGTGAATTTTCAGTGATCAGTCTTTGGGTTGGGTGACAGGGCGACACTGTCTTTGGGTACAGGGTCACTCACTCCAAGCCACTCAGGATCCACTGGCCCATTTGTTGAGGTGCAAGCTTAGCGAAACCCAAGTGCTTAGCAAGACAAAGACCATGAAGGTAGTTAAAAACCAGGAGAAATTCAAGCGGGATTCAGCCGAAGCCAAGCCTGACCACCCTCTGCAGAACTGGCTGGGCCTGAGCTACTGAAACGGGCCCCTCCCACCCAGACCCCAGCACAGTCACACACAAGCCCCCTTCTTCTCTAAAGGACTCGGCGCAGGTCATAGAAGTGCAGCTCCAACCTGCAAGGGGCTGTCAGTCAGCCAATCTCCCCCTCCTCCAGCCGCCATAAACAATTGTTTCTAGGCATCGTCAAGTATCTACTGGCTGAGGGTTGGGGAAGACACAGGAAGATGGCGCCGAGCACTGCTGCGTCTTACCCTCCACACTGAGGCATACATCAGGACACCAGTTCTTCCACACCAGTGTTTGGGGACCCCTGCCCACTACTGCAGTGCCCACAAAAGCTTAATTCTTCCACCTGACACCTGGTCCCCTGTTCACATGCCACCTCCCCAAGGAAACATTGAACCTGGGCCTCCAGCAGGGGTTCCTGGGAGATCAAAGATAAGGAGAGAGGCACCCAGGTTGTCTGCAGTATTTCAAAATGTCCATTGGTAACCATGTTACTGGTATGTATTCTTATTGCCATTAGGTTTTTAAGCTATGTTACAGGTTGAATTGTGTCTGCTCCCACCCCTGAATCCCTATGCTATCCACAATATCTTATCCACAGTATGTCAGATTGTGACCTTATTTGGAGATAGCGGCTTTGTAGAGGTCATCCAATTAAAGTGAGGTCAGTAGGGTGGGCCGAACTCTAATCTGATTGGTGTCCTTAAAAGAAAGGGAAATTAGGACCCATACCTGCAGAGGGAAAGCTATGTGAGGACAGGGAGAAGATGGCATCTTCAGGCCACAGAGAGAGGCCAGCACCGATTGTCCCCCACGGCCTCAGAAGGAAACATTCCTACCTACACCTCTGATTTTGGGCTTCAGGCCTCCAGGCTATGAGGGACTAAATGTCGGCTGTTTAAGCCCCCGAGTCTATGGTACTTGTGTGGCAGCCACAGGACAGCCCTAAGTCAGATTGCATTTGTCCCGAAAGCCCTGACATGTTTAAAAAACAGTCACACGGAATCCAGGTAGAAAAGTAACAAGAGGGGTTTCTTGATGGTGAGGAGTCTGCCCACTTGGGTTCATCTGCCAGCGCCACACCCCCGGGGGACCTGCAGCGATCTACTTCCTAAACAAGTTTCGGTGAAGGGGAAAGAACCCAAAGGAGAGATTAGGAAGCCTACAAGGAGGTCATTCATCTTGCCAAGAGTTGGCTTGCTCATGATGGGTGGGCAGAAGGGTGTCTGGCTCTGCCGAAGAGGCCTCTGCGCCCTGGCAGACAGGCTGGCATTGAGGGGCAAAAGGTAAAAGCCACAAAGGGCAGGGATGAAGGATGTGGCAAAGCAGACCCCTCAACTAGTGAAGGCCGAACGCCTGAATGAAATGCCACAGATGAAATTCAAAGGCGACGATGGGGGAGATGTGGTCATGACACCCGACAAAGCGGCATAGGTCACCTGACGTCTGCTGGACAGAAGGTAAGCCAAGGGGAGGTGGGTGGGGGACCTTAGAAGGCATTTACGGAAGGAGAAACACACGTGGGAGGAGGCATCAGCAGCAGTGCTGAGAGAGGTGCCATCGGACAGGGTGTGTGTGTGTGCGCGCGTGTCCACGTGCCGCTCCGCCCTTCACCTTCCTCCTGCCTGGGGACTTCTGCAAAGGCCTGGCTGCCTCACCCTTCTGCCCCCTTGCCCTCCACTCCCCAGGCTCCCCCAGGGGTGACTCCTCAGTCTTTTCTGCTGGCCTGCCGGAAACCGTCTGGCCTCCCTTCTGGACGCACCCAGTATGCACGGGGCCCTCCCCCACCTGGCTCCCTGCTGCTCTCCTGCAGGCCCCTCCTGGGCATCCCCACCTTAGCTGTGCCCCCCATGCTGTCTTTTTCCTCCAGTTGTCACCACCTAACCTATTACTTATTTCTCTCCCTGACCAGAATGCAAGGTCAAGGGCAGAGATGCTGGGGATACCCCTGGCTCCTAGAACATTGATGCCACGGGGCGCGAGCCCAGAAAATGCTTACTGAATGAATGAGTGAATGAGATCGGCCACTTGACCCACATTTCACTTAGTAGATAAATCCCAGCGCACCAGACAGCAGCCCAAGATGTCCACATTACAGTGTCCATCACAGCCTTTAAATACCACGCACAAGGGATCCTGCTGAGGATGTGGCACATGTGTAAGGATGGGTATTTGCTGACATGGAAAAATGGTCAGAGAATGTGACACGAGACCCATCCACAAAAAATACACATCTATAAAGACTAGCAGGATGTAGACCAACATGTTCCATGTTTTTTGTTTGTTTTTCTGGGTGGCGAAAAGAGAAAGGCGGCAGGAGCTGGCCCGGTACCCGCAGCAGGCCCAGGTGCTGTCCTCCTGAACCTCGTCAATTCCATGGAACGTGAGCATCAGGAGAGGCCACTCCATGAGGACCGGGACAGAACCAGGACCCCTGTAAGGTCTGAGCACAGACAGAATGTGAACACCATCTAGGCTGGGAAGCCCCAAACGTCCCCCCTCTCCCGGCTGACAGGAGCCCGTGCTGCTGGTTTAGGGCTCCTCTGGGCCACCCGCCCTAGAGATGGGGGTGCGATGCTGCTGCAAACCTGCCTCCCTGAGCACAGAATCAAGAGCGGAGCTGGAATGACCCAACATATGCTCTAGTCCTGGTGACCAGATGTGGAGACAACCAAGCCCTCTACAGTCCTGGTGCCCACGGCGTGTGTCCTCCCTGCAGTGACAAACCCAAGTCGTCCAGCTCCAGGAAAGGTCCTGGCGGTCTCTGGCTGGCAGATGGCAACAGTAGTCAAATACGGACTTTCTTTTTTCTTAGGTGCTGCTGTAACTTTTTCTAGACTTCATGCACCAGTATGTTTTTTCAAATCATGGTTTCCACTACTGCTGAGCATTTGTGGGGCCACCAGCACCCTGCCCAGCACCCACTAACCAACGTGGCAGTGACCACGGCAGGGCTGGCATGCCCGGGAGCAGGGCACCCACCTGCCACAGCGTCCTCAGCTTGTGGCTTGGAGTCATTGGATGCCTTACCCAGACGCCAGTGACTTCCCCAAAACAGCCGGAGTGCCTGTGCATCTCACCTGGAGTCACCAAGAAGCCCTCGCACCAAACTCGGGCCCTCATCAGGAAGGCATGGTGGCTACTCTCTAAAAAAACCTCCCCGCCCGCCCAGAAAACGGGGAACAAGGGGCCTGGAAGACCCTTCACCCACTCCCCACGTTTCTACAGTGGGACAGTAAGCACTTGTTATAGGATCTAGAGTCTTACTTGCTGCCAGGCAGACAGTGGACATACACACAAGGAGCAGCACCGTGGGGCAGTTGACCGGCTGGCCACTACCCCGGGTACTCGAGTACCAGCCAAGGGGGAGAAAGAAGAGAATGGTCCCCACGGGGGTGGCCGGCTCAACCCTGTGACACACCTCACACACGCCAAGGAGCAGAGCTGCCATCAGCTCACTGTACTTGGTCGGAAAGGGAGAGCCCCACAAAGCCTCCGTTCCGTTCTCAGAACCACACCCCCAAAGCTGACCGGCCGCCTCAGATCCGTCCTGAGACCACAGTTTGGGGAGAGAGGGAAAAACTACCCCCATTCCCACTCTGGACTCATTTTCTTACCTGTGTCTCCCCACCATCCAGCCACAAAAGAAAACATAAATGTCCATGTGCGCGTGAGACATGAGATGCAGCTGTGCTCAGAAGCAAGACAATTCCCAAGGTCAGAAATAGAAGGGACACAGCAAGGCAGATGAGCAGACAGACGTGGAAACAGGCCGCTGGGGTTCTGCCTCCATAGGGCACACGCCAGAGGATATACTCGCCTGTGGGGACGGGGCATCGGCTGGCCTTGCTGTGGGAACGAAGCATGGGGCTGTGACTTATTCAGGACAGGACCTGTGATGCCCTTGTGGGGTGGCATGGCCCAAGCTGCCCAATTCATGGAACCTGGGAGGGAAGGACTGCTAACCACTCACCAAACACACAAAAGTTTCTTTCATTTCCAGTTTCTTGTTCTAGATGCTACTTAAAGGTACAGTAAAGGGAGTCACGTGCCCAAATTCCAGCGGGCAGGTCAGAGGCAGTTATGTGCAACTTCTCCTGGCTCATGAAAACCCTGCACAGCGGCCCTCCAGTTTCCCTCTTCCACCATCTGCGTCACAGGCCATCTTAGAAGCCAGGTGTGAAGGTGAGAGACCCCTTGGCATGACTCCCCACCATTGCCTTGAGGTAAATTGCTATCCTATGAAGCTACCGAAGCATGTGGTTGATCTGTGACGGCGGCTCCTGCCACCCTCACTATGCGACTGGGTGGAGGTGGTGGTAACCCCACAGCCTCCCAACCAAACTCAGCCAGAGGACCCGCTCCTGAAGGAAAACAAACAGACTGAGCTGGCAAAGACTTTAAAACCAGGTTTTCAGAAAGACAACGGAAGGCACAGCATCAGTTAAAAACAAACAAACCGTCAATTCTTAAACAAAAGTAAGCATATGTGAACTAGAGTAGCAGATGAAAAGAACTACCCAGAAATCCTGGAAATAGACAGTCATGGAATGGAAGGCAGACACATATTGGGAGATGGTACCCAGAACTCTTTCACAGAGAGATGGGGAGAGATTCCAGTTGGCAAAGGCTTCATTCTCCCCCACAGAAATGAAGGCCTGAGTGTTCAGTGTAAAAGGCACAGCAATTAGAAAACAAGGTAACTAAAAACAAAAGCTCCCCGGGGCACTCCATTCTGAGAATGGACAGACTCCCTGCCCGGGAAAGTAGCCATCAGATTGGAGGCGGCCTCCCTGTTAGCGGCAAGGAGCGGCCCACTGCTTTTCCAAAGCAACCAGGAAGAACAATGGCCAACTAGCATCTGCTTAAACTGGAGAACAAAATGAAGACATTTTCATACCAGACTCGGAGAGCTTCCCATCCACACATCCTGGCCGCAAGAACTACTAAAGAATGTACCTCAGCAAGAAGAAACAATGAGCCAAAACAAAACCCTCCCTACACGCCATTTTCGAGAAATCTGATTTTTCTGTTCACAGTAAAGTTATGTATTTTTTACAAAGGTAAAATAAATCCTCACCTAACAAAACATGGAAAGCAGTTGAAGGGTATTCAGACCCTAATTAAAGCAAGTTAACAGTTGTTTACTGAGAGATCAGGGAACCTTCCAAAGCAGCAGAGGAAAAAGGGAGACAGACAAGGGATTCATAGGAACAGTGACACCAGGACAAGCCAACTTACAAACTGCCCTTCATCAATGCCTATGACAGCCATGCCCAGGGCCTCCTGGGCCACATCCCGGAGCAGGCAGGCCGGCAGTGCCTCCATGGTGTTCCTGGGGAGAAAAAGCAGAGTGAGCAGATGGGGAGACCGAGGAGACCAGGAACCTGAATGCAGCGGCCAGGGACTGGCGCTGTGATGTTTGCCCAGAGCTTTAAATCATGCCTGTGGGAAGGCAGCTGAGGAGAATTAAGGCCTGGTTCAGAAAGCCAGTTACTCAACAAGCTGTTTCACTTGATGCTTCAGACTGGAAACTAGCAACGTCTGATAATAAAGCTCAACTGAGATTCAAAAGCCCTTCACTTCTGCTCAGCAGGTGTAGGCAGACAAGGTGACTTTATCAGGTACACTGCCCAGGGCCCATTATACTTTCAGGGGCCAAAGAAATGGCTTAATTGCTTTCAAAACTCAGCCTACGTTATATTTGTCTTTTTATCAATGAAGTCCTAGAATGACTGTAGGAAGGGGCCCACAAAGGTGGAAGTGCCCACCGCCCAGGGAAGTCCTAACATGACCCTGGGCAGACCACGAGCACCAGGCTCTTAAGACCACAAGCCCTGGGATCCCAGCAGAGAAAAGCCTGGACTCTAGCCGGCAGCGCAGCACGCCTCCATCTGGCTCCTCTGGCGGACTGAAGGATTTCACCAAGGTCATAGGGCTATTAAGGGGCAGAGCCACCGTGCTAACCAGAGGTCACACAGCTGCTGTGGAGGGATTCCTACCCAGGGGAGTCTGAAAGTGAAAGGGCACATGTGGGGATGTTCCAGGGTCATAAATGACACAGTGGCCCCAACCTGGCCCCAGAACCAGGGCCTTTTCTGAAGAGGGATGCTGTTCTCTGTCCTCTTAAATTGTTTCTATGTTTTTCTCATGTTTACTTCTGTTTGCATTTAATTACTGATTAATTTTGCTATAATCATACTTCAAGAGCTGGATAGAGCATGAAAGTATTTCCTGCATTTTCAATTCCCTCCCCAAATAAAGAAAACCAGAGAGTGGGTAAGGCAAGAAGCTTCTCTGGAGCTTTGTCCCCCACACCAAGGGCTTGGTCACTGCCGAGGACCATCCCAGCCCCTACAGCCCAAGGATTTGTGGCACTGAGGGCAGAGCCTGGGTCCGACCCGGCTGAGCCCCACTCTGGGAGTCACACTTCTATCCCCGTGCAGTGCTGTTCCCTGGCTTTCACCATCCTGGCCCCTTCTCCCCACATCCACCAGCCCTGTGCAGCGGGGATGCAAAGCTGGGTGATGTAAACAACCTGCATCAGACAGCATGGCTGGGAGCACCAGTCACCCAAGTCCCAACACTTATCTCTAAGTCCCAGAGACCAGCAGCCTGTTCTCTGAAACCCCACGTCACCACTCTGGAGCCACACACCCGGCGGCTCTGAGGCCACAAGCCCTGTGGATGGTGCAGCGTGGCTTTGCTGCTGGGGCTCAGGTGGGCAAGTCCGGAGGACTGAGAAGAGTGTCTCAGGCTCAAACCCACCAGGCCCAAATCTGCTGCTAAGGAACTGGCAGGGGTTTTACACCCCCACCTCAGGTTGCCAACTGAGATGTCCACAGGGCACAACCAGATAAACTACGTGAAGGCCATAGATGGCAGGGAGTCAGCGAGGACAAGCCAACTGAGAAACTGAGTAAAAACTATATGCAGGCCACACGAAGCTGGTTTGTAACCTCCGCACCAGTGTAAACTCCAGAGCAGAGTTTTTCTCAACCTTGCTCAGTGCTACTGACCTTTGGGGCCAGAACATTCTGTCACAGGGGGCTGTCCCATCATTGTAAGATTTTGCCTGGCATCCCTGGTCTCCACCCACTAGATGCCAGTAGCATGCCCCTCCATCTCTAGTTGTGCAAACTAAGAACAGCTCCAGACATTGTCAGCTGGACCCTGGGGCCGAATCGCCCCTGGTTAAGAATCACTGTATTGGAGTCCAGTGAAAGGCAGAGTCCTGGGCTACCTTGCTGAGCAACCTGGAAAGTTTGCTGACTTGAATTTCAGTGCCACGCTTCAGCATTATTAACCATCTCCATTAATGAGCTCTGACAGTGTATTTTGCGCCCTGTGAATTTTCACTGGGCTTCTGAGAAAAGGTGTCAGGGCAGGACAGAAGGGAGCACAGGGACTGACCGGTCGTGCGTGGAGAAGTTGCTGCTGTACCGTGTGTCTTTGGCATATTTGATCACCAAGCACTTGTACTGGGCAATCTGGAAGCGGCGGACCCTTCTCATCAGCTCGGTACTGCAAGAGCAGAGTGACAGGTGAGGCCGACAGTGGGCAAGGGAGACCTCGTCAATACAGCCAGGCTCCCCACTGCCTTCTAGGGGTGTACGGCCTAAGACCCACCAAAGGACAGAAAGAAGGCAGGCTGGGTGTGGGAGAGACCAGTGAGGACAGGAAGGGCCTGTGCTCTGAGAATTTACAGTAGATCTAAGAGGGGCAGAGACAGCGCCGAATGCCACTGGAGCGCCTGGGAACTATAGGTTGTAAGTTGTTCTCTATGGGGAGGGTGGAAAGGAGTGGCACCCAGCTGGTCAGGGGAAGGGCTGGAGGCACAAGTTTCTCAGGGATATGGTGGTGTGGGTGACGGCAAGTGCCACATGCCCAGGAGAGGGCTCCAGGTTGTGTTTCAAAGCAATGCCATGCCAGAATTCTTCCCCTAGTCTGAACTGACTTCATAAAACCTTGTGCAAAGAAAGCATTTTGCCTCTGGGTCCAAGAGCCTACCCTAAGCCTCACTTTCTGGAAAAGGGGTCTGCAGTGATACCCCAGGGCCATCAAGGAATGGGCCAGGGGAGTCACTCAGGGGCGCACCAGCCTCACCTCCGACAGGGAAAGTTTCTGTCACGTCAGGGGAGCAAGCCCTGGCTTGGCCGCTCAGTGTGATAATTCTCATCTAAGGAAACAGTCCCCTGGAAGGTGTGCTGATTCTGCCGGGCCGCGGGGCCTGGCCTGCGTGCACACGATTTCTAAGACTTGGACGGACCTTTTCGTGGACATTAGTGAGGCGCTAAAGTGTAAGCAGCTGTGACCAGCTCCAGGAAGCGCGGTGTTTGAATGACTTTAATGGGAGGGCCGGCATCCAGGCGGGAACTCGGTCCCGCAGGGGAGTTCGGATTGCGAGCGCCGCCGCAGGCCAGGGCGGGGCGCCGGGGAGGAGGACGGGGTTCCGGGGAAGAGGTGGTCCCAGCTCCCATCCACGCCCCCGTGGAGTCATTACCTTTTTCCTGAGAACATGGGTCCGAGAATCACCTAGGAGAGAAGAAGTCACTTCAGGGCCCGCTGAGCACGGACGCCAGGGCACCAGCCACAACCCCCAGCCCGCTCCCACCCCGACTCCTCATGCCGCGATCCGACCGGCGCCCGCACCTGGATCTGCCCCCGGGTCTTGCTGGGGGAGCCGGGCAGCACAGTTGGCAGGTTGATGCAGCTCATGGCGCCTCCGGAAAGCTCACAGCCCAGAACCAGGAGACTGCAGCCGTCCCACCGCCTGGTGGCGGTTCCCGCGCCCCTAGAGTTTATTGCCGGCCGCTGGCCAATCGCAAGCCGGAGCCACCTCCCCGGAGCCAATCACCGCGCGGCTGCGGACTGGCGGGCTATTTGGCTTTAGCCCGCCCCCTGGTGGGCGGGGCCCCGGAGCGCCCCGGGCTGCGGCCCTGCGGGCGGTGGACGTGGCCCCCAGCGTGCTCCGCCCCTCGCCCCGCCCCTCGCGCCTTCCCTTTATAAGGGAGCTGACTGAGCACGCACGCTGCGCTGTAGCTGGCGGGATGGAGTCCCCGCGCGAAGGTCCCGAGTGCGAGGCACCCTGGAAGACGATGTCCAACGAGGTAGGCGGGTTGCAGGCGGGGGCTGGGCCGTGCCGGGGCTGAGTAGGTCAGATGGCAGATCCGCAAAGGAAGCTTAGAAGCTGCTCGGTGGGCATCGCCGAGGGCCTGCCGTGTGTCAGCTCCGGAAAGCTTTAGCACGTGGTCTATTTTACTGCTCGCCACAGGAAAGCTTTTGTTAGCCTCATTTTCAGGGTGGAGAAAATTCAAGTCCAGGCTGTGTTAATATCCATAAACCCACAGGGGTTGGGGCAGAAATGCTGCCCTTAGTCCTAGGTTATGCAACGTTTGTGGGGGCTGTGCCAGGATGGAGAAAGGCCGTATTTACCAAAGCAGCCGTGAGGGCAGGGGACAGCGTGTGCAAAGCCTCCTGATGACTATCGTTCAGTTATACTTACCTGACTCATGTACCTGCATTTTAGGCAGTCGTTCTTCTGATCATGGACACATCCGAGCATTCTCAGTCACACACAGACAGACACACAGCTGTCTACATACAGTATCAACCGACTCTCAGAAACCCATTGCATAATCATTATCATACATAATAGCTACAAAAATGGTGTTAGCAGTCACGGGTATGGCTGTAAACATCCTACAGGTACAGACTCTCCAGATCCAAAGACCTCCAGCTCAGAAACCCATTCGAGGGGAGGAGGAAATAAGCCACATTTGCATAGTTAGCTTTACTGCATTTACATGCCTTATGTCTTGTAACTGTGAGGCTGGCATTATGCCCATCTTATAAATGAGGGAACAGAGACCCAGAGACTGTAAGTCGATTGCCCAGGGTAAAACAGCCTGTATGTAAATGATGCAGCTTGGATGGCACTCAGCCTATCCGACTCCAGAGTCCAGGACCTTTCTGTGAAGCCACCATGTCTTCAAATTTCCGAGTCTGACCTCTACCCTTTCTCCTTCGCCTTTGAGACCTTTCTCCAGAACCTCGTTCCCTGTGTCTTTTTGTGTTAAGTCTCAACATCTTATCCTGACGTCTGTCATCTGCCAGCCCCAGCTTTGCAGCCTCACCTCTGTTTCATCAACACTTCCAAACTGACCTTTGATGCCTGCCTCTCGCCTCTGTGCTGTTAGTAGGTTGGTTGTGCTGTGTCCTTCTGCAGCTAGAATCAACCTCTCAGAAAAGGACAGCTCCACGTCACTTTCTCTACAGTGGCCACCCCAGCTCCCTGGCCTCCCATAGTCTTAGCTGCTGTAGGAGTGGTGTCCGTAGTGGCACTAACTGGGACACATTTACACAACCTTATGTCCCTTTCAAGGTTGTCTGCTGGTTAAAGGTCAGAGATCTGGAAGCATCTGTGATGTATTTGAAGCATCTGTTCATGAGTGGGGGAGAATGGGGAGCAGGTTGCCAGGCTGGAGACTGGAGGGGCTTGAAGGAAGCTGAGGACATCTGGAGAGCCTGAGATATTGGGTCAGGGGCTTCACATGGCATCCAGGCATACGGAGGGTGGGGGCACACTCTGTGTGGGAAACAAAGGTCCTACAGAACCTTGTGTCTGTGCCCCCTAGGAGCTGGAGAATCAGTACACGCCCAGCAGATGGGTCGTCCGACTGGGAGCAGAGGAGGCCCTGAGGACCTATTCACAGATGGGAAGTGAGGGTATGGCGACCTCTCTGGCTGCTTCTGGTGGACTTTGGCATGTGGCAGTGGTTCAGAATTGTGAGGGGGGCGTGAGTTGCCTCTGGGGCGGTTCCCAGCCAGGCCCTACTGAAGCCTAAGCCTCCTCTGCTCAGAGCCAGGCTTGTGGAGCCCTTGCCCCAGGGCTGCTGGAGGCAGGAAAGGCCCACCCACCGCGCTCCCTCTCCCGTCCTGCTCAGCCAGCCGTGCCCAGGTCCTTAGGACCACATGCCACAGGGGCACAGCGGGGCAGAGTGAGAATAGGAGGGCCCCCCAACATGGGATATTGTTGCTATTTGTAAGAGGCAGAGTCCTTTTTTTTTTCTTTAAAGAAACAGGTCTGGGAACCTATCAGCTAGTGAGTCACAAGGTTAACTCCCGTCTCCAGCCTGTGTGTCCAGAGTGCTGTACTTTGCTTTTTCGCTTGGTGAAGCACCCAGTGGGGCCGGGGGAGCAGGCTTCGTGAAAGAAGTGTGAGTTAGGGAGCAGCCGGCTCCAGCCTCAGCCAGGGACGTTGGAGTGGGCGGATCTGCTCTGTCACAGCTGACCGAACCGAGTCCCAAGTGCGGTGGTTCTCTAAACGGATAATCCAGCAGGAAGAACAGGCTCGTGGGGTTATTCCAGCACATTCCATCGCCCCCCCTGTTCTTTGTAGAAGTGCGGTGGAGCCTCGCCCCAGACTTTGAAGAGTCCCCTGCTGTGCCCGGCTCTGTGCCAAATACATGTATCTCTATTTGCTCAGTTAGTATTTGAGTGTGTGGTGAGATGGATGTGAGCTTACAGAAAAGCTGTCTGTCTGAATCGTCTTGAGGGAGCAGAGAGCCGGCCACGCTGAGAAAGGGACTCACCCGGAAGGAGCACGAGCTAAGAAGAATGTGTTGCCTGCGGCCCTCAGGGGCTAGTGATTGCCCTCCATCCCTGTGGACAGCGTTGAGCACACTCTCCACTTCCCTTCCTTTTTTTGACACTCCAGCTGGACCAGAGGGGCTGGGTGTGCAACTGACCCATCTCACACCCAAAGAGCACAAGCCTGGTAACGGGCGCTGGGGCCAGGGGAGAAAGCAGAGCGAGGCGTGCGCAGGAGTGGAGCCGGTCGCCGTTCCAGATGTGGACATTTTGTTCATCATGGGCTTTTTGACATTAATTTTGCTTTAAAAAATACTGCATTTAAATATTATTTGTCCTAGTGTGGGCCAGCTTGGGCTGCCATAACAAAATGTATAGACTGGATGGCTTAAATGTCAGGAATCTATTTCTCACAGTTCTAGAGGCTTAGAAGTCCAAGATCAAGGTGTGAAGGTCCTCTGGGCTCTTCCCCTTCTAAGGCCACATGGTGGGGCTCTCTCCTCATGACCTCATCCAAATTAATCACCTCCCAAAGGCGCCACCCCGAAATGCCATCCCATTAGGGGTTAGGGCTTCAGCACAGGAACACTGGGGAGGCACAGAAAAGTTCAACTCATAGCGGTCTTCATTGCTGACGTTTTGGCTTCCTCCGACGCAGCCGCCCAGTGTTGTACCCAAGGCAGAGGCCTCACCGATCTCACTCTTATCCAGGCCCTGCATGTTGAGGTTACATAACTTGCTTAGGCTCATGCAGGTCGGGATGGTCACCACTTCGCTGAGCTGAATGTCCAGGGGACAGTGGTGACGATGGCCAGGCGGCTGTGTGAGTGCCGCCCCAGCTGACGTCTGCTGGCACAGTTCCCAGGCCTCTCTGGTGCTGAGTGTGAACTGGGAGATGGTCATGTTGGCATCAGACTCCTAGGCGACAGCAAAGGGATGGAAGGCAGAAATAACGGAAAATGAAGTCTCCTGCCGACCCAGGAAACCTCCACAAAGGTAGAAGACGCAGGAAACACGTTTTATTAGTGAGTACGGCTTAAACGAAACCGCAGAGTGTATCACAGGCAAGCAGCCACTAGCAAGTTGGCTGTTTTTAGGTGACAATTGATTTTCTTACTCTAGAAGGAGTACATGATTATTGAAAAGGATTTAAAAAATAAAATCATCTGCAACCCTGTCACTAACTGCTAACTAGATGGGGGCCAAGGGCCTCTGCCTTCTCATAAACTGCTGCCACTCCATGTAGGCAACCCCTGGTCTTCAACCCTTCCGTGACTTCTGGTGGGTCTCCCCGCCCCATTCTTGCATTAGTCTTTGGCCCCCCCACTTCCCTAATTGCTCTAACACAGTGCTCAGATGGGTCCATGGGCCCTGCATCCTAGGCCTGGAGTTTCTGACTAAGAATTCTGACGCTTTGGGTTGTGAGTATTTGAAATCCAATTTTTGCTTTATCGGAAAGGAAGGTTGTAGTAAGGGTTAGTTGCTGAAGTCCTCCTGGCTTCCACCCCTTGGGTTCAGGGCCTGGAGAGCTGGTGGTATACACGCTCTGGGGGAGGCTGTGGGCCACCTCATTCTCTGTCCCTGAACTCAGCTGCCCACCGCCAACCACTTAGTTTGGTTTGGGCACAACATAAATCTGGTTGGCTCATGCGTTTTTTTTTTAAGAACTCTTGTGTCAATTAAATCATTACCTTTTGATGAACCTGCTCTGCTGATGAGCTTGTCAGGCACAAGCATCTTCACACTGTGCTGGTGGGAGGGTAGCTGGCCAACCCCCACGGAGGGCAGTGGGCAGTGGGCTCAAAGTGACAAACACAGGTACCTTCTGATCCAGAAACTGCATTGCTGAGAGCACTTCCTACAGACCCTGGCACGCAGGTGTCATCACGTGTGCATAAGGCTGCTCACGGCAGGTTGTCTTGTGGTAGCCAAGTCCAAGGGCCTCTCGGCCTAGGATCGGTTTATCATTGACCGATCCATTTCATGAACGTGTACCGGATGCCTGACATGTGCTGGTCACTCATCTGTGTGCACAGGATGTATCATTGAGCAAAATGGACAAACCCCTGCCCATGTATCATGGGGAAGGTGATAAACAATAGACAGAAGGACTGAGTGAATGGCATCATCTGTTGGAAGGCGCAAGTGAGCTGGGAGGGCTGTTACTGGCTTCCCGGGGAGAAGTGAAGGGCGCTCCAGGGTGGTCTCAGCAGGAACGGGGAGACTTGGCATTCAGAATAAGGAGGGGAGGGATTGCCGAGAGATTTCCCGATCATTGGCTGTGGTTTGTTCG